ACATGCAGCCTCACAACAACATGCAGCCTCACAACAACATGCAGCCTCACAACAACATGCAGCCTCACAACAACATGCAGCCTCACAACAACATGAAGATCCGCTTGGAAAGGTCCTCAAGGCGCAAGTCTCTTAATAACATGAAGCTTCATAACACCATGAAGATCCGCCTGCAAGATCCGCAATGAAGAAGTCTAAACGTTCAAAGGAGACAAGACAGTTCTGTTCATCTTGAATGACGTACACGACGAGACAACTTCTAAAGACAAAGTCAGTGAAAGCGGGATTGGGAGCTTCACAAAACGGAGGAATACGTGTAATATTGAATGCCTGATCAGGAGTGTTGCATACTGCTTGTCGTCACACTGCATCCATCCCCGCCGTACCAGGGTGTACCCCGGAGATGGCATTCACTAGTGTCTCAACACCCCCATTCATTGGTACGGGGACAGCGGGTCAATGGTAGTTCCCTTCTTTCCTGCATCAGGCGACAAGAGAGAAGGGCCTTGGACATGAGCTGAAAGCCACTGTCAATTCGATGCATGATTGCCTAGCAGCCTCACCTGCGACAGCTGTTCTCACACTTGAAGTTACACAAGAATCCCTGTGGCTTGAATCGCTCAAAGCCTGGACACTCCGTTCAACACATAAAGGTTGCCGTCCCTTTTTTCTTCTTTCTTTTTCTTCTCGGTCATCCTGCCACCTTGGACGCACATCCCTTTCCTTGAAACTCGTGCTCAACCCAGTCTTGTGCACTCACACTCCATTCACAGGCCACTTAGCTCACCTTCAGTGCCCCAGGAAATCGACCATGGCGACTACAGAGGATCAGCAGACGGGTCTGTACATGGCTCCGGCGACGCAGATGTTGAAACAGTTGGCGGCCCAGGAGGAAGCTGGCAACGCTCGTGCCGAGGGTAAGTCGTGTTTTCTTTTGTCCTCGAAAAGGGTATCACCGCTAATCATCAGGTTCAGAAGCTTTCGCCGCAACCGGCGGTCCGTGTCCCGAAGAGAAGAAGTCGTGGGAAGGATACCACGCGAGCATGGAGGACAAGAAGGAGGAGAAGGATGCAGCTACACTCGACGGCACCTCGGGCAAAACCAAATCCTCTGCTTCCCTTGCCTCCGAAGAACTCTGGGAACATTGGTTTCTCACCCTGCATCCCAACCCGGGGGAGAAGGTCTCGGTGATCACCCGCGGCGACCATTTCGAGGGGGACCTCCCCAAGGTACTCGTCGACCTCCCGGAAGACTGTCGCGCGTTCCAGGGAGGCCGGACCATCGAGATCTGTCACCCCTACACCTTCTTCCTCTGCGACGACGGCAAGGCCTGGGTGTCCTGGTACCGCGGCAGGTTCATCAGGTGGATGGGCCCCGCCGTGGCCGACCTGGGCCAGATCCGCAGGAGGGTGTCGGGCACCGACACCTTCCCGACCGACTTCATCGGCTCCAAGAGGGAACGTTCGGCCTTGCTGGAGGCGGTGGCAACGGTCGAGCGCGGCCAGCTGTAAAGAAGAAGCCGACCACCGTGACGAGTTGGCGGGGGAGAAGAGGTTCTCGACGAAACGACCTGGGGGGATCTCGTGCATGACACCGGGGGGGTGTGCGAACCGTGAGGACATGACACACACACACACACACACGACGGGGTGTCGCGTAGACAGGGACATGGCCTGCCTCGGCTCATTGATAGCAACTTGATATACCTACCGGTATGGTGGAATACTCATGATGAATACGAGCATCATTCGCCAGGGCTTACATAGTCATTAACTTTGGGATGATTGCGCAGTTTACCCCTCACCAGAACAGGTACTATTAGGTAGTCCTACACAGCTCAAGAGTAATCCTCCACTACCATCAGGCAGATTTACCATTCTTTACCATTCTTCTTCTCTACCACCATCAGGGCGCAGCCAAAGTCGCACCTAGAAATAATAATAATATGATGTCACTGTCTGACACTCTCCCCTCCCCTGATTGGTCAAAATATCTAGGATCATTGTGCACTTTTGAGCCCTCGATATCTTGGGAGTTATAAACACAAGCACAACACTCAAACAGTTAGGGCTTGCACTCAATACATTCAACATAACTCACGCTCTGTCAATCCAACAACAAAATATTCAAAATACCTTTCGGTAGACCTAACTTGCACTCGACACAATTCACTGTACAAACCTTTCGAAATGGGATCACAACCACAACACCCAAAATACCTTACGGAAAAGACTTGTACAGTATGCAAGGGTTCGTCGGTGTTGGAGACTTCTCCATGCAGTGTCTCTTCTATGACGAGCAGTGCAGGTCCACACCAAGGGCTTCTCGGACCGTTTCCAGTGAGACCGACTGACTGTCGACTATAGTACTTATACCTCTACCACCTAGCACTCCTGCAAACATGGCAGGTTCTAGTTCTTCAACGACAAGATATCCTCCTTATGCGATGACTTGACTATACCCATCGATACCCTGCAGAATCCATGAAAATTTTACAACGCGCAGTCCAACATATACCTGTTAACATGAACAAGCCACTCCGCAACATCGCAACGCAGGAAGACCTCCTCATTTAACCAAAAGAGACTGATGGGGTTGAACAGTTCGTTACACACTCACGAGAGAATCACCGAATGTTATACTCACAAGTTGTAGGGACTCTGTGGCCCGATGAAGAGCTTGGTGCGGAGTTTATTCGACACGCCCTGCGTTCTCGTGGGGACGTTCATCGAATTACACTTTAGAAGCCTTCTCTTTCACACGCCAATTGACTAGCACGTCTGGCATGAGCCAGAGAACATCTCACATGGACAAAAGAACAATAGAGTTTGGGTTTATGAAGTAATGGGACATGAATAATGCCAAAAGAACATCGTCGAGTATGGGGAACTCGACGGAATGAGGGTGAACTCGATTCAATCTGCGTTGTTCATCGTCGACAACGTATGAAAACTTTCATGTTTGGGGCCTGTTTTGATGGCAATCAACCAGGTCCTCATCGATTCCGAGAGAAAGAATGGCGCGGACTATCAACTCACAGACCTGTTCAGAGCGGATCATTCCCACCCAGCCCCGGCCAGAGTCTTCCAGTCAAACTCTTCAAAGGCCTCTCCTCTCCAACGGATGTCAGAGTCCTCGTCAACAATCAGCTGAAGGCTCTCACCCACTTTGCTGGTGGGCACCGCAGTCTTGCTCTGTCCCCTTCGTAGCAGATTGTGCTGTTCCACTGCTCGAGATTCTAGGAACGACGCGCGCTCATGGCCGGAAGTGCCAAACCTACCCCCAAGTCTATACCCAACCCAAGCCCTGAAGTTCTGCAGCGGATTCAGTCTCATATCGACAAAGACTGCCGAGCAGGCTGAGGAGTGCTGGACATGTGAATATCGTCGCAATGCTATTTCCGAAAGCGGGGCTGGTAAAAAGGACGAAGAAGCAGAGCTGGGCACCAACGTACACGACCCCTTCTGCCTGCGAGCTCGCAGAAAGGCTCCAGAAAGAGAGATGCGATGGCTGCTGTCTCCAACGTGAGCAGAGTCAATCGTCTCGTCCTAGAACTCTTCCGGCTTCAGTCTGCCTTACTGGGCCGCGGACTCGACCGCCACCACGGCTACGCAGGGAATGAGTGGACTCCGATACCTGAGACCGGCATGGATGAGACTGGAGAACGCATCGATCGTGTGGCACGACCCTCTCAGAAGAGATAAAGGACACGTCCGAGTGTAAAACACTGTTCAAAGAGCAGCCTCCCTCCTCCGCATCGTATGAGCGTTGAGGTCGGTAGCAACTCACACGCTCAAGGTTGAGTGACATATCATACCAACGCACCTTGGACTCAAGCAACGAGGTCAAGAGATGACTGTACAGGCTTCCACCGACACACCCCCTCTCAACCTGCGAATCATGGACCGAACTAAACGCAGAATCCACAGACTCGATACACAATGCTGCTTCGGCTAGAGATTCAAAACTAGACGCGACAGTGATGACACCGAACGGTCCTGAATGACAATGGTCAATGTGGAAGGTGGGAATTGGCTCGAGGGGCGACTGGACAGTCCCCCCAGTCGAACTGATCGCCATCCGTAAAGCGACCGAAATTCTCAAGATGCGGACCGTGAACGAACCCGACATGAGAAAGGCCCTGGGCAAGACCACTACCATGATCAGCGACAGCCAGTCAGCCATACAAGCGATTGCGAATTCTCGAAACCTTCGTGTCTACGCAAACTTGTCACGACACCGAAGCCACCTTTTGACCTAACCGCGAGCAGTTCACTCTCGGCTGGTATCTTGTGCCCACAGACAGGAACTCAGGGACAAAGACAGGTGTATCTGCGGAGCAATCGAAACCGTGACGCACGTGGTGGTTGGACTGCCACGAAGTTGCGCGAGGAACGGTGTCAACTGAGGAAATAAGTGTAGGTGATGCGTCAAATGGCATCGCAACCTTGCTCGGAGGACGACCTCGGAGCGGCGCAAGGCAGTGTGAGCAAATGTGGGAAGCAATTGGAGAAGCTCTCAATGCAGTGCTCGAAAATCCGCGGGAGGCATCCTGAAGATTCAAGTCGCGGGCTCCGGCAGCACAGCCGAGCGTACAACATGGGCCTCGACGGGGGCACAAACTTCGCGCATGGAAACTTGGTCACGGCACCGATGGGAGAGAGGGATAACTTGGCTAGTGGTTAGCCTGCATATCCCAAAGAGAGAGGTCAGTGTGATTGAAAATCAGTCTAGTCTAGTTCCCAGACTTGTACAACCACGACATGCAAAATACCGTTTGGAAAAGGATTTGTAACCCACAACACCCAGAATAATCAGGACTCACTACATGGTAATTCAAAATAACCCTTCTGATGAAGTTGAACTCAACACGCCCAAAATATCATCTTTCAAATGGACTTGCAACCAGAGACATCCAAAGAGCCTTTCTGAAGGAGTTACAACTCGTCCGACTGGCAGAGTTATCAAAGGTCTGGCGAAGGGATTGTGTCAGACGGGATGCAGCCTTAGATGCCGGTGATTCAATTGTCAGGTCGGCCTTCTCCTTCCACCTCGTCGTCACCGACTCATCGACGTGCCAACAGGCCCGGTCTCTTTCATTCACTGCAATTCAACCATCGACCCTGTAGACGTCGGTAGGATGCCTGGAAAAGCATAAAAGGTCGCGTCCGCAGGTCGTATGCTGATCCGATGCGCGCTCACCAGGACCGACGTCCTATCGCAGGAGGAGCGAACTCGAGTCTCGAATCATGACCCTCTTCAAAAACGACCGTTGCTGAATGGGACACATCATATATTGCACGTGGACTCAAAGCGGCACGTACAATAGTACTCGGCGTGGTTGAATCACGCCATTGTACACCCACACAGCCCGGTGGGACGCAAATTCAAGCCGAAAAAGCAGAAAGCGTGGACGATTGATTTGAACGAGTAACCCTTGATGTCCATCGTCGACGACCCATGTTATGAGGAAAATGACAAGAACTAGAAGGAATTGAAGCCTGTCGGCGCGCTCACTCACTGTCGCGTCGTTCGGGGAGAGAAAACAAATGTCATGGTCGGACGGCGCGGGAAAAACTCTTTCCTACACCCAAGTATGTGGCTGCTCGATTACAATGGACTGAACGGCACAAGACATGGAATATGGGCATATGGAGGACGAGTACTAGGGACAGACGCAGCCTTTTTTGGCAAAGGTCCACGTCAACGCGCAGGGTGGAGGAGGAACTTCATCAATCCCGTGTAGTCCTCAAGTCCTTCAAGGAATGGGTACTATGCTACTATCGTGTACGCCAGGTATCAGGAGTGCAAAAAAAGGGACCTTTTGTTTTCATGCGTAGAGCCCGGGGCAAGGGTTTCATTTCGTGTCGCATAGTCGCGACAAGACCCGTGGATGAGCATAACTCGCATCTTTGCTAAGTATTCCTTTTTCGAATGAACGAAAATATCCTCTGCGCCTATGTCACTGCCGGAAAGATTACGCAAAGTCATGTTCTCCGAGTGATGAATCTCTCAACGCTAAGGCCCCTTTCGCGCCGTGGGAATGATCGCGTCGTTCATCGTTAGAGGGAATCGGGGAGCTTTCGAACAGGGTTCGTCAATAAGACCATTCACGAGTCAAAGTGCTCCTCAGAGCAACATAATAAAGAAGAGAAAGCTTGAGAGTGAATCTATGTACATGAATTACCATGGCTTCGTAACATTTTCCTGTACGCGGTTCTCTTTCTTTTCCCTAGATCATCCCATCCAGTGGTGTAGAAGCGGTCAACGGACTCCGATGTACCCAATGGACCGAACGCCCAAACATGACGTTGACACATGACTCTTCTGATAAAGTGGTGATTCTGTAGAGAGAGATTCCTCACATCCCATGATGCCTTGCCTGGCCTCAACGAGCTGCACAGCCACCGAAGATGCAACCACACTTCAAGCGGCTCTCCCTCACACTACCATCTCCTTTGCAACTTCGTTGCTGTTGCCCTTTGGAATCCCGGTGAGAACTCGACAGACGGTGTCACCCGTTTCGGTGGCCGTGTCTCGTTTGCCGTCATCTTGAGATGCTTTTTTCTGCACATTTGGACTGATCTCTTCGAGCGGCATGTCGTCTAGATCAGTGCGGCGCCCATCAGAGGCTGACCGAGGGTGTCTTGCTGATTGAACTATGTGTCAACATGTAGGTAAACTTTTAGATACCAGGCTTGACGCTGCTGGGCCGCAAGTGCTCCGACCCAACTTCCACTGTCTGATTTATTTGGGAAGACAAAATCTTGTTGTAGGATATGCCATTCATGTGGGTAGTGTCATCTTCGCAGAGTGCATAACCCTCCAAACGCAAAAGTGAATTGTTGATGTCGTCGGAAGTCATGTTGAAATCCCAAGACACTCTCAATGCTTCGGCCATCTTCCTGATCTTCGTCAGAGCTTCGTAGTCTTCTCGAATTCGGTCTTCGTAGCTCCTCTTCACCGATGTCGTTGCTGGTAGTGCTGGAGTAGGATCCAACGCCAGCACCGAGTTCTCCTGCCCCGACTAGGAGCTGGTGACCGAGTGGAATAGATATATATATTTAAGGCCGGGCCTGGCCGCCCACGACCCCTTCTCTCCTCAATCTGGACAGGCTGATGGCCCTGAACCGGGCGCCCGAGCTGGCGGTCCATCATTTCACCGGAAAGGATCGGGTTGTCTCTGATGACATCAAGTCCTGGCGACGAAGTGCGGTGGCGCCCAGGGGCACGGACACTTCCTCCAACGGTTCTTTTTGCAAGGGTAACTCAACTCGTACAGGGTGCCAGGGAGCTGGCATGTTTTGCATATGCCATGTTTTGTTTGCATATGAGAAGGTGAGTGTGTAAGGACCCCCCGGAGTGGGCTCGTTGGAATGGCTTCCACTCAGCTCACGCACGCTACTTCTCGCATCGTTGACTGAGGTGCTCACGCCGCCTGGAGACCGCTAGTCTACATTTGGTTCTTGTCTGTTGTTTCCACGATGAGGAGTGTTGTCACCCGTGTGGTAGGACGGGGGTGGCGTAGAACGTGTACGACATTTTCAAGAACGTAGGTTGGCGATCCGGAGGCGGGGTCGGATAGAAAAGTACCACCAAACCTCCATGCTTCTTCTTCTGTCGTTCATCTGAGACCTATTAGCCTGCATGACACAAATCATGAAGAATTTTTGATCATGAAAGTGCTGCCGATTCAAATCTCCCTTTTTTGCTTGTGTCGACGGGGTTTGGAATGTTGTCGCGTTTGCGGTAACGTTTGATCTCTCGATAGGCGGCACCTCCGAGTCGGAGTAGCGGATGGAATCATAATACGAAACGTTCACCCACAACACCGTGCAGCGAAACCGGAAGAATTCCAAACGCAAGTGTTCGGACCATCGCGTCAACCCAGATCACCCCATTCAAAATGCCGACTCTTCTTTGATGCCTCGGTCGCAAGATGGAGCCTGTGCTTGTATTTAGGAGTGATTGGTTTGTAGAAGCTGCGCATGGTCTCGCCAGGAAATAATCTTGGACAAGTCGCGGATCCCCAGTCGACTTTTACAGGTGTCTGATCTTCGGCGCGGCGCACTATGAAATGGTGTTGAGAACAGCCAACGACACAAACGGGACGGGATGTTGGTATAATTTGCAGAAATGACAAACAGAGGCAAGCACCGCGGTCTTAACGCCGCCCGCAAGGAAGGTAGATGGGCCCATCGGCCAATCTCGCGTGATTCTTGCTGTACCTGCTGCGGAATATCTTCTGAGACTCGTAGCTCTTCTGTATCTTGTTTCCCAAATGATTACCTACACTGCAGGCGTGTTCTTTTCGCCTTTTGACGTTTGCTGATAGTGGCATTCATCTCTCGTAGCTCGGTAACCTCGATTTGTAGGAGTGTCATTCGATATTTGATCCTGCTTGCCCCCTTTCGTAATTTGGTCAATCCCCGGACGACGTAGATTGACGTCGGAGAACTATTCTGATGTCCGGTAGTTTGGCCTAGAGGAATTCGGATTGTGAAGTAGTCTTGGTTGGGTTGTTTAGGTGTTCGGGAAGCCCAGATTGAAATAACCACTTCTGGGCTTGAGAGGAACAAGCCCTACTCCACGGGAAGTCTGCCCGGAGATTGCACTCAGTCGTACTTCTCTCAAAAGCCTCACAAAATGCCGAGCCGGGAGAGAAAGTCATCCTTCGTTGTATGCGAGATTCGGGCTCGGATGAGACCTTCAATTTGCGCGCAGTACGCCTACTAGGCCGAGTGCGGCAGGAGCGTCACCGAGGTGGTCGAATTCCGGGAGGGCGACCTGCTCGAGACGCTGAAGACGGATCTGGACAACATCGATCTGTTGTTACTTGACAGTACGTATCCTTTCTTCATCGTATTCTCTAACGGCGCAAAACATGGCATGTCCAGTGCCTGGAGGATGTGAGACGAATGAGCCGGCATGTAGAATTGGTCGCTCAATATTGTCGCCGACGGGAATTCTCCAATCTTTTAGCATGGTGCTATCTTGTTTCAAGATGAGAGGTGGCGTTTATTCTTGACAATGAGACAATGATGAACGGCGGGACCACACAGTGTTGCGGATTGACTTCTTGATTCACTGTGGCCCATTCTCGAATGCCAGGCCGGGTCATTTTTGGCTTTCCTCTCCTTTCGGCGCGGGTGACAATCATGGATGGCGTGATCTGACCCATGGCGAAGCCGGTGCCGTCGAAGTTGTAGGTATCTGCATCGGCGATTCCATAGTTCAAGAATGTACTTTTGACCCCTGTGAAGAACAGGAATTTTTTCAAAAGGACCGAGGCGACGAGATGGGATTCTATCCCGAGAGTCCTTGTGGACGTCTTGTCGAGGGAGGTTTACACAGCTGCTTCCTCTTGCTGTCTCTGGGTCCCCGGTCTCCCTCGCGTCGTTGCAGGAGACGATTGATTGACATTGAGAGTAGGAGGACTTCAAGGTCCGGTCCTTGGTTTTGGGCGAGGAGACTGGGAAGGCGGTGACCATAGATGGATATGCTAAGAGCCAGGTGATCACAGCCAAAACGTAGGTTGATACCTCGCGAAGTTGAAAGCCCGGTTGTTGTAGATGCGCGGCGCGTCGCCATCGTGCAGCATAATGCATCCCTTTCCAAGACTTGTCAGTGTCAACATCGATGATTCAGCTTGGTGTCGCGCGTCGTGCTTTGAATCCCGCGAGTTCGTGGGGTGTGGCCATGCCTCTTTAATCGGCTGTGTGTGATGATGCGTCAATGTTTCTTCCGATTGTTTTGACAACGCCCCGGGTTGAGGTTGACGTGGTTCGCAGAGTTCCGTACGTAATATGGTCCGCAGTCCTCGCAGGCATATTCATCGACACTTCTTGCTTCGCTTTCTGGTTTTTTCGAATCCTGCACACCTTTCCGTGGAACCACCTCTCTCGAGGACAAATTTGTATCAAGGAACCTCAACGTCCTCTTTCGTTGGTGGCTTTCGCTTGTAGACCGAGGGACTTCGTAGGGTCGATCTGAGTGATACCGAGTTTCGGTGTTGTTTTTGATGGCTTAAATAGCTCGAGACGAACGATCCGGGATTCGGTTTGAAGTAGATACATCAAGAATTGATGTTGTCGGTGAAGTTGCGAGGACGGGAGGTGGTGGTGACCTGGGCGGATTGAAGTGGTCAGCTCGCTTTGTGGACTGCAGTACGATTGACACTCGAAAACAATTTGTAGACTCGGTATCACAGTAGAATCTAGTCACGACTGAGAAAAGACATTCTGGCCGCAACAAAGTAGAATCAATGTGGACCTGCTGGCCGCAGAACGAACGACTTTGGCTGGTGCTGGTTGTTGCTCTGACTGGTCACTGGTGATGGGTCAGAGGTAGGAGATGAGAAGTGAGAAGGAAGGAGTGAGGAGTGAGAAGTAACTAATTGTCAGAGAACTACTTGACAAATGTAGAGAGACTATGGTACAGTTGGTGCTACTCTGGTACGGGTTGGCCGCGGGGTTATGACTAAGTTACTGTTCTGCTGGTGAAAGGGATTATCGCTAAGTCACGGGTTACTCTGGGCTGCAAAAAGTATGTAGACTGCGACTTACCTGCCGTAGGAGGGGCAGATGACTAAGCTACTGTTCTAGTACTGGGCTGGTGATCGTTCTCGTTCTCGTTCTTGTACTCGTACTCCTGGCTGCTTGTTCGCACAACGAGAATTGTCAGGATCCTGATCATGTGACTAGTGCTGGAACTTACTTTTGCCTGCGCTGCGGTCTCTCATCCATCTCGGTCGCGATCCGTCGTCGGCTTTTGGCCGCAAGTGACATACCTGGTTGGACGTCAGCGCGAGAGAAACAACAAACAGAGAGCTCCGAGGTCAAACCTACACCGGCCAATACGCGTGGATCCTCGTGTCCTTGACGTCCGGTCTCGCCCGCGCCACGAGGACCTGGACCTCCTGAAGGGTCCACCCGAGGAACTTGGTCAAGGGCCGCAGGGTCAACCCTTCGATGCCCGCCAAGATGTTGATGCAGTTGAGCGTCCCGAGCGTCTTGTAGTCGGGATCCGCGGGCCAGTTGTTCTGGGGGACCCTGAACCTCTCCACCCTCACGTCGACGAAGCCCGCCTCCCGGAAGAGGTCCCCGTACCGGGCGGCGAGGAAGGGGTCGCGCCCTCCCGCCCTGAGCGCCTGACACCACGTCCCGATCCACCGGCGGTACGGGCCGTCCGGAGGGATGCTGTCGTCGTCGGACTTGGGCGGGCAGACGTCCTGGATCTCGAGCCACCCGCCGGGCGCGAGGCTCTCGTACGCCTGCCGGAGGAGCTCCCTGGGGTCCGAGACCGAGCCGATGAGCAGCCGCCCGTGGATGAGGTCGAACTGACGCTCGAAGCCCCAGGGTTCCTCAAAGTCCCAGACCCGAAAGTGACAGTTGGGGGGCACCAGCGTCGGCTGGATCGGGCTGAGGTCGACGCCCAAGACCCTGGCCTGTGGATGTCGGTCGGCCGCCTCGATCGCCCAGTTGCCGGTTCCGGTGCCGACGTCCAAAATCTCCGATGGACTGTCGACCGGGGAGACGTACAAGTCACCCTCCAAGATTTCGAGACTGAGCTCGTGTTGATGATCCAACCGGTGCCGCTCGTGTTCGTCGTTGGGGAAGAGATACTTGCCGTCCTTGTAGGCATGGTACTTCCGACCGTTTTCTTCCGGATATTGTTCCAGACTGGATCCGATGGTGGTGTCGTCGGAAAGGGTTTCTTCACCCAACGTTGAATCCGTCTCGTCGGCCGTCACTGGAAGCTCATCTTGCTCTGTCGTCGACATGGCGATGATGTATTGTATAGATATCCGATTGGTTGTAAGACTGGTTCCACCATGTGCCGTAGATAACAGAACGGAGATTTCAGACAAACAAAGTGACGTGAAAAGGAGAGGAGACGGCCGGAACTAATAAGTCCTTTCGAAGGGGGACACGTCCGCAACGGGTAAGGGCGTTCATGCCAGGCGATCGTACTGTCCAGAGAGACCGTGAGTCGTTGTGTGAAGGGACCCAAAACAATCCCTTCGCTTAAACCCTTGATATCCCTGCAAGTCGGTGTGATTTTTTGTCGGAACGGCCAAGAGGTCTCCCGGGTGGCGTAAACAACGCCCATCGATACGTGTCTTTACAACTCGAGTAATGGGCTCGGATCGCTCCTTCTACAGCCCGCACTTTGACGCCTTTTTTTACCCATTCGCCTCCCACAGGTGACGTTCATACATGAGACGCAGCTCCGCGGAGGGTACACACTATCATCGTATAAATGGCAAGTAATGATACAGTACACACAGGGTTCGAAGTAGTCGCCGGCAATGGCTCCTAATCGACCACTATCGACGTCCGGGTTACAGACATGGCCAGGGACTCGGCCTGGATGACGTCGCCCAACTGGAAAGAGTGTCGAAGTGACTGACCGGTCCGAAACTTGGACAGGCGTCGGCGAATGAACATCAACATGCTTCGAATCTCCTCGTCTCTCCTCTTCGTCCGTAGGCAGTCCGATATCGAATCCTTGATGATGCCTATCACAATCATCCCTCTCAGTCGAGCCTGGATGATTGCACGGTGACGCTCCAAGGCGTGACAGTAGTACATTTGTGCGACCGCCCAGGAACTCCTAACCACCCGGGTTGCCCTCTGGAAAAACCAAAGGGCGTAGAGTTCTCGGGCGGCCTGGAGCCCCCAACACTCCACGTCCTCGGGGAGGGGTTCAAGTGGGCAGTATTTCGAATCCAGAGTCAAGCGGACGGGACTCTCATGGACCTTGCGCCGCAGATTGGGGAGATGGGCGTTTCGAACGAGAACTTCCAACGACCCATCGTTGAGAGGTGAGATGCTGGGCACCTGGAGGAATTCTCCCACCGTCTCATCAAGATCATCGACCATGTCGCCTAGGTCGACGATCTCGTGGCCCTCGGGAGCGATCCGTACGAGGGCGTATTCGGCGTCAATGAGCTCCGCAGCTGTTCGCCTGGATCTCGTTGAGGTCGTGACCATGTTGGGGGGAAGACGTGGACGTACCGAAGGGGGTAAGATGGAGGTGACCACGAGCGTCCATCACTGGACGGCGTCTCGGAGCCAGAAATCATTCCGTCCCGCCTGAGAACTTGTGACCGCCTCGGGTTCCGCGAGGTCCGACTGTCAGCAGTAGAAACTGACGCGATGTCTGGAACGTCTTCATCCTGGTCCATGATCTCATGCGATTGGCGTACGAAGTGCCTGTGACGAGGGGACAAGTAAAGTGCGAATGCGGTCTTCTGGTTTGGAAAGGAAAGGTCGTGACAGGGCATCGAAAATGGAATCGGAGGTTGCGAGGCACCCAAACCGGTGAGAGAATCACATCATACAAACCGGGCGTGAAATGATGCCTGATTATATGGCTGGGATGGCTGGGATGGCTGCAGGCCCGCGAAATGAGCCATTGAAACGCGCTGCAATATCACAACCACTTCGTCGACGTGAAAGGAGCCCAAAGATGGACGTTGTGGCGCTGTGGTGTCGCAGGTTCCAATGTGTCAAGGTGAGGATGCATCCGAAGTGGCCGCTGGTTGAAGGTCGAGCCCTAGACTTTCGCTGTTGCACGCATCGTTAGATGAATCTCCTTCCGTGATACCTTCATACTTACCGGATACAAGCCATTACAACAACACTACTCGGACCCCTGCTCCTTGTTCTTTCGTTGCTCCTAGACCCGGACTTTCACCGTGGTATTCGGTAGAGAGTGCATCTTGGGCGCTTTCAGGGAAATCCCGATTCCCACCTGTCATAACCTGTACCATTGTTTCCCCCTTGCTTGACAGCCAATGGAACTTTCACTAGCTCCAAAATGAGCATTACTGGTCAACGAAAGTCATGGAACTTTTGCTCTGCCGGGGGATTGTTGGGTCACAGCCGGATGACAGGTGAAACCACTTTGCCCGTGATGAGTGGCTGGAAGTCCGATGGTGTGGGTGTGTGTGCGTGTGTGGCTTTCGATCGACGAGGGAAACTCTCGAGATTTTTTGTTGGCTGGCTGAGTGGCTTGTTTTGGTTGCTTGCCTAGGCTTTTCGTCGCCTGGATGTGTTCGCTTCGGTTCGGTCAGGCTGAATTTCGGATCGCTGCCTTTGATGGCTTTGCTACTTATCCCATGGGAGTACAAAGTGATTATTCGGTAAAGAATAGCTTCTAAGCATGAGTTGTGACAGTTTGCGCCTTGCTACAGACTAGACTCGCTTGCTAATATTTGCCGAACAGGTATTTCCGGACCAGATCGTGCCTACCCATGACACGCTACCAGGATCTTAATCATGTGACTATTGCTAATACTGCGGCTGCGCCCTCAAACGCCCAGTTTAGTACTCCGTACAGAATCCTGTCAATCCACCCGCACAAGTCGTGGCCGCCCATTGATTTTTTGCCAGCCTCAAAGAGACCGAGGTGGTGGCAGGAGATTGTCCCCGTCTACCAGAAGGAATCATCGTAGTCCTCGACGGAACGACGTAATTCACTCCCCCAAAGGTAATCCCGGCACCGCTCACGGGCGTAGTCGATGTCACCACGTGGTAGAAAGTGACTGGCATCAACAAATCAGTCAGTACGCACGACCACTTTGTGAAGGATCAGGTTTGACAAACAAGCTGGTATTCTTCTTGACCTTGAAAATCTCATAGGTCACCGTGTCGAGGTCGGCCTCGGGATTGGTCTTGCAGTACATGTCGAGGAGAATGTGCACATACATGGACGTGTGGGGTGGGACATAATGGTAATAGTAGTCGTCTCCAGGGTCCAGGCCGAATTTGGTGAAGAAGTCGTTGATGATGGCCTCTTCTTCCATGGCGTAATCCACACAGAATCGCAGCACGACCCGCTTCGGTTCGGCGGTGGACTCCATGTTTGGGGTTTGCTTTTGTTTGAAAAGTGTCACGCGGTGATTGGAGACAGAAAACTCGTGAGTTGCGGCAAAAGAAAAGGAAAAAAGTGACCGAGGTTGTCGTTGTTCTTATCCGGACGGGTAAATCTTTGAGTGAAGACCAAGAAGGCGGTGATACCGGGTGACTTTTGTGGCAGTAGCAATGTGGGCCCACGTGACCCGACGTGATTGTGAAGGCAAACTGTTGAGAGGCTGGGGCTGTCAAGAGGAGAAAGAGAGAAGAGAGAGAAAAAGAGGGGGAAAGGGAGCGAGGGAGGCAGGGGCCGTACCGTGATTTCAAAAAAGACGGGCGAAACTTTACAGTAGGCGCAAGGGGGGGAGTAAAATCTCTCCTTGAAAAACAATAAACTACTCCGGTGATAGTTTCCGTAGAGAGTGAGGCACTCGAGTGCTGTCTCCGGGTCTTCCAAGATCCCCCCAATTTCCACCACTCACAATCTATACGAAGAGTTGCATCTTGAGGCGTCGGGGGACGCTGCTTTCAGGGAGACTCCCAAATCCCAACCTCTCACAATCTGTACCGTTGTTTCTCCCGTGCTTGATGGCCAATGAATCCTTTCACTAGCTCCAAGATGAAGTTTCACAAAAAGAAAAGACGCATGGAACTTTTGATCTACCGGGGGATTTTGGTGTGACCGACAAAAGCGATTACTCGGTACGGAATAGCTTCTTCGCATGGTCGCGACAATCTTACGCGCCTTGCTACCGACTATTGTAGACTCGGGCGCTAATCCTCGCCAACAAAGTTTTGGTTTTTCGGGCACCGATCGGGTTGCCTGCCCCATCCCACGCCTAAACTGTTTTCCGGTTAGGACGCCTAAATGTTGTCCGGCAAGTCCCCGTTGGTTTTTGAATTGGGCTCGCCTAGCGTACATTCTGGGCGCCAACGGCACATCTCTTTTTTTCCCACTTGCCGCGATCAATTCTAGCGTACAGGATGGATTCCAGCCAATAACTCCGTACACATCATTTTTTTCCCACTTGCACGTCATTTTTTCCCACTTGTCCACGTCCCCGTTTTTTCTCTGAACCGCACTAAAAAAACCCCTTCATTTAGGCTCGAGTCGTTAGGCTGCCGTGGTCGATCGAGGACCATATCTCGATCCAAGTTATGGGGCCAGTCAAACCGGGGAAGCGAAATGTCTCAGTGGATCATCCAATAGTATAATCCATCCCCTACTTACCCTGGAATCAAGCTGAAAGCCTTGCCAACAGGAGAGGGGTTGATGGCCGAGTTGTTGCAGGGGATCATCCAATAGTACCATCGATCCCTTTCCCTAACCAAAACTGAGGCTTGCCAACAGGAGAGGGGTTGATAGCCGAGTTGTTGCAGGGAATCATCCAACAGTACCATCGACTTTATCTCTCAACCAAAGTTGAGGCCTGCAGGTGAGGCTGGCAAAGTGTCTTCGAATTGATCGAGTTCCCCTACTTCGTTCAAGGCGGCGTAGGTGATCCCCACGAGAAAGGGCCGCACCGAGTCAGAAGTCAATAAAGACCCGTTTGGCCGCCGTTGCTGTCATGACTGGTCCTGATACAAGTCTCTGTCTCTCTTCTATCTCTAACTCTCTCACGTTTCCCCACCCCACTCCCTCACAATTAACCAAAGCTTCTTTTTGTTCCACCACGCTACACCCACCAGAATGGACGCGGAAGCTTACAATATGATAGGCAAGGTCAATGAAATACTCTGCGAGCACCATCGACTCGGAACCATCCCGAGCAGAGACCAAGGTGGTTTGTTGACCCGACTGAGCCTAACCTTTGACCCTCCCCTACACGTTGAACGATCGGATGTACGGTGGGGGAGAGGAGAGGAGCACAAGGAGGCCAACCGTCGATGGCAGGGGAGGCAAGCTTTCAATGTGTACTCTGAGGTTCTGGACCGTCGTCCAGATATTTTTCTGGCCTTCGTGGTCGCCCGTCCGGCATCGAGGTGTATCGGCTTCAACGTGACGGAGTTTCTGAGGCGGTACAACGAAGCCTATCCGGATCGGAACTTTGCCCCGTTGGACAATGATGCGAGGGAGCTCCTCCTGCACACATCTCGAAAGGGTAATTTCTCAACCAACGAACGTTTCCAAAGGTTCCTATGCAAAATATTCCCACCGAGTTCGTCTTTTCTCACTCTCTCTCTCTCTCTCTCTCTCTACCTCTCTCTACCTCTCTCTATTTCTTTCTCTCTCTCTCTCACACACACACTCTCTCTACCTCTGTACCTCTGTACCTCTCCTTCTCTCCCTCATCGCTGGAATGTTCAATCCTAGCTAACCAAGAGTAGCTCCACGACCTATAAGCGCCGTACAGACTGATTCCACCATTTGGCACAGAACGACCCAGCTCGAGACTTTCTGGAACGAATTTGGCTTTGTGATCTGGGGGTTTTTCGACAGTTCCCCGGGACGAGAGCATGAGAAGGCACTCAGGTGGGAAACTGCAACAACAACAACCGGGTGTATCCTGGGCAGCTACAACAGCGGTGTCACCCTGGACGGCATCGTCACTTTCAACGTGGGCAAGGCTCTCAACCTGATGCGGATCTTGTTCCCAGGTGCGACACTCCCGCCGCCGCAAGAGCAAACTCCAGAGGGGTGGTATACGACGGACACTGCCTACTTCACGCTCACCGGGGCGAACATCAGCGGTCTCTTGTCGCTTTTCCCCCCCGAGATCTGCGATGCGATCGAGGCCAGCGAGCTGCGAGCCTGGGAGAGGGAGCACTTCTTGACCGAGACCACGGACTGCGTGACGCTGAAGGTGTGCCGCACCAGGTTGTACCAAGGTTGCCTCAGTGTACGCGTCGGAGGGGAGGTAGGCCTGTCCATCCTCGACAGACTGTTTCCGGGATGATTCATACCAACACGTGACGGGAGATTGTTTTTCTTTTTTGTGAATGGTGTCTTTTTTTTGCTTTGGTCGAGAGACGATTTGGACTCTAGTACTCAGCAGTCAGGAGATGGCAGCTCACCTATATCTAGCAGTTTACCGGCAGTACCGGCAGTAAATTCTTTCTCACCAGTAGAACTGTAGCTTGGTCATTTCCCCTATGAGCAGTTTACCCCTCACCAGCACAAGAGTAATAGTCTTAATCCTCTGCGACCATCCCAGGTCAATTCAGGTCTAACTCTTCTGTGCAACTCAGTAATAATTTTTGGGAAATAATATGATGTCAGTATCTGACACACTCCTCTCATCTCATTGGTCAATACTGTCATTCATTCTATTCATCTCGGATGAAATGCGCAAGTATTTAAAATATCTAGGATAAATGCGCACCGAGCTCAAACTATCCAGGATGTGTGTGCACCACACTTGATGAACACAGCCCAAGATGATCAGGACTCGTGATTATTATTTCGCAACACACTCAGAATACTCTTCGGAAAGACTTGCATTTATTATTGCGTGACACACCTCAACATATCATTCAAAAAGAACTTACAATCATAATAACACTCTAAATACCATTCGGAAGGACTTGCACGCAATACATCCAACATAACACTATAACAGTCTTTATTACTACAACAGTCTTGTTACTACAACAGTCTTGGTACTATTATAACAGGAGTAAACATGGAAGCACCAGGTGCGCACAGGGCTAGGTCTGTAACCGCAACAACAACAACAAACCTCAAACTCAGAGGTCTTCCTGAACCGTAAAGACTCTTTCTGTAATCTGTACTGCAATCCTGCAACACCCTGTAGACAATGTCGACAATCTCGTCAACCTCAGAGACTCGTTGGCACTCGCCGCTTAGTCGTCCTTCCTAGTCACCTGTGTCCGTACAGGCGCACTCGACACTCACGGGGCCACAAGATAATCGGGTTACTCATTCGGTATCACGCACCTAGGGCTCACAGTCTCTGGAGAACAACGCACTTATACTCAAGGAAAGGAACTCATCTCATTGCTTGGTCACCTGTTGCCATAGCGCGTTGCACACCTCTATGTGTACTATACTTATTACTATCTACTCACTCTGATGTCGCGGCCAAGATACTCATACCGCCCCACACGCACACTTACAACAGCTAATTACTAGCTACCAGGAGACATCTTCATCATTTCCCAGAACACTACAACAGTCTTGTTACTACAACAGTCTTATTACTCGCCGCTTAGCCGTCCTAGCCACCTGTCTCTGTACAGGCGCACTTAACATTCACAGGGACAGAAGTGTCACGAAATACTACACCTACCCCACAGGATTCAGGTGAGAAAGGAGTAGAGAATAGAGCCCTAGGACAAGGGCCTAGGGATTACGTGAGAAAGGACGCGGTCAGCACGTATAGCCTCGGAAGGCTTTAGAGCACATTACATCAAAAGAGGAGAAGCTGTACAAAACCTGCCCGACCCAACTCAGGTGGGAGAGGTTTTCTCTCCCTTCTAAGCGTCGAGTCGTTGTACCATAGGACTTCATAGTGGAATACGATTCGGTTACATCTTTATAGCGTCTGTATCAGTGGAGATCCTGACAAGTAGGTAGTCATGTTACTTATTCAGCATCACGCACCTATGGCTCACAGCCTCTAGGGAACGACACGCTCATACTCAAGGAAAAGAACTCATCTCATTACTTGGTTACCTGTTGCACGCTGCCTCCTCTGTTATGTGCCATCCTTGTTGCAATCTACTCATTCTGATGTCGTGGCCAAGATACTCATACCGCCCCACACGCACACTTGCAACAGCTGTTCACCGGCTACTAGGAGATACCTTCATCATTTCCCAGTACACTACAAGATTGTTGTAGTAATAAGACTGTTGTAGTGCTGACAAGTCTCCGAGGTTGATGAGATTGTCGACATCGCCTACAGGACGTTGCAGGATTAATCTGCGCCGCTCAGGTTAACAGAAAGAGTCTTTACGGTTCGGGAAGACCTCCGAGTACGAGGTTTGTTGTTGTTGGTTGCTGTTACAGACCAGCCCTGTGCGCACCTGGTGCTTCCTTGTTTACTCCTGTTATAGTAGTACCAATACCTCCTCAAGATACCCTTTACCATATCAACTTCATGACGACAATCTTGAGATTAATCTGCTCAATTCTTTACACCTTCATCCTGTACAATAACTGTTGTCTTTTCCGGGCCGAAGACTCCTTTCATCACTCCTACGCATTCCTATTGTCGATAGTCCTTTCGATAGTGTGTCAAAACACCTATAGCAGTACGTTTCTTTGACACACCACTCGACAGTATCATCAACAGTCCAGCCAACGAGAGCCAAAATCGTCGGCGCGCGAGTCGTTGGCGTCTCGTGGTGGCAGATATCTATTAGACGTGGCCTAGAGCCTCCCTTACGGCGGACTCCGTCGAAACGGACGGTCTGGTCTTTACAAGTCGAGGCCTATTCCTAGGGCTCAGTACGCTCTTTTAATGCCCCAGTTTTAACACTCATTCCTCTATCTATTCCATCCGACGAGGCACTCGTTGTTGAGGCAACTGCTTCCAGGGTCTCATTCTCTAGGCCTATTCAAATGTCATCGTTTTGGCAAGTTGATGCGGCAACGAGGAATATCTCAACCGGGAGGAAGAATTACGCTCCTTTTTACTGACACTGTGTAAAAATAGATAGCAAACAGCATTGTAGTCAAGTCATCGAGGTCAGACTCGATGATACATCATATTGGACCCCTGACATTTTGATTACCTAGTGATTGCACCCCGTCTAACAATATCCGATACGTTAAAAACACCTCGTCCAAACGCGGCGCACGACATTTGCAGCACTGGATGATTGACCAGTCGACGCCAACTCTCATCCCACGCTCAGGTAGACCGACTATACACAACGAGCGTGATGAAAGGAGCGCAATTCTTCTCATCAGACACGGTGCTTTTCTAATGCCTGAGACTGGCCTTGGTCTTTTTGGAGAGGTTTCGCCCGAGAGCATCGACGTTCGGTCTCCATACCCATCCGATTGTGTCAGGACAACTCAGAATGCCCACAATTGTTTTTGGCATCAGCACCCGGAGTAACCCGTATGGGATTTTTGTCTTTTGTCGTTGGCGCGCGCGCACAGGGACCATAGGACCGACCTTCCCTCCCATGAAAAGAGAAATTCTCCGTCCAGTGCGACGTTTCCCCAAGTCAATTTACGCTCAGGTGCGTACTCAAACGGGTCTAGACTTCTTAGATGAGACCTTCAATTGAATGCTCGACAAATATGGCATGGGCAATTGAATTCCTACGAAACGACCTCTTTTGATCGAGAAGAATGTTCGCAATCGACCTCGATGGTGTGAGGAACACAAGAATCGGAGCGCCGATGGGTGGAAAAAGGTGATTTGCGACGAATGATCCTTGGAAAGAGGCTGCTAGGAAACGCTCAATCTGGGTCTTCCGAACACCGTGACAAAAGTGGTACAAGGAGATGATGCCTCGTTCAAAAGAAAAAAGGGTTATCAACGACGTCTTATATCCAAACACTCGACGACCACATGCCTAGGTGTTGAGAACCAGGTCGCATCTCTATGCAGGACGATGTGCCTATCTACAAGACTAGAACCACTCAGGAACGGTCCAAGGAACATGTCATTCCGCGTCTAGAAATGGCCGCCGTCCTACTCGACAGATCTCAACCCCATCGAGAGCATCGATGCGATCCTCAAGGACAGACTGATCGAGCATTGGGCGCACCTGGTAAACGGTGACAGAACGGAGAAGGATCTAGAGGACCTAGCAACAGCCATCAGACTTGAATGGGACAACATCTCTCAGGCGACAATTGATGATGCAGTGAGGAGTTGTTGGAAAGAGGGTTGAGGCTCTGATCGAGGCGGAAGTGGTCTGGTGCTGAACTCAACTCAAACCGCTCCTTTTACAGGTCTCGTCTCGGCGCCCATTGTAAAAATACTCACCCCCAGGTCTATTTTACAGGCGGGTGTGGACCCCAAAGCAAACCACGACGCCTAGCATTTGCCTCCCCGAGAAAATAGTCTCACAGTCATCGAGGTCAGACTCGACATTACATCATATCGTACCGCTCTCTACAGGAATCAAATTACCCGCAATCCGAGGTTACACCCAGTCTAACACGAGTACCTCGACAGAACGAGAATATTCCCCCCAAGACTGCGGCCTCTCCCTTATTCTACAGTGCGCTCATTCTTTCTTTGTTCAACTGTCCAAAACGCAGTTGTTCATCCCAGCAATGCCTCTGCTTGCGCTGAAATCTTTCCTCGACTTACACCGGACTCCTGCCTCGCATGATCACGATTCTACGGCACCGCTGATCAAATCTCCCGCAACGCAGACCTTTGAGAACACCTCCACGGACGTTACTGTCAGCCAGATATGACACTGCGAAACGCCCTCAATAACCTCGTCTACACCGTCAAGGGTCCGGCAGAAAAGAAGAGACTCGAGGCAGAAGTATCTTGTGGTATCTATCTCTTTGTATGTGCCCCTGGGCAAGAGTACTCGAGACGACAAAGGTTGAGACATGAAACGAACAAAATGGCCATATCGGATACTCTAGCTGGTTCAATTGTTCCGCATCATTCAAATCTCCTCTCATCCCGGGTATCTCAACAGTATGGCCTCTCTGTCATGAACCGCCCGCACTTCTTTCCTTGTCCGAAACGCAGTTGTTCATCTCGCCACGCCTCTCCTCGCGCCGACATCTTTCCTCGACCTACAATCAACTCATTCTCTCTTATAATCACAATTCCATCTACAGCGTCGCCGATCAATGCTTTCACAACGAAGGCCTTTTTGAGAACATCTTTGCAGACGTGGCTACTGGCCAAATACGAAACTACGAAATTGCGAAACGCCCTCAATATCCTTGTCGACACCGTCAAGGGCTCGACAGAAAAGAAGAGACTCGAGGCAGAAGCATGTCAGGGTATCTCTCTGTAGTGTACCCTGGGCAAAACTCTTGGGACGACGAAGAATTAGGATGTTTATCCTCCGCCGTCGAATCCGGTTTGGATGGAATGAATAAAAGGCCCTTGAGCCTCGCCAGGAATACATCGCTCTAAATGACACCTGGAAACAGTCTGTACACGGCGGATACAAGAGTTCAGGGGAATGACGAAAATTGGGACGGATATCCTCCGAATTGATCTGGTTCTCGCTTCCAAGGAACTAACGCTATCAACCGTCAATTCTCAGTATATGGGACTGAACCTGGATCCGATCATCGTGCGATACTGATTCTCGGCGGTAACTCGGTCATCCGGACACTCTCAGGCTATACCGATGCCGCCCCTTCTTGGATGATCACGCCGCATCCAAGTCAACCCATGAGTACTTCTTGACGTCAAAGGTGGTGCGTTTAGCCGAAAGTCTGCGCAAATCAAGAGTCTCGTTTCATCAACCTATAAAGCCGAGAACAGAGGGCAATTTGAAGCCCCGAAAGAATTACAATATTTACGCCATCTTGCCTCTGAACTCTGGCCTAATCTCAGAGAAGGACCGAGCACTATCTATGCGGCCAGGGAGCATCCGAAGATGCCGCGCTGCTTATGACCAGGAAACGAGGAAAAAAAAGCAAACGAAGCCTCTCAGAGCGATCGACCCAGTGATCCGAAATCCGAAACCTGAAAGCTGCTCTGTTCTTATACAATGAACTACTCAAAATGACCTGTACGGAGTATATGGGGAAAGAGACGAGTTTCGCTGCCCAAAAAAGAAAACCGTCGGTGTGCAGCGCAATCGGCAAAGTCAACATCGAGTTCAACTGAAACCCGGCTGTTGCAAATAACCACCTCGCGGTATTCACCCAGTCCTCCACAGAGTGTTCGCAGTCGGGCGTCGGCACCGTTGTCAAGAATGTTCTTGGTAGCTCGGGAATCGCTCGGATGCCATTTGCGTCATTTTGAAGATGTTTTGACAGCCCTTCGATATGGAAGCTGTGTTGTCCTCCTTCAGCCGCGGCTCGCAGCCAGTGTACATTTATTCGAGCTAGCTCGTTGTCCATACTGATCGAGAAGTATAACGGTCCTTCATAGTCGAAGAATTCCAATCCGAAGCTGCGCCGTATCAGTTCCAGATTGCCGCTCAACGCGATGGCACCAGTACCTGCAGCCTGATCCGTTGCGATATCATGGGTTCCATTTGTGGCCTGCGACCTGAACTCGATCTCCGGGAACGAAAATTGAGTCTCCTGGTCCGGGACGGCGAAATCTCGGCCGAACTGAACGTCGACGAGGAGATTCGATTTGCGTTCCTGGTTCTCGGTGAAGGCTGCCTCGGACTTTCTGGACGTGGATATCGTGCTTTCGAGGCTGTTACCTGGCGAAGTAAGGAAAATGGGAGGGCTGCGGGGCATGTTTACCAGTGCCTCCAGAACGGGGGGTTCGTTTTCTGCCGATGTTCTCCGAAAGCAGCTGGACTCATCCAACCAATCCTCAATGAGGTTCTCCTTATCAGGTTCAGTCCGTGCTTCGGTCTGTTGTGGAAGCCCTACGCCTCGGACGCTTCGTGTCGTGGTTTGGTTCGTCCCCGGCATTGGCAAAACGCCGCCGTTTAGCTCTTCGAATTGGCAACATGATTTCATTACAGTTCTGGCTCCACATCTAACTACTCTTGTGTGCTCCTAGGCGTGCCGGTAAGGTCACAGGATCTTTGTCTTTCTCTTTACACCGATGGTGTTGCCTCACCAATGGTTTCTGCGCTGACCTCGTCCGCCCTCCTCTTGCGATTCGTTGCTGGCTCGCAGCTTGTTTCTATTGCAATCGCGGATTCTTGTGAAGGATCTTGGCCCTTCTTCTAAGGTTTCGTGGGCTCTGTTGGTTGCCTGCACCGTGGTCAGTGACAAGCGAATTAGGCAATCAAGTGGTACGAGGCAAAGGAACTGACCCTTTCCTTGAATCCTTCGGGTCTTTCTCCGATGCTCGGTTATGTCCTCGTCCTTTTCTTTGTCCTGGACAGAATGGCGCCATGCTCCTGTGGTTCTTCAGTCGGGTCGGATTCCAGATTATCCAAGGTATTTCCTACTGCTTGAACGGTCAGGCTTGACCTGCTGACGGTCACCCTTGTCGTGGCCTTTTCGTGCTCCGTCTGTGCCTTGCTTTGCCACACTCGCTGCCATATCGACTGACAATGAATAACACAAAGGACTAGTCCTCTATTCGTAGCTCACGCAAGGACGAAGTGTTGAGGAAGCGGGGCCGTGGATCATGAACGGTCGTGGGAGTTGCGGAGACTCAACATTCTGCTTACGCCGCTCAGAAGTTGGAACGGCCAATCATTGACACTGCAACGGAGCCAGCCTTGCAATTGATATCAGCCTTGTTGATATATGTATTGTGAAAGCTCATCCGCTAGCATCTTCTCTTCCAGGATGAGAACAAGTTCTTTTGTCATGGTAAAGAAGAACAAAGCCAGTAGACCAAATCTGTAGCCTTGCCTTAGTAGGTGGACCATGTTGGCTGTCACCGATCCCAGGGACTAGGACCGCGGCTCTTTGTTTCATTTTGGGCAACAGGCTGAACACGTGACAGACTGCTTTCCCGCACATTCCATCTCATCCTCCCCTCATTGACAGTCTGTCTTTTGTAGCTCAATCGTGGGTTGTTTTGGGCCTTCTTATCTGTCGCTTTGATGACTCTATCAACCACAATGGCGGGCAAATCCCTATTAGTTCAAGGATCATCCTGTTGTGTGTATTATACATGACCTTTTGCCAGGAAAAAGGAAGTTCAACATATCATCCCTTGTGGACTTGCTCAAGAAGGAGACCACAACAGGTACACCTAACAACACGATCTCTCATTCTGTCACATATCTCCTTCTCCTGGTTCTTCTACATCTTCTTCCTCTGCTCATTCGCCTTTTAGTTCTTCTCCTCCTTTGCCTATGCGGTAGAAGTCCATCTCCTACCGCAGCTGTGCAGCTAACCCCCAAGAACCATCTCACCGTCACCCTCCTCGACCTCTTTCGTCTCTCGACCTCATCAGCCTCTTTCTCCTCGACCTCCTCAGCCTCTTTCTCCTCGACCTCCTCATCATCGTCCTCGTCCTCGTCCTCCTCGACCTCGTTCCCCTGCTCCTCCTGCTCCACGGCTCGCTCCATCAGCTTCCTCTGCAGAGAAGTATTTTCCGGGCCGAGAGAGGGCAACATGACTGTCTATCCCACGACTTTCGCAGTTTCATCGACTGGGAAGTATAGCAGTTCACTCGTCTCTTTTCACGTCCGTTCCTGCCACGGCTCCATCAGTCTCTCTATGCAAAAGGGTCCGAGCGTCAGTCCTCTCAGCTTGTCACATATACGCTCTGCACAACTGTCTCGAATCCCTCTATAGGCAGGACCACCCCTCGCTCTCCTCTGCGTCGAGATTCTGACGGTGAAACAGACTGGGTACCGACAAGACCTAATGGATTTGTTGCGAGCCGCTCCGAAAGAATTTCCCAATAAGCAAAGCAAGCACTCCTCAACAATGACCGTCTCTGCTCATTCGAGCATCCTTCATGTCTGCTCCGGAACTGCCTGCAGGAAATCTTCTTGAAATGGTTTTGCGGAACACAACGCAGACCAATCCGAGCCACGAGGATGAGAAGAGTTGAGAGAAGTCTCGAGAGTTATGGCCGAAGCGACGAGCAAAAAAATGGTCAGAACAATGCATAAATGCAATCAACTGAATCCTTGCCGCCGAGATACCAAGGACCATCGGTTTTTGCCTTGAACGTACACGAAGAGATCCACGACAAAGACAGAGACTCGAGGCTCGTCAGCGCAGAGAAACAACTCGATCAATAACTCTCACTGACATCTCAACGATCTCCTTTGTCCTTCGTGGAACCCTCCTGCTGCGGTTGATACCCGGTGACGCATTTGGTCAACGGGAAAAGAGAAACGAAAGAGAAAAGACTTTGATGGGACCAAGATACACACGCTTTCTGGCTGCGGCCCATTTCTCTCAGAGGAAGAAGATTGCTCCTTGGTGTTCATCTGTCCGCCGCCGGATACCACGCTTTTATCATGTACGGCCTGGAGGAATCTGCCCGCTTCAGTTTTTCAAGGCTCACGAAAGAAGAGCATGACTTCTTGTATCATCACTGCTCGGAAATCAGGACGGACACAGACAGAATTCGTGCTTTGAGAGAGCTCGGCTTTGTCTCGGACCATGGCAACGAGTACGGCAGCGAGTGCCAGAACTTACGGGAAAGGCTCGGACACGCACGACCTCACACCGTCTCACACCTCGACGAGTTCCTGCTTGAAAAGCAGCGTGTCCTCGTCGGTGAATTGCGGTGTCTGCTCAGTTCTGAAGTTGCCCGTGGCTTCGTATGGCCGAAACACACAAAAACCTCTGGATCTCGTTGAGTTGCACTTGGAATTCTCTGAATTTTTCACAGATACTAAAGAAACATCGGAAGATTCGACTGGATATCTTGTCGACTGTTTTCACTGTTGTTTCGGCCTGAAAATGCTGAAAACTTGCTGAAATCGTTGCCACGTGGTTCCATGAAAAACGAAAACCGTCTGGATTGCGCTACTCTGCAATTGAAATTCTTCGAAATCTTCAGGGATACAGAGCGCACACTGGAAGATTCTGCCGAGCACTTTTTATTCTGTTTTTTTTGAGGTTGCGGTGGTGAAAATGATGAAAATGCTGAAGATACGAAATCGTTGCCACGTGGCTCCTCATGACCGAGAAAGCCCCGAAAACCATCAAAATCAACTGGATCTTGGTCTGTTGCGCTTTGGAATCTCTGAGAGTCTCACAGACGCAGGAGATACGTTGGAAGATTGTGAATCAACTGTTTTTTTTGCGATTACGACAGTCGGGACGATGAAACTGATGGAATTGCTGAAATCGTTGCCACGTGGCGCGCTCTTATAGCCGAGATTCAACAAAATCACCTGTTACGGCACTTTGCACTCGAGAATTTTCAGATACTTTTCCATGGGCAAAAGAAACGAGCTCTAAAAGTCCATGGGAGGACTTTTCCAGCTGTTTTTATCTTGTTGGAAACATGAAAACGGTGAAAACGGTGAAAACTCGGAACTCGTTGCCACGTGGCGTCCCTACGACCGAGAGTCGAGAAACTGACAAAAGCCTGAATTGCATGGTGTTTTGCTTGAGAATCTTCAGAGATTTTAGCATAGGCACAGTATTTCAACTACAATGAGCTACTACAACACTTTAAAAACTGAATTCATTGTGGTTGTGACGGCGAAAATGCTCCTGGAATCGTTAGCACTGGCTGTGATTATGGCCGAGAAGACTCAAAGATTGCGATTCCCAACGCCGGGCTCGACAAATGATGCTTTCAGATATGTGCAATGTGAATTGAAGACTCAACCATCAAAAACCTATCAAATGTTTCTCTCGGTGGTTGCGGTGATGGGAAATTGGCTGAACTCCTGAACTGCTGAAACTCGGTGCCATGGAGCTACAGCTTGACGACAATGTGCGGGTATACAATATCCATATGTGGCTGTATCATGCCTTAATCTTCTCTTCTCTCACCACACGAAAGTATTTCAAAATCGGTCACGCGTGTGGCTGGGCTTGAAACGGTAAAACCGCGTCAAGCTGGCAAACCGGGGCGATGAATCTACTACCCCAGCTGCTTTTTGCTTCTCATTGGCCTTTTCAAGTACGTCAAATCGTCAAAACACTACGGAGGATGAATACCAAACTGAATGCCACTCAAGTTGCTATCCTAGAGCAATGTGCACTTGCAACAGAACACCAACCGCTCGGAGGATCCCTTCATGGTAACGCAGTCGCCAAACTGAACGACAGCACTGTCGTCAAGTGGGGGATACGGTGTCTTCGAGCAGGAATACTAGAATCAGCGCAAAGCACATCATCTGTTGGACCACAGAATCTTTCGGGTACCCAAAGTCTTTGATTTCTTTGAGGACGATACCGGGCAGGGATATCTCGTGATGGAGTCGACGGCGGGGGAAAAGAAGCGCAGGATCGAGGACCAGGGAGATCTGGAGGCCCTGGTTCGAGTGTTGCAGCACTTCGCGACCGTGCGATCCCCGACTCCAGGGCCACTGGCTGGACCTGGTCCGGCCTACGCACTCTTGTTCGGTGATTCCGATCTTCTCGACAACAATCGTGCTTTTGCTTTTTCACCTTCAGACATTTGCTTGTGTCATCTGGACTTCTTCCCGCACAACATAAAGTGGCAGAGAGGCGAGCCCCCGTGTGCGTTGGACTGGCTCAGCGCAGGCTTTTGGCCACACATTTTCGAGAAATGCTCGCATTTGATCATCGAAGACGGCAGTATCCCCGTCTTCGGGCAGATGTGGTTTCCCGGCACAGATTGCGAGCAGATTGTATCGGTTGTGGAGGCATGGAGCAACATTCGAAGAGACCATTTTTGGGCTTGTTCGCGTCATTCTCACGTTCACCACTGACCTTTCCAGTTACCCTCATCACCTTCGCCAGAGGGTTGATCTCGCGGATCTTGACCTCACGTACGAACATGCACCAGATCCAAGAGCTTCTCCGGGAAGCCGAGATTCGTCCGGATAACCTATGATCGCAGCCAGACACAGTCGCCACAAGACGACAGACCTTGGGGAGAGAAAAGGATGCTTTATGGCATCAGGGAAACCTCTTGATCCGTTTCAAGGAAGTGGTGGACGGCTACAAGAGGGTTCGTCACGTTGGCTGCCACGATGGTTTTGACGATATTCCGTACTTGTTTTCTGGACGATTCGACTACTTGGAGGTGTTGGTATGCGGAGAAGGGTGCTCAAAGATTCGGCCATGAGCTTAGCGGAAAGCGACGAGGATTGAGCCGAACGGTTACGGGACGAGAAAGAGCGCAGGCTTCTGACAAAAGCCCGCACGCTGCTCAGGGAGCTTTATCAATATAGGCCGAGAGGAATCTCGGGTCCAGACTTCCAAAGTAGCTTTGAAGCTGTGGAGCTTTCCCTTGAACCAGTGCACGAAACCTATCACGGAATGGGCTGTTTGAACAGTCGAATGACCAACAACACTGGTCATACCAGAGAATACTATGGTTACACCGAATGGGTTCCATTTGGACGTGGCCCGATGGTCGGAACAAGAACGTGCGCAAAAGGAGAATATGAAGCGGAACTTGGTTCTATATTGGCTGGAAAAGACTAGAACTGAGGTCGTATAATTCGTCGCTTCATTACTGGCATCATTACTGGCATCATTCTGGCATCATCCCTTGCTGTCCTTCTATTCTGCAAGCTTGCCGTCACTACACTGTCTTCCACTTAGTCAGTCACATCCACTGTGCAGGCTCACGGCAAGTTCGTTCTCCGTGAACCTGACCAATTTCGGGTAACCAGCCATCCGTGAAAAGGAGGAAGCTCTAGACTCACCTTATCTGCGACAATAGGTTGCACACTCAAGGCAAGGATTGTGATTGTATGGGTTTCTGACATTGTGTGTTTTTGCGCCAATGACACATTGAAAGACGAAACGTCCGTCGCGATTTGGCCCATTATCACATATGCAGCTGGCCAAATTCCACAGCGAGTCACGCTGGTTGGAGCGTGCTTGACTGCGTTTATTACACATCAACCGTCTGCGAGTTCGACAAGTGGAGTCTTCGCAGTATCTGATGGCGTGGCTGGAATGGCGACCGCACCGATGGACTTCCGTCACATGGTGGCACGTTGTGATTTCTCTAGAGCGTGGTTGCTGGCAGGGAAATACTGTAGGGATGCAGGTCAGGAAGGTATTACAGCACAAGGAGTATAAGAGCAAGAAGATGAGTAATGATCAAGGACGAAAAGAAGAGTCGTCATGATGATGGGAAAAGGAGTGTATTCAAAACCGTCGTGGTTGGTCTTATAAGAACACATTGTACTGCGAATATGGAAATTGACATATCTATTCTGCTCTCAGTTTGATCGGTCGCGCGCTTCATGATTCAAGTCAGAGACAATCCGGGAGATGACCCATCCTGAGGATACCCAGGTTCAACGGGATCCTAGTCGACGCAGGAGGACGGGTGTTTACAGAGATGGCACCTGCACCCACTCTCGGCTTCTCTACGCAGACCTTGTATTCTCTTCTCCACCCAGAGACAATCCACTTTTGCTTCAAGACGGAACAGGGTAGACGGCTCATTGTTCCGATCAACGCCAGCAATGCCTACTCTTGTTCCGAGCCTCAACCTGACGACGACATTGATTCCGAACCATCAATCAACGGCGAGCTGCCGACATTCTCATTCCATGAGATCGACGTTCTCGAGGTCTTTGTCGGACCTTGTGTCGTCAGCCAAGTCCAAGTCAACGGGTAAAAAATGCTTTCGTAAAGCTCACACGACGGGGTCGCCATTTGACCTCGATATCGAGCGGGAGCTGTCCACCCTCCTCACACTAGAGAAGATTCGCTCCGAAACGACGACTAGCAGGACGCTGCAGGTGCCGAGATTGTGCGGCTACGTCGAGGACGCCGAGAGCGGGCGTATCATCGGTCTCCTCCGCCAGTGAATTCCTCCTGGAATGCTCGGTGGCAAGCTGGCGAGAATAAACGTCGAGACGATATCGAAAGCGACGAGGGAGAAATGGGCCGGCCAGATCCGTGAGACGGTGGATCGGCTGCACGAGTTTGGCGTGGTATGGGGCGACGGAAAGGCCGGCAACGTCTTCATCGACGATCAAGACAATGCGTGGCTGATCGACTTCGGCGGTGGCTGGACGGAGGGATGGGTGGATGAGGAGGTGGCAGATACCGTTGAAGGGGATGAACAAGCGGTCAATAGCATCGGGAAGTTCTTGGACGTCGGGAAGGGCTTGACACTTTGACGGACTCGTGAGTTCACTCGACCACGGAAAACAATTGGACTTTTGGCGGCCATCTTGATCTTGACATCGGGTGGCAGGATTTTGGACGGGGTTTTTTCTTTCTACCCATGGTTGAATCTTCTCTACGCGAGTAAAAGATGGGACATGATCACCTATCGATCTGTTTGTTATTGACGGGTATGACAGACACGCGATGGGAAACTGGGTATGAGGTCTCTGGTACGAAGCTTTTGGAATCTATTTGCACTTGGCATGACTGTAGTAGACCCAGGTGTAGAGGGCACAATCTTGGTCGCGGGTACTGCTACAACTATCTAGACAGGTGAGGGGGGTATATACTGCTGGCTGCAGGCAAAAACGATTCCTCACTGAATGACTACTACACGCACGACTACAATTCCCCCTGTTTCCCATGGCGAAGTTGATAAATCTTGTTTCTTATTGCTCATAGGCATTCCCTCGGCGACTCGGTGGGCTTCGGATGGTGGTCGCTTATGATGGTCAGGAGGAGATGGTGCGAGGCGGGTCCTCCGATCCGGCGTGAGTGAAACCCGCTTTCCAGTGCCTTGGGTCGTGAGGCTGGCTGTTGAACTGTCGTTACATTGATCAACATTTCCTTGGACGCGGATATGAGAGTCAGAGAAGAATCGGGCAGGATTGCCAATGTTCGGCTGGGTGTTGGTATGAAAGACCGGTAACAACATTTGCTTTGTTTGTATACGATACGAGAGACGTTAAGCCGGGAAACTACGACTGCTCATCAAGTGGCTGTGCTCTGCAGAAACCACATGCTTAGTGGGCCGTCTGTTTCTCCGTAGCAACTCCCCATCTATTCACAGGTTGTTTGTTCACACCATCCCAACAAACCCATCACAACAATCCCATCATCGCAACAACAGCATCCTTGGTCCAGCTTACATCTTCTTCGCACCCTCCCAGACGCAAGTGTGAAGATGGATTCACGACAGACTTCTGTCCTTGGACAGAATCACGACGAGAACTGCGCTACGGATCACTCTGCCATGAGCGGCGATGGTCCAAATTCACTTCCTGCACAAGGTACCCAAGGCACTTCTCATCTCTAATCCTAAGCCCTCATTGACCAACATCACAGCCTCTGAGAACGCGGAACAACCCTACAAGTTCGAGTTGCAAGCTCTTGTGACTTATCTCCGAGACCGACAAGGCGGCCTTCGACGCTCCGACGCCGAAAGAAACGACTTCTTCCTTCCCGCCGAGCAATTCAAACAATTCGACGAGTTGGCAGAAGGCGGTGAATTCTCAGGAACACGCGTGAGGTAGGTTTACGGGACTCTGAAGGCTGGCTGAATACCCTACCAGGGGTCCAGTGAGTTCAAAGTGCTCCTAAAAGCTGACTATTGACAATAGATACGACTATTCCTATGCCACTGAAACTCTGACTTTGATACTGCACGGGATCAAACACGAATTCATCGTTGCGTATCTCAATTCATGCTTGACGTCTTTCATCGGCGGAGTCAAAGACAAGGCGGAACCCTCCATGGCCAACTTTGCCGCGTCGCTCAGACCTACCCTCTCTGCAGCCCTTTACTATCCGTTCAAGAACCCCAAGGGCAGGGACCAGCGTTCACCTGATGTCAGCTTCATAGATGTAAAGAATGCCGAGTACCCGGTTCTGGTTGGTGAAGTCGCAGTCTCGCAGACAACCAAAGAGCTACACAAACGTGCACAAGAATACATCGAGCAGACTCAGGGTCGGATCCGAACTGTCATCACAGTCGACGTTGACCATCCAGTTGGCAAAGGAGCACGTCTCTTGGTTTGGAGGGCAAAGTTTGGTGGAGACGAGAAGTTTGAAGGGGTAGCCTGCGGTGATGCCGTGGTAAGATCAAACCCCCAAACCCTCCCGAAAAGGTCGGTCCCTCGTGAGATCAATCACAGTACTAATCGGTGGTGTCTCAACTAGGAAATTCGAAACAAGGACGGTGTCAAGAACCCCGATAGCCAAGCTGGACTTTTTCTATCGCTTGAAGACTTTGGTTTCGTCCGAGGAACAGATGGGGAGGATACGGATCTTCAATCTGTCGCCGCCGTCAACGTGGCCAATATGGACGATCTGTGCAAGGTATTGGAATACGCAGAGGAGGTGAACGAACTCCGCAGAGTCCGTAAAGACCTCAGGACAGGACGAAGCTAGAATGGAAGCAATCATCTTCATGTCTGCTCCTTTTGCAGATCCGAGGGTCCAAGTGATTGCATGGTTGGGGCATCGACCTGATTGATGTCGTCGAGAGCTGAGCTGAGCCAGGAAGTAATGCCATGGCAAGCTCTAGCAAACATCGGCCACAATTGTTTTTCAGCGCGCAGCACCTTTTCCCCCTACTGTACGTACGAGATACATATCATTGCTCAGACACACAAAATCTTGCTTGACGTCGTCGGGCAAATTGACCCCTTCGACAGCAGAATTGCAAGGAACAAGATACGAGCTAGAAAATGAAATGGCCCAGGTTAGGGTTTCCACACACACACACACACACAGAGCATCCGCCGCCTGTTTTTTTTTAGTTTTTATTATTATTTAAATTATGCTCCGGCCCCCTTGAAGCCGCACACAGACTGCGAGTGCGTTCAATCTGTAAGACTTGACTAAAAAAAAGGGGCTAACAACGACGACGATGACGACGGCTCACAATGTTGTCCACATACGGCTCCTCCCGTGACTAGTGGTCGATCTACCTGTATTGTACAATATTGTACTTGTACAATAGATTAGGGCCCGGGATCGACTCGACCGTGTGCCGCTAAATGGGTCCTCGCTCCCGTCCCTTTTCTGTGCCTTGCCGACCTCCTTGAATCCTGTCATGACCATGGGTTTGAAATGAAGAATTCAATACGAAGGAGGACTAGACTACGAGTCACCAGCACAAGGCTAGTAGTTCTCTGGCAACCTTTCTCCTTTTCTGACACTTCTGCGCAACCTGGATCGTACCAGAAGGAATTCTGAGCAGTGATGTGATGTCACTATCTGACGCTCTCCTCTCATCTGATTGGTCTAGGATTATTGTGCACAGAGTCCTAGATATCTTAAAGTCGCAAACAATAAACTCAAGACAATATAAGAGCTTGCACTCGACACATCCAAGATAGCTAGGGGCTCGTCATTGTTATTTCGCAACACACTCAAGATACCATTTCGGAAAGGTCTTGCAACCACAACATGCAAAATAGTTGGGACTTACGATTATATCTTGAAACAGATGTCTCTCATGTTGTGATTCGCCCGCTAGAGGCAATCACAAATCTCAACATTCGAAGCACGGATCTGTCAAACAAGGAAGAGGTCTCACCATAGTTGAAGCAGACCGGGTCTGCAATGCTCTTCCAATTACCTTGAGTTTATAATTATTAACTCTAGATATCTAGGACTCTGTGCACTTTGGATGATTAAGAGTATTGACCAATCAGATGAGAGAAGAGTGTCAGAGAGTGACATCATATTGTTTGCCAAGAATTATTGCCGGTACGACTTTGGCCGCACAGGATTGACAAGGGTGACCACAGAGGGGAAAACCTGTGATGGCCAGAGGGATTACTTCTGGCTGTGAGGGGTAGACTGTCAGCTGGTGAGGACTCAGGAGTAAGTTGTACAGCACCTCCGCACCAAGTCACCGTCCACCCCCGCATGCCAGGTCAACCCCTTTTACTAGCCCACATCATAGTTCTGAATTATAGCAGTGGAAGCTAATGTTGATCTTGTTATTTTGTCTACTTCCTCAAGGAGTAGAGGCACATATATACATCAAAGCAACCTACTAGAAGCTTCCTCACGATTTCCAAGCACGCGGAATGATTCCAGAAGACTTTTATACATATTATAATAGTCGGTTGAGCCTTATATCACAATAATCATGAGAATTGATTGTAATTATATAGGCATATCATGAGATTTCATGTTGTAATAGGTATCATTTGATAGCGCTTTTTTCAGAGAATATAACTCTCTAGTTATGTAACTAATATCGCGTGTACCAGCCCTTTACCTCGAGGACAGCGTTAACCCTGGTGTCCATACTCTTAACAACACTCCTAATTCTTTCAGGAGAAATAGAAGCTCATGCCCATTAAATAGCAATCTTGAAACGCTCTCGAATCTCTTCGGAATTACCTGTTGTAAATTGTAATTCATGATTAATAATATTGACAAGGTATTTAATCTTAAACCAGAGGTTTTCAATCGGGTTTAAATCTGGAGAACAAGGAGGCCAATTCATAACCTTAATACCATTATCCTCAAACCATTTTCTAACCTTTTTAGCTCCATGAATAGATGTGTTATCCTGTGTAAATATTATGCCTAGTTCCTAGATAGATAGGATATTGTTGTCAAGGACTTTTAGATAGGAATTCGCTGAGTAGCCCATTTTTTTAAGCTTAAAGTCTCGCTCAAGAATATAGGCATTTAATGCTTTAGTTCTGAAGATAGTGTACTGGGAAAGGATGGGGATGTACCCTTATCGTCAGTGATGATTAGCTGTTACAAGTGTGCGCGTGGGGTGACGGGAGGAGGCTGGGCGTGACATCGGCCCGAGTAGATAGCAAGAAGCAACAAGAATAGCATATAGAGATGTGTAACGGGCCATAACGGCGAGGCCGTCTTGCAATGCAATGAGTTTACTTTTCCTGGAACTATGAGTGCGCCGTTCTCTGGTGGCTGTGAGCCCTAGGTACGTGATGCTGAACGAGTAACACCAGGACCTTGTGGCCCCGTGAATGTCGAGTGCGCCTGTACAGATACAGGTGGCTAGGACGACTAAGCGGCGAGTGCCAACAAGGCCCTGAGGTCGACGAGGGCGTCGACATTACCTACAGGGCGCTGCAAGGTTGCAGCGCAGGTCACAGAAAGAGTCTTTACAGGATCAGGAGGATCTCTGAGGTCGAAGGTTGTTGTTGTTGCGGTTACAGACTACCCCTGTGCGCACCTGGTGCTTCCACGTTTACTCCTGTTATAATATACTATAGCCCATTGTAATCGTTTCTCAGCATCCTTAGTAGTTAGACGAGGTCTCTTTTTAGCTAGTCACTTCTTCATATTATGCTGTTTTAATAGTCTGTAGATAGTGTTATTTGAGACCGTAATATCGCAACGTGCTTTAAGTTCCGCATAGGAAATCTTGGTATTATTTATAGCAGTGCGTATCATATGTCTTTTCTTATACTTAGATAGACTATGAGGTCTCCCAGACCTGGTGTTAATACGTGGTCCAGGATTATTAATAATGTCCTGTACGGAGGGTCGAGGAATGTTGTATATCGCTGCGATTTCACGCTAAGATTTCTCGCTTAGGTTAAGTCCTTGTACAGTACCTCTTTTATAGTCTGTATATTCGCGTTGACTAGACATCATAGATCTTCTCACATTTTTCACTTACCATACAAATTTATATGGAAAATGAAAAAAAGTGAAGTGAGTACTATCCTTGTGCGGGGTGAAAATACGAAGGTGGACGGTGCTGTTAACTGCGCAGTCACCCCAAATCATCATTATTATTATCATTATTGTTATTATTATTATTGCCCAATGTCAGGATGATGATCATATAACTAGTGTCAACACTACGCCGCGTTCTCAACACCGATGCCATAGTTGTTTAGCCCTCCTGGTGAAGTCTTCGAGGCTTGCGCGGCGACGTCTCCGTGGCAGTACATCATATTGTCATGCAGAAAGTGTCGAGATATCTCAGCCTGGAATCCGACTCCTTCGCAGGGAGCAGTCGGACCCCGTTCTCTCGTACGAAACCGTAACGCAGGAAGAAGCCCACCATCCTCGCCACGCGGATAGCCTGCCTGTCGGCCTCGGAGACTCCACCGACGGCCTCTTCAAAGGTTTGCCAGAACAAGTCCCCGAGCATGTGGTGATTGTCGTAATAGTGCCACCCTCGAGCGTCCATGTGGCCGAGGATGTTCTCGAGGCTCCACAGGGAAATGCCGAACGGAAGGATGCAGGCCTCAGCCCAGTCGATGATCCCAGTCAAGTGTCCCGTGTTGACATCCACATAGATGTTGAACTCGCTGAGGTCACCGTGACTCAGGACCAGAGGGTACGTCGGCGCAAAGAGCAGTGGAAGTTCGGCGCGGACCCGTCTCAGGCTGTCCATGAATCGGGAGGGCAAGGCTTGGGAAAGGAGCTCCAATTTCTGCATGAGATCGTGGTACGTGGCTTCGACGGCATTGGAGAGTACCGCCGGCCTACAATTCCACGACGCCGCGAAGTATCTATCCCCACCGATCAGCTCATCCTGAAGTGACACATTGGGGGGGGAGAGGGGGGACACGACGTACCTCGCCAAATCGACCGCGGTGTTGCGCCGTCGTGAGACCAGGTTCATCGGCGGCGGACCGGTGGGGAGATTCCACAGGGACCGCACGCGAAACCAGGAAAATCCGCAAAGTTTTTCCATCACGTAGACCAAAAATGGCGACGACCCGCCAAGCTTTCCGTGGTAGGTGCAGGCCGGCACGAGTTGCGGATGGATCATCTGGGCCAGACTCACGGCCATCATGTTCAGGACCGAGTCGTGAACCCGAAATTGCACGATCCTGGTCAGATTGGGTCCCGCCATGACGGTGTAGCTGAAGGCACCCTGGATGCTCGTGGGAATGACGATCCCACCGACAAGAGCGACGGCCAAATCGTCGCACTGTTTCCGCGTCACGGTCGGTTGAGGTCCGAAGAAGGCGTTGACTACTTTGTGAAGAGGGTCATTGGGATCCATGGTGGGCAGAAAAAAGGGAATATAGCCAAGTAGCGAGAGCAGTAGAGAGAGGACACTCTGCAATAATGCAGCATGAAGCTGTGTCGACAGTGGTTGTTTGGGGGGCCAAAGGGGATATTAATGCTGCACTGGGCGGTGGGCAAGGCTGCCGTGGCTTCCTGGGTTCAAGGCTTGTTCTAGATTAGATTTGGTGAGGGAGTCCATCCCGGCCACCCCTCTTACCTCGACTGGGCACGGAATTAGGTCATACATACAAGAAAGGACGCCGTCGAACCGTGATCTGCGACTATTGTAGGCATCCAAGACAGTTCCCCGGCGGTTGCTTTGACCATTGTAAAACCTTGGTTGGTTCCGATCTCCGAAGCCCATCGAATAACCCCAAATTGTTGATGATCTGTCTTTTGCGAAAGAATCGTGTAAACAGGCTTTGAACATGACGGCCTTTCCTCTCACAGACATGGTAACATATGAGCCTCAAACTTGTACTTCTCTAACACAACCATGCGTTTTAAAACACGACTAAAGAGTTCAGTACGAAGGAGGGATAAATTACTGTGGTACAGGTGTTGAGGCCGCAGCGTAGTCTTGTGTGGGCGCAGGCCGAGTCACTTCTTAACTAGGACTAGTGCAACATGTAGGCAGTACTTGTCACATGATCAGGGTCTTGACAGGATTTCACAAACTAGTTTTGAAAAGTACCTTTTATGCACGTGATGTGGAGGAGATTCATACGAAAATAGCCGAGGATGAACCGACAAGAATTGGTGCACAAGGCAGCGGTGTTGTTGTTGCTTGCATTTGATGCAAACTTGCACAACAACAACCATCATCCTCGGCACAGCGACGCTGACTAGATTAATTGCCCTTCTATTGATTAGATTCATTGCCCTTCACAATGAGCGACTCATCTGGCGTGGGGGAGCAGGTTACTGCCCTTTCGACTTCTCCAGATGCCCCTCGCACGCGACCTCCAACGGACAAAAGACACGCGCATGACCTCGCAGCTTATATTTTGCAGCAATACGAGTACGCTACGTCTGGCAAAGGAGGCCGGCTAACGTTCTACGTCACTCAGAAGGTGTGGAGCTCCTTGGAGCCCGTCCTGCTGCGAGACTACAAACTAAGGTACACCAAATCTCCTCCAGAGTCGAGACACAAAGATCTGACATGTTGACCTCGAAACGCAGCTGTGATTACTTTCCTCGGGCCCAGCGCCTGGTCGTTCGTATGCATTCTCAAAAGCACGAAAACTTCATATTGAAGCTCGGTTCCCGCATCACAGCCCAGCTCGGTGTAATAGCTAGCGAATCTGGGCCCGCTGGCGATTTCGCAAAGGACATCGAGGCTGTCGGCCAGGCAACAATTAGACCAAAGAATCCCGGGTACGGGACACACGATCCAGACGCTTCTTACAGGCACCTCGGATCGCCTTTGCCCGCGGTCGTTATTGAGGTAGCTTATGCGCAGCGGGGCTGCACGTTACGGGCTCTTGCAGAGGACTATATTTTTGGATCTCTTCTCAAAATTCGAGTGGTGGTTGGATTTGATATCAGCTACAGAAAAAAGAGAGCTACGTTCTCAGTCTGGCGGCCAGTGCAAAATCCAGATAACAAGGTCTGGACTGTCGAGGCGACCGTGGCGAATCGGGTTCGTTTGGCTGAATCTACTGCTTTTTTCGAGAGCTGACACGATCTAGGTATTCCGTCACGACAATGGTGAGCCAAACGACCAGGAGGGCCTGGGGTTGACTCTCCGTTTGGAAGATTTTGCAGACGCAAGAACCTGCCAAGATTTTGGTGCCATGGGCAGAGAAATCTTCGTGTCCTGTGGAGAGCTATACCAGTATCTTGAAAGAGCGGAAACCACTTTGGATGATGTCGAATCGACAACGTCGGAACAAGGCTCACCGCTGAAGATGCACCATCAAGCAATAACGCCAGAAGAACAGCTTACCGAATCCGACGAGGAGGCTTTTGTCGAGGACGAGGAGCGCGTTTCCGTGCGTCTTGAGCGAGACGATGCTTCGTACGAAGGAAACTCTCCGGACTGACGGGGTGAAGCGATGCAAACATGAGCGCGTTTCAAGTATCGATGGGGGGCGCATGGACTTCATCACAAGGACATGGACACTGACAAACACTGTCGATTGGCACAAAAACCAGACTAGATCGAGGCCGGATCAAAACCGAAGACTGAGATCTTACTCAAGGCAAGAAACTAATAAATAATCAAAGCCAGTTGGTCGTACTCACTGTTCTCTCTCTCTCTCTCTCTCTCTCGGATGGTTTTCCTGGCACGTAGAGACTCCCTTTCGCAATCTACGCTGCAGTTCTAGAACGCTCTGTAGACTCTGCTGGCGTCCTCATTGGTCAACCATAGGCACTCAGTCGTCCTAGCTACCCGTGTCCTACTACGGGCGGCACTTTTCAGAAGGCCAAGGGCCTCACATACGGCGTACTCGGCCCGAAACGGTCTTTGCAAGTTGAGGCTTAATCCCAGGCCTTGAGTCGCTCTTTTACTGTCACCCTTTTAGCCCTTGATCCACTTCCTATTCTTTCCGACAAGCCACTCGGTGTTGAGGCAACTGCTTCCAGGTTCTCATTCTCTAGGCCTATTCATATGTCAACGTTTCGGGGGTTGATGCGGCAACGAGGATTGCCTCAACCGGAGGAAGAGACACGCTCATTTTTACGAACACGATGTAAAAATGGATGGCAAACAGCCTTGTAGTCAAGTCATCGAGGTCAGACTCGACGATACATCATATTGGACCCCCCCTCCTATAGGAATCAAATTACCTAGACCTTGCAAGCCCGTCCAACACTTGGGCTCTGTCAAACCAACAACAAAAATCGTCATATAACGAGTCGGAGTCCTCATAGGGGTCCTCCCCCCATTGCGTCGTGTGCCTGATTTCGGGCATCGCCCCCCCGGTCGTGGATTTGATTCTTCGGTGTACTTGTCGCACAATCGGTGTGGCAGTACGCTGTACATGGTAACGTCCGTCTAGGTAATTTGTCGCCAGTACCGCGATGGTGTCGTGGTTCGAAATGACTCGATACTTGTCCGTGCGTCGCAACGTTCGTCGGTTGCTCCAGGGCGGTTGGCGTTTCGGGATCCACGAGAATGAACCCTTCATTGTCGTCGCCGGGGTTTTCGTCTTCTTCGTCGTCGGCCTATCGCTTTCTTCTCTGGGGAAGAAAATGCACGAGTACCGTACCGTGTACACCATGCGTGCGCCTCCCTCTCCCAATACGCTATACGTTCTTTGTCTTTGGCTTAACCTTCGTGGTGATCGGCGCCCTCGGCTGGTCGTCCGTCCCACCGCAACCCGAGTGCTGGCCACGACCCCCCAATGGCCATCCAGTGCCGAGTCGTAGCCACCACTCGGGTTGCGTCTTCCATCCACCAGGTCATACTGCTCGGCAATTTTCCTGGTCCGATGGTTGCATGGAAAGATCTTCGGCACGCGACCTGAACGGAAAGTTCGTACCGTTCGTTCTTCTCAGCCAAGTCAATATGTGCTTCACTTTCCCAGCACTCGAGGCACCGATTTCACCGTCAGGCCCAAAATACAAATGACCTGGGTGGACATCGTCCAGCGGCGTGAACACCACTTCACCGTCTGCGTCACGTCTCCAGTGCTGATTCCAGATCTTTGCCGAGGCATATCAGACGCGCATAACTTCATATGGAGGCCTTCCTGCCTCAATCATAGCCACTGTCTCGGGTTCTTCCCGGGCCGACGTTCCTCATCTTGCTCTTCTTGCCTTTGCGGTTCTTGCGCTTTCGTTCGTGAGGAGACCATCCTGATCCCTCTTTTTCGGCCATGTGGATGGGGCAATTGTCGTCATTGCAAGCAGTCCAAGATGGGAGTTGCGCATGTGCGGCCTTGTCATTGGTCCTGTCGTCGGCATCTTCATCCTGTCCCTTTGGACCAGAAAAGTTTTGAAAAGTTTCCTGCGGAACCTCGGGTAGAAAGATCGGAAGTGATTCCCATTTTGACTTGGTGACTGTACATCGCCGGCGGCGCTCGCAGGATCTCGATGTTGCAGCGCCCTTCAACGTCGACGTCTGTTAGACAAGATGCAACCTCTAGGTGATCTAAATACCAGGGGTTCAATCTGATGTATTGTCGAGTCTGACCTCGATGACCATGAGGCGGTCCTCTATCTATTACATAGTGAAAAGGGAGCGTAAATTCTCCGCCTAGTTGAGGCTCCCGTCGCCGCAGCATGTAATCTTGGCTGTCGTATCAAACAATGGCCTGTGAAATGGGTCTAGGCCGTCAGAAAATGGTGGCTAAGCAGGTCTAAGAGGAGCGACTTGAGCCTATTCCTGGGTCTCGAATTGGAAAGACAGGTATCTGCGGAGTACGCCGCGCAGGAGGCCTCTGGGCGATCCAACATCTGCACCCTTCGAGGCACAACGTCAGACCCGATAGGACTTGTATTGCCGGATGACACTTTTACACAGGCTCTGTAGACTGAGCCCGAATATCCGGACCTCACTCGGCTTAATCTTTGCGATTCCATATACATGTTTCAATGAAACTGTGTCGACGCTCTGTCGGCCCGGTTGATTCGCGCCTTTGCCTTTTGTCTTTGATCTCCTTGACGCTGGTCACCTCTACTTTTTTCTGGTTCCGCCAAGCTGAGCAGGTGCTTCGACCGTTGATGAACAATTTTCGGCGTTGGACTTCGGATGATATGGACGTCTATCTGTCATTTCAAGTCGATGCCCGAGAAACACACTGTTCAAGAACATCTCGGTGCTAGGTGGTATCTCGACCGGGGCTCACCGAGCACAAATAGCTCGAGGGTAAAGGTAGCCGATAGGAATCTCCCATCTTCACCGTTGGTAGTGTAAAGGCACAAGTTGCGAAGAAGTCAACTCGCAAACCACATGGTGCTTCTCGATGAGACAGAACCATCGACCCTGGCTAATTTGCATATCGATCAATGGGAGACGGCAAACGGGTTTATGAAGTAGGGTTTCTTGGGAAAGTTGTCGATGATGAGATGGATCTCGGTAAAACGATTCAAAGTATTGTATTTCTCGCACGCCTCGCCGAGACGACACATGAGGTCTGGGGTCCTCGCCTTATTGTGGTGCCGAACGGTATGGTGCTGGACTGGGAAATGGAGCTCAAGTAGTGTTTGCAGGCCATGTTCCAGAATCCCTTCGGATGGGAGGGGTATTCGGTTACTCATCTCTACAGCAGACGTCCTGCCGCATGACGACCCGACCCGTCCCGGAGAACGCATGTTGTCTGGCGGCTGGTGAATACGGCTCGGAATGGGTGCCAAAAGATGAGACCGACCGTGCTGCGGTGGTGTTCAATCGCATTGCCAGTTGGATGTAGACATGGTCGGTAGGAAGTTGATGAAGTCAGCACACGTTCTTGATGCCTTCTTCACGCCGGCTACTGGAGAAGGATAAGAAGAAGCCTGCCAACGCTCAGATTGGCCAGGACGGAACATGACGTGTACATCACACTCTCCTAGAGACTATTCTAAATGCTCTTGGTCTGTTCTCGCAGTGGACTGAGAATGAGATTAACTGTATACTATTTCTCGCCTGCGATAAACAGTATTGAGATGGACAATCGTCTTGGTAAGTGACTTGAAGCCAACAAGTCGTATACACAAGACGGCCTCTCTCGAGGTTTCAGTCATATCAGCAGGCATCTTGGCTCTGTCCGTACTTCTTTGCTAGCATCCAAGGCGATATCACTCCAACAGCGCCTGCTTAGCCTCGATTTCGGCAGTGATAACCACTTGTGCTCCGCGAGGTCGCAAAGGCTCAAGTGACCGAAGAGGCAATAAGCTCTTGATTGCAGGCTCTGGAGTACAAACGGACCTCGTGTGGACAGCTTGGCCTTCGGCGTAGCACGGGCTTCCGATGTGGAGTGCTAGTGACATGGTATGTTTCGGTCATTCCGAGTCCGACTAACTTGACCGGGTCACCCTCCTCATCCGCCGAAGTCGACCATCAAGAATCCTTTGTCGTCTTTGTACTCCTCTTTCTCGTAGTGTCCTGTAGTGTCTTGATTTGTTTCCAAGGAACTGAGGTTCTCCTTTTCCCCGAACAAGAAATACTATCGTTACTCGTCGCTTGTCTGATGGGTATGGGCGCTTTTCTGGGTAAGCTGAAAGCATCTCGAAATCAGGACATCTCTCGGTTCTCTTCTCGTGATCTCAGGATCTAGGCAGTATTCTTCGATAACGCCTTGGTCCCTAATGCTCTTGCCCTCTCGAGATACTTGATGTTACGTGCGAACCATCGCGTGATGTTGACCTTGAAAGAACACTGCGTCTGGTCAAGCCGATTATTCTCATTCTTCTTCTCCAAAATTGCAACAGCATTGATCTTAACCTAGCACATCGTGTGTGTGTGGTTCCGGTAAACACCTTCCCAACTCGCTCCATGCGATGGGAACTAAATCTTCCCCAGTTTCGGGCTCCCTACAAGGGTTCGAACCTCCGATGAACTGTGGTGCAGTTCTTGTTGCATTATCTTGAACACGAAACGTCTGTTCAGCAATGCGTCGCTAACACCGCGACATCGCCCATAGCTCGACATGACTTGATGTTTGTCGTTGTGGAGGTTGTCTTGATCCTTCATGACAGCGAGTGTTTCCAGCTCTTGATCGAGTTCTAAACTCTTCTCGGGCTTGTTTCGGTGGTTTCGACGTCTTCGTTCGTGAGGAAACAATCTCGATCCTTCAGTCTATCTCAGACCAACTGTCCAAGACAAGAGTGCATTTTCAGCCTTGTCGATGGCCTTCGCTTTCTCGGCGCGGGTACTGAGTTGCCCTCAACTTGAAGAACTTTGTAAGGCTGGGCAATAAACATGCCGAGTTTAGCGCGGTCCCGGTAGAAGGCGTCGATCTTGAGGTCTTTGTCGTTGGTATGAGTGGCGGCGTATTGGCTGTTGCGCTTCGAAGTGATCCAGTTGGCGAGGGGTGATGGGACGGTCAGGACTCGAGAGCGGCACATGGCCAATACTTCCTGTTAGGAGGTAGTCAAAGTGTTCACGTTTTGGTTGTGATCACTTCGCTTACATACCCTATACTTCCCACTTGTTAGGAAACCTGGGACTCTATTTGTGTTCTGGGCTGGTCGCAGGTGAAGGGTAACAGTCACCCCAAATTATTGCCAAGAATTTTGTACTGATTGGCCGTACAAGAAGAAGACTTGGTGACTTGTAGGGCGGAATGTAGAGGGTGCGCAGTCTTGGATACTGGTGAGAGGATTATTGCCGGACAGACGAGGGGTAAATTCTCTTTGTCGAGAGGTACTTCCGGCTACTGGCAAAAGCTCCCGTGGAGTGTGGATGAAAAAGTAAGAAATTCACCAACACTACTGTACTCCATACCAGGCTAAGTGTAAGCCATCCCGTCCGGGGCTCGAGACTAACAAGCGAGGCTACTTCGTGGCGAAGCGAAAGGGACGGGGACTGGAGCTGGACGCTAAATCTGAGGAAGCTAATTAGCTTATAAGCTAACTGATAAGCTAATTTTAAGCCCCGGTATGTCCGGGTCTTGGCGAACTAGTCCACCTGCATCTGAGCAACCCCTTAAACTCCATTGTCTACAGCCTCCTACAGAATGACCCGACCTTCACTTTTCGCTTCTGCACCTCCTCATCGAACTTTCAGGGGTATCTTGGTTGTCTCGGTCGATCACCATGGCCGTGTCGCTACAAGATGCACCATCTCCCACTGTGCCTCCCTTGCGGATAAAGATCGTCCAGAGTCCCGCTCAACGATGGAAAGAGATTGAAGAAGAGGATGACAATATGCTTGTCACATTACAACGGGATGTCTTGACAGAAGAGTTCTTGGATTACCTCCAACGTCATGCATCCGACATACCCGGCCTCGTAGCTCACCACCTTTTGTTGAGCGACCGGCAAGAATGCAAGGTCTCGGACAGGTCCGAGTGGTTACATGGTAGTTTTAATGCCTGCATCCCCGTCACGATCTCAAACTGGCCGACAGCGCGTGTCCTACTCAGATGTCCATTTCCGCACATGGTTGGAAGCCCAATGGGACTGGACGAAAAGATTCGGTGCGAAGCAGCGACCTTCGCCTGGATAGCAGACAATTGCCCTCAGGTTCCGATTCCTCGCCTATGGGGGTTCGGGCTACCTGAAGGACTTGGTGTATGGCCGCAATGAAATACTCGTACAACGTGTTGATGGCTCACTTGCTTCTAGTTTACACCTACCAAGTGTCTACCTTGGTACCGGCAAGCCATCGCATATATCAAGGATCTCTGTAGGACCTTGATCTACCGAAGACGATACTATACTCCTTTCATACCGACACAGCCGCGATACTCCTTGAAGTCGGGCTACCTACTTGTTGATTTTATCGAGAAGGAACAAGGCTCGATGCTTTCCAAGATCTGGCCACCCCGTACGGACGAACAAAAGCTGAACTTTTACAAAAGTCTGTCGAAAATTATGTTGAATTTGGCGCGCTGTCCATTGCCGAAGATTGGCTCGTTCACCATCAATAACTCCGGTGAGATCAGCCTCAGCAATCGCCCGTTGACGGCTCGACTTCCTCTACTCGAATGTGAAGGCATTCCAACAAGCATACCCTCGGATCGATGTTACTCGACGACCGACTCATATATCCGGGACCTCTTGGACTGTCACGACCTCAAGCTAAAGCACCAACCTAACGCGGTCCGTGACAAGTACGACGCAACGGGCCAAATGGCAGTTCTGACTATGATGCGCGCTCTGGTTTCCAACTTTACACTAAGTGATCTTCGCGACGGACCGTTCCGTCTCATTTGGACCGACGCTCATGCAAGCAACATCTTCGTCAATCGACAGTATGAGATTACTTCTCTTCCAGACCTCGAGTGGTTCTGTGCCTTACCGCCGGAGAACCTCTACCCACCCTTTTGGCTTAGTGGACACGAACTCGATACACTGGAAGGACAGGCCGAGCGAGAAGATTATAAGCAGATGTGTGCAGAATTTCTGGAGGTATTTCAACGAGAGAATGACCAGGCAATCTCACAAAACTCTCAATATCATGTGGAGATCATGAAGAGTGTCCTCGCCAAAGATATACATTTCTTTTGGGCCAGCTTGCACCACCCTCGCGCAACTTATAATCTTTTCCTCGACCATCTGCAACCTCGTTTCGCGCCGGAGCACCTGGAAGAGGAAGGGTCGATTCAGTTTCAACGCATAGTTGCCCGATACTGGATTGAAGATTCAGTCAGCTTTGTCGAGCAGAAGGTTCTGGACCGGAGAGTCTACCTGGAGCAATTGCGGTCACAGCTCAAGGCTGCGACCCGTTGAAGACTTCGCCCGCGGCCGATCACTTTTGCTTTGCTTCTTCTGCTCGTCTTGCTGCAGCTGCTTCTTTGTTCGCGTGCCTTTTTTCTTTGGCAGCCTTAGCGGAGAGTTTCATGCATTCGCCTTCGATTTTGCCGACCTTTTGCTCAGTGGCGGTGGCAGTTGATTCGGAATGGCCTGAATATGTTGAAGATGTGGTGGATTGACGCTTAGGGTTGGATTCTGGCATTGTGTCAAGGTATATATCCACTTGTAGGTTTTGTATTTCACAGTGTCTACTGGGATATCAGTGAAATAGTTGACTCTAAGGACTTTGAGTCAGACTACACAACCTCTGAATCTGTCAGATTGAATGTCTCTATGATTCTCCAGGTCACCTCGTAATCAGGCGCAGGCTTGAAGCTTACGAAGCGTTACATCCAAGTTGGAGGGTTTCACTCTAGGCATGAGTGATTGTCGGTCACCTATTATCTCCGTCATCTATCCCTGCAGTATCAAAGGTGCCCGACGGTGACATCCACTAGTGTATTGTCTGTCCTCGGTCATTGGTACAGACGGCGGTCAACGATGGTTCGCTTCTCAGTCTGTCTCAGGACGAAGAGAGGGGCTCTTTGACACCAGGCGAAAGCCACACAGTCACCTCGATACCTGACGTTAGTCGCCTTGTTGTCAGGACGCGACTTGACAATTGTAAAAGGTGCACCGAGTTCAAGATACTTCTTGGAGGGAGTTGCATTACGGAGTGGATAGGCGACACGGTTGACCAATCAGATACGGAGAGTGCTTTACTCGGAACACACGAAGCGGTTGACTCGGTATTATTGTCGAGAACTTTGCAGAAGTAGAATTGATCCAACCCCTCACCTGCGCTTGGAATCTTGGAACCACCGGGACACAACACCGCGCTGCGGCCTCAGCACCTCGTTCAGCCCTCCTCCGTACTGAAAAGCACATGGTCGTGACAGAAAGTGAGAGAGAGAGCAACCGATGATGAGAGAACTACTAGACTAGCGGTCGTTGTAGACCTGGTGGCCGTGGGGAAAGTGTAGAGCTTGTCTCAAAGAGAATCTCAGTTACCGGTACTGTTCTGTGGATGAAGAGAACCACTAAACTAGGCAGGGACTACCAAACCAACTGGCCGCGGCCGATCACTTTTTCTTTGCCTCTTCCGCCCGCCTTGCCTCATCTTCTTCTTCTTCTTCTTCTTCTTCTTCTTCGTTCACGTGCCCCTTTTCTGTGGCCGTCTCCGCGGAAAATCTCACGCGTTGGCCCTCGACCCTGGTGACCCCCTGCTCAGCCTGAGGAGGTAAGCGATTCGATTCGGAAGGTTGGTCGGTCAGAACTGTTCCGCTCCTCCCCAGGATTTCAGATATTGCGTTGATGTCGTCGTCCACCTCATCATGGACTGCCGCTAGAATGCCTCGTATGCTGTACTCGTGGATTGCCGGCAATTCAGGGCCTTTGCTCATCTCCTCTTTTTGTTCAGTGGCGGCGTCAGTTGATTCGGAATGGCCCGAATCTGTCGAGGATGTGGTGGATTGATGCTCGGGGTTGGGTTCTGGCATTGTCTCAAGGTATACACTTGTAGTTCTTGTACGTTGGAATGTCTGCTGAGATGTCGTTGGAATGGTCGACTCCGAGGGCTTGGAGTCAGACTATATGACCTCTTGACGTTGTGGACCAAATGCCTCTGTCATTCTCCGGGCCACCTCGTAATCGGGCGCAGACTCATTGTCAGCTGAATCTTGAAGCGTTACATCAAAGCTGAAGCGTTCCACCTGGGCGTGCGTGATTGTCGGGTCACCCATTATCTCTGTCATTCATCCCTGCAGTCCAAAGGTGCCCGAGAGTGACACCCACTAGTGTGTCACTCGTTACCCGGTCATTGGTACAACTCACGAGGAGGCTCTGAGGCTCATTTCTGATCGCCCCTATCATGTCGGAAGAATACGCCAAGGATTTGGGCAGGGCGTCCGGCCTTCACGCAACGTGTGCTTTTATACAACATCAGAAGGAGCTTGCAGTCAACCTCTACAGATGATGCCCACGTCAGAACATCCCACAGTAAGCCGTGCGTCCCACTTACGGATGATGGTCATTTGGGAACAGAAGACGAGCGATCAGCGATACGACCGAATCCAATGGAGGATGAAAGTCGTCGCCTGGCGGTCAAGACTGGCAGGATGTCTCATTGGCCATCGGTGCCTTGCCATCGGTTCGAGTGCCAGCGCCTCGCCGGTTAGGTCCTTGAGAGACGACAACCAAGCGCTGACCTGCGGGGAGCCTGGACTTTTCGCTTTGGTATTCAATCAATCGGCCACTCGCCCCGTATGGCGGGACACTGTTTCATCGTGAACGCCTATGCAATACCTCCCTTCCGTGTGGACCGTCACTTCAAACACATCTATCCCTGAGTCGAACGATCGGGACCTTACCGTGCGAAGTAGTCATGGCGCTCTGGTTTCGTGGATGCGTTTGAAGTACCCGATCTCGCACATATACACGGCCAGAGCGGCCAACAATCGTCGAGGACATTCTGACAGATTTTGGTCTCAGGGAGCGAGCCAGAAGCATGGCGGGGAAGCGACAGAGAACACCCAAGTGACAAAACACCGATCGTAGCTTCAGAGATGTAGTCTGCGGGGTTCTTGCCGCTCTAATTAGGCTTGTAGGTTTGTAGGCTGTCGTGACGTATTTAAACCGCCTGCTGTTCAGTTCAGTTTGCAACTCTTTCCATCTTCTAGACTTGTTCGTTGTCTGCAACTTTACACAAGGTGAGTGATCCTCTCTGGGCCTTCTTTTGACTGTTCATTGTCTTTTCTCGTGACTGATCATGTCTTAGTTTCACGTTTGCAAAGCTAATCGCTCTTTCACTTCTCACCGCAGTTTCGCTGGTAAGTGATTCTCTCTCTGGGACATCTTCTGATCGTTTCTTGTCTTCTCTCGTGACTGACCATCTCTCAGTTTCGAGTTTTCAAAGCTAATCGCCCTTCCGTTTCTCGTCGCTGCTTCGCTGGTGAGTGATTCTCTCCAGGCTGTCTTCTGGTTGTTTTTTTCTCTTTCCTTCGTGGCTGACTATACCTTGGTCCTGTGTTTCAAAAGCCAATCCCTCTTTCACTCTTCGTCGCCGTTCCCCTGTCTCTCGAATCGAAGCCCTCGGTCGCCAGAAAGTTGCCATGGATCGATGCACACCTTGCAAGAACTCCAACTCCATGTGTTTCAAGTTGGATGACCATCCGAGATGCTTCTATTGTACCAGAAAGGGCGTAAAGGAATGTGATGCACCGTTGACCTCGAAGAACGTTACTCGAGCGATCGCGGAGTGCAAACGTTTGTGTGAATCTGTCAACCAAAAGGGCGAAGACATTGTGAAGATGCTCCTCGCGCTCTCCGAGGACGATATTGAGTGGAGACAGCAGCAGAGTGAGCTCGATGACCTGATGAAGAAGTTGAATAAGATGAATAGTGAGGGATTCGGACCATTGGACGAACCAGACCATGTTGACCCAACTCGCAACGACTCATCACCCACCGAGGGCCTGGACGACACGAAAGTCGAGTAGATGTTCGAGCCGGCGCCTGGTTTCACGTCTATGATGGAAGAATCCGCGGAAACCTCGGTGGTTAGCACGACAACGAAAAGAATGATATTGAGGAGGATGAATCTCGATCTGAAAAAGAGAGCAACCATGGATCGAATTCTCGAGAGTCCTTGGTGGGATTGATGTATGAATATGCATAAACTGCTTCCAATCCACCCTTTTTGGACTTTGCTGTGTCGGCAACTAAATGGAGAATTTATGTTTGTATCAGTGGTTGTTCTTCTGCGGCCAGTACGATTCTCTAGACAGTTTGAAATTGACTGTCTAGTAGAAGTTAGTAGTAGTAATTAGTTTCAGTCATTGCAATCAAAAGTCATCTCTTCACCTATCTTGACGATCAATCCTCTTATCAGTAGTCATCAATAACAGCAGTTCTCCTTAGTCGCTGGTTCTACTGTTGTGGCCACTGGTCTAGTGATCCCTTCACCAGTGGAACAGTAAGTCCTCTACGATGATTAAGTAGTTCTCTGCGGCCACCAGTCCATTGTACTTTTGCGGCCATTAGGGAGTAATTATCTTCTATCTCCCTCCTTCTATCCACTTAGTCATGGTCAATTCTACTTCTGCGAAGTTCTTCATAGTAATTCAGAGTTGACTACTTCGAATATGCTGAGTAAAGCACACTCCACAATTAATTAGTCAACCTTTGCACAATGCCCGCAGCAAGGTAGAAGTAGTTCTCTATGGTCATTAGTTTACTGTTATCTACTGATCTTAATTATTGCGCACCACATAACATTCAAAATACCTTTTAAAGAGTTAACCTTGTTACATTCGGCACGCAAATTGTGAGGAAACAGAGTGGCTTCGTGTGGAAGAGCAGAGTCAGGCCTCAATCAAGAACGGCTTCCTCGAGAAATGTCCCTGATTTAAACGCCACCTAATATCATATCAAAAAGTTGGATGAAATATTTGGCATGTCAACGGCGACTGGCGCATTGGCAAGATTACTCTGTCAAGAGAATTTTAATAAGTTAAAGTCGTAATTCGAGGGTTGATTCGTCTGACCCTACACCAGAGAGAGAATACTTTCGCTGCAACGGTAGAGTGACTGCTGGTTGCAGAGGATTACTGATTACTTGTGCTGCTGGGGGTTAACTGGCTGACTACTCACTCCGTACAACTCACCTCAAATTAGTGTTAGTCGATGTCAGGATCCTGAGGTATTTCAAGTACAATGCACGTGACTCTCATCAGCCCGGATATTGGAATGTCAAGAACATTACGTGACTTTCAATCTCCCAACTCCATGCGGCCGCAACCCCTTTCGCATCTTCATTTCTTGAAAGTCTTGCGCATTCTTATTTGACGTCCACTTTAGCTGCCACCATACCTGCGATTCGCCCAAGTCATGTTGTTTGATCATGTGGCCGAAGAAAGGCAGGAGAAGAACTTCACGATTTGGGTGCAGTCCCTTCTGGGAAAGTCTCCGGAGCATCTCGCCATGCATCTCGCGGCAACACACCGCGCCGGAAGACCAATAGCAGCGTGTCGTTGGAAAAATGGTTCTTTCAATATCTGCTATAGGGTCAAGTACGACGACGGATTCCACGCTGTCGTTCGGTTCGCCGCTCTGGGGAGGACCATCCACCGCAGAGAGAAAGTTAACGACGAGGTTGCCATCATGAGATACTTGAGTCAATACACTTCCATCCCAGTCCCTGATGTTCTGGGAGCTGGGACATGTTGGGCAGGGCCCTACGTCGTCATGTCCTTTGTCGAGGGAGAATCATTAGCCACTTTGCTTCAGGACCCTTTTCAAACCGATCGGCCGGCCCTGAATCCGAGGATGAGTGATCGAGCGCTGAAAAAGGCGTATCGGGCAATGGCCGAGCTACACCTTGGCCTGTCGAAATCAGAGTTTCATCGGATTGGAGGACTCGAGCATGACGGAGAGAGCTTCACGGTCACCAAAAGACCGTTGACGTACAATATGAACGAACTGGCCGCTTCAGCAAACCTCCCACCTCGAGTTTTTCCTACACAACCTTGCGACTCTGCGAACGTTTACTTTACACTACTTGCCGATCAGCAGCTTTCTCAGCTCCGGCACCAGCGTAATAATGCAACCACCGATCAAGACGACTGCCGAAAGAAATATGTGGCCCGGTGCTTGTTTCGGAAAATTGCCCGCAACGTCTCGACGGAGCACTCCCACGGCCCCTTCCGTTTGTATTGCGACGACTTCCGACCCTCCAACGTTCTTGTCGACCTACAAGATCTTCACGTCACGGGCGTCGTCGATTGGGAATTCACTTACGTGGCTCCCGCCGAGTTTGCGTACGTGGCGCCCTGGTGGCTATTGCTCCAGAGCCCAGAGGACTGGGAGTCTGATCTCCACGAGTTCGTGAGGCGGTTCGTGCCACGACTTCGTCTCTTTCTCGAGGCTCTGCGTGAATGCGAAGATCAGATGGCCGAGGAAGGAAATGGCGCACCGGCAGATTCACAACGCGTGTCTGCCCGGATGGAGCGGTCGCTCGACACTGGGCTATTCTGGGTCTGTCTTGCTGCGAGATATAGCTCCATGTTCGACGAAATCTACTGGACTTTTATCGACGAGATGTATCACGGACCTTTTACCTCGGTCGAAGACCGACTTGGACTGTTGAGCGAGGAAGAGAGACTCAGTCTCTATGAGTTTGTTCTTGCCAAGATGGAACACGTTACGGTTGGACCTCTAGAGACGTACTACAGCGTGGACGATTTGGTGGACCTCTGACGCCTCTTCCTGTGTGATTCATAGAAAGAAGCCTTCGCTTTTTGATTTTTAGGTCAAGTTCACCATAGTTCCTGGTAACAAAAGCCGAATGGATGAGACGTTTCGAGATCGAGAAAAGGCCCCAATCAGCATACAGTAGGGTATCGTAGAGGCTCAGCAAGAACAATTGTCCTTTCGCACGGCCAAGATCAGGGACTCGAGGTGGCGACCCGGTTTGGGAGGGCTACGCTCCCACGATTGCTCGGTTTAGCGGGGTACCACAAGCCTTTTGGCATGTGATGATTTCCTGCTCGAGACAATACGACATAGGCGGTACGTTTGCAGCCGCCTCGTTACATTTGCCTGCGTTCTCCTCAAGTATCCTTTAAAGGGGGCTCCTGACGCTCAGACCCTCCATTACAACAAGTTCCTGACGAAGACATCAATTTCTCCACCCAAATTCCCGGACGTGATCAACAGATGGCTTTGCAGGAGGTATTATCGGGGACCGATTCCCTTCTGTTTTATCAAGCTGTTGACTTTTCGAACTAGTGACTGCATCATGAGCGACAACGGAAAAGACGGAAAAGCTCGTGAGAGCTTTGCTTCCATCCTCAGCTACTACCAGCACAATCGCAGGTCGCTGGAGAATGTTCCGACGTGGGGAGACCGACCGGACAGCGGGACCATCATGATCGCCCTTGCAAAAGATACTGTGCCGTCGGCGGATCAGACGGAGAAAAACAAGCGGAAACTGAAGGAACTTCTTGCGGCTCAGGAGGCGATTGATAAGTTGTCCCCTCTGGAGAGGCAGATCATGAGCCAGGCGGCCAATTCAAGCAAAGCAAGACGGTCAAGGGGTGTCATGGCCTCGTCGAGAATGTCTTTTTTATTTTACCGATCGCCAATCCCTCTGCGCAACCGAGAAAAGCGGCTTGATTTTCATGATGCGAGCGATTACTGCTTGTATCTACACAAAGAATCAATAAAACACCCTCCTTTCCTCTTCTCCTTCGCAGGATAGAGATCACTTTGAAAAATCAGCATCCTAAGTCTGTGAGGTTTGAAATCGGAGTAAGAGGATGGAAACAAAGGTCGAGAACGGATCCAGTCGACTCTGCGAACATGTCGTGGGATATGAGACAGGCTCGCCACAGGCACCATCGACCACCGTAGGGGGGTATGCTCGAGATCTGTGCATTGCAATGCAACCAGGCTTCAGGCCAAGGGGTCTTCTTCACCGAACTACAAGTATATATCACTGATGACTCTACGACGCCTAGACCCGTGGAAGATCGTGTACCATGTACTCCAGAATCAACTGGTTTCTCCCACGCCCTCGACGGACCTTCTGCTTGTGACTCTCGCTCAGGGCCCATCTTTGTTGGCTCCTAGCCGCCGCTTCGGACGGCATTGCACGGTCATGATTCTCCACCGGCTCATGACATGCCGTGGCCTGGTGGTGGACTGCCTGAGCATTTCAATCCCCTCGACAACATCACGCATGGACTTGAACTTCCCACGCCAACAGTCCAGCATCAAGGATCCCATGGGCAGATCCTCCACGTCCGGAAATTGGCCGCTCGCGTACAGGCGCTCGTCTGCTCGGAGAGTCGATCTCGAAGTACCTGTCCGCGCTCGAGGACGATGGAACCGTCGTCCAGGGCGCCCAGAAATTCCGCAATGTCGTGGTGGCGGCCCAGGAGGTCAGAAACTTCCCACTCCGCACGAATCTCGGTGTCATTGTCGCCCTCGCATCTCTTCACCACTCGTCGCTCATCGAGGGCGTACACGTTGATACAATCCCATCTCTCTAGAGTAGCAGTTGACGGAAGGCTGCGATTGTTCACGTGTGCCTTCTTCGGTATGCATGGGTAGCACATGATGAGACGAAAGGGAGTGAAAAAGGAGTAAGAGATTCGGTTATTTACATGCCTCATTTTAGATTAATGATTGTCATTCCTAGTATCACCTGGCTTGAATGACGGGCTTCAAATGACACGGTAGCGAAACACCCTCAATTTGACGATTCTCCCTAGATCTTCTCGATTGTTGGCGGTCCTTCTCTGTAAGTATCGTCTCGAAGTACTAGCTAACTATCCAGCAAAATCAACCTATTAAGAACGTCAGCTGTTTATATTCCAGAAGGCGTCGACGAACCCACGATTTCTTGCTTCGCAATTACCATTGACACGGCTAATCGCGGCAATATGGGCATCAATCAGACACAACGGGCAATGCAGTCGAGCTCATCGGATGCACCCTCATGTTAGTTTCTTGCGAGATACTGCATTTAGTGGATTGCCTAGCTCCCATCCCATGTCAAAAAAGCGGTCTGGCCCTTCTGACTGCGGGTCCGTTGATCCGGCCCAACAGTGAGGCTGGTTTCTCAAGTCAAGAACCCTGGCCGATGTGACCGGTGTAGATGTCACCAGCAAGGTCCTCCAGTCAAGATTGAAATTTCAACATCAAAATGAGGCTGAAAGGTGAGTCACAAAACCTCCCGGGCTTATGACAGGCCCACGTACCAAGAGTAAGAACTCACTGCAGTCAGGCGCACTGATGATAGTAGAGGTTCGATGCCCGAAATTGCTCCACATGAGTGTGTGCCTCGCCGTGAGCTCACCGAAGAGGCTACAATATAAGACGCGTCCGCCCCCTGATCGCCCTCACTCCTCCACTCACAGACTATCCGAACAACAGTGTTACAAATTCTTCATCTGATTCTCCCACGATGTCTTCGAATGCCACCAGAACCCACCTGACCGGGTCGATGACAGGGGCCTTCCAACAGCTGCCGCCGTCCGTTCTCAATGCCATAATTCCTGGCTACTCGATCCTCGAACATGTTGCCAAGGTCATTGGTGTCAACATCTCCATCGTTATTTTTGGCTTTGCGCTGGTGGCAGGAATACAGTTTGGCGTTCAAAAGGCTGTCCTGCCTTTTTTGGAGGCATTGGCCAGTCTGATCTGCTCAAGAGTTGTTATTGACGAAGGCGATCCCATGTATGAAGCGATCGTGGACTGGCTTCAAAAACAACAATGGGCACAGCATACTCGAACGGCTTCGTTGTCAAGTGGAACGCAGTCCATAGAATTGGTCGAGGCCGACACCACCCAAAGTGACAGCATCTTCAATTACCAAGAATGGCTCAGTAAGGCACCGTTTCGATACCTGCCAAATTCCTCAGGAATCTTCCACCACAAAGGGTATCTCTATCGCATCGATCTAATTGAAACTCCTTGCCAGGGCTTCAAGTCTCCGCAAATACTGAGAGAACTGATGGTCACTGTCTTTTGGCCATCCATGAACCCACTGAAATCTCTGATGGAGGAGATTCGCGAGGAAGACCTGTCAACGTACCTATCACGCACACTGATCTATCGGCCTGTGCAGGATGATCCGAGCGCTTGCAGGTGGCGGTACATTGCTACACGGCCGTCACGACCCATTTCAACGGTTGAGCTCGATCACGGCCTAAAGGAAAGCATCGTAGACGACATGAATGGCTTCATGCTCCCTTCCACCAATCAGTGGTACTCAAAACGGGGCATTATCTATCGTCGAGGATACTTGTTTCAGGGTCCTCCAGGTTGTGGCAAGACGAGCTTCGCATTCTCCCTGGCAGGGTTATTCGGCGTGGGCATCTATTGTCTATCTCTGAGCGATCCTGATCTGACCGAAGAACGACTGATGGTCTTGATATCGCATCTCCCTTATCGGTCCATGGTCCTCCTGGAGGACATTGATTCCGCCGGTCTGACTGAATCGAACCCTCAACCAGCGCCACCGGAGACGGGCAGCACGGTGCGACCGAGACAACCCATCAGCTTTTCTTGCCTCCTCAATGCAATCGACGGAGTGGCGTCTCCGGAAGGTTGTGTCTTCATCCTAACGACCAACCACCTGGACAGGCTCCCTCCTGCGCTCATTCGTCCGGGCAGGGTGGATGTGTCGGTTGAGTTCGGACTGGCCGCCAAGCAACAGATCAAAGACCTGTTCATCCGCATGTATAGCTCGGAAACGGACGCTTCTGCTCCTCGTCCCAAGAAGCTCAGTGACATCTTTCCAGCCGTCGATCCCAAGACCTCTGATTCGGTCGAGCAGCCACACCGATCGAACGAAGCTTCAACCTTGTCGCCACGAGAGCCTCATACGACGGTCGACTCGGAACTTCGGTCCTTGGCGGATCGATTCGCCCAGCAGGTTCCGGCCAAGGCTTACAACCTCGCTTCGATCCAGGGATTTCTCTTGTCACACAGGTATGAACCGGAGAGGGCCGTCCACGACATTCACGACTGGCTGGAGAAGAACCCACCTGCCACGAATGATGATCACGCGCAAAAAAAGGAAAAAAGCACCTGAGGCCACGGGACGACGGCCACGAACGAAAGGAGGAACAGGAGTCCGAAACCAACGACGGTGTCATTGAACCACTGGCCGTCCCATCTGACATGATCAATGAAGCTGTTAGGACGTCGACGACGGAGGAGCAAAACGTAGTCAAGAGGAACTATATTACCGAGAACACGGGGGAAGCATACATCAAGACTTATGACTACTCGATTGATGGAACTGGTTTACAACAAAGGTGATGACGGATGGGGACTTTCACGGCGCACTCGACATTGAGTTTGGCTTCAGAGAAAGAGACACATTCCTTTTCATGACCAGGAGAAGCGAACATGGACGCAAAATTGTACCGTGGGGATGAGGGCAAAGGCCGAAGATTTTCCTATCGACGACACTCTTTCTTTTCTTTGTGCATTCCGCGTCACCGGCTTTGGGATGACTGATGTCCGCGAGAGGAGCCATTTTGGATGCTTTGGCCACAAAGAAAGTAGTTAGCTTGATGCCACCTCCGCGGCACCAACTCATACCAGCGGCCAAGGTACTCTCCTTCTGTCGTCTCTCAGCCATGACTAGTAGTAATCCTCTCATCAGTAACTAAGACTCTCTTTAAGACAGGCTCTACACTCCCTTCTACGGCCAACAAGTTCTCTTCTTCTTCTTCTTCTTCTTCTTCTTCTTCTTCTACTTTTACGGTCAAGCAATAGTCCCCATTTTACTTGAATATGTCACAAATCTCAGGTTACAATTATTAAACCATATCACGAAGTACAACAGCAGTAGACAGGGAAGTATCAGCTGCACTCAGGACATGTCCATATTCTCGACAACAACAACAACAACCACCTCGAACTCGTTGATGCTCCTTACAGGTAGAGACTCCTTTCAAGACTTACACTGCGACGCTCGCAGCGCTTCTGTGACCTCTGTCAACATTCTCGTTCGCTCGCAACCTTCTGTCAGTATTCGTCGCTTAGTTCACGTCGTTCCCCGACTTCTGTACGGGCCTCCACGGCATCTACAGGGCGCCGGGGTCAATCGAGTAGTTAGATCTTTACCGCACACTCATTGTCACAGCATCGGACTGTAAGGAGAGGTTCAGTGTGGAAATGATCGATTTGTCTACCTCTCTATGAGAGAAGAGGAAATGAGATGTCCTCCGCAGGTCCAGGTTGCCCCGGGTTTTCGGAAAAGCTCGATGCTGTCTTTTCCGTAAGGTCTCCTCAATTTGCATCGTCTGTTCCCGTCTCGGGGCTGACAAGTTGTCTTCGGGGAACGAGTTGATCGTCTCCTTTGCCCGGTGTGTCGTGTTGGTGCCGATTCGTCCTGATTGACCTTGTTGGATCGGAGGAAGTAAGGTCCGCTGTCACTGGTCTCGAATTCGCATCTCAAATTGCTTTCCGACTCCCTTGTCGAGACAGTCCGCGATTATTTCATCCATCTCCACCTTGTCGCCTGGCAACACCCTGTCGGTTCAGCAGCCAAACGAGTGAACCCTTTGTAATCTCAAAGAGACCCTCAGATGCGTGCCATATTGCTGTGCAACTCTCCTTCGTAGTAGACACGTAGTAAGCGTTCCCATGCATTCGTTCAGGCGTTCCTCGGCTTCTGCTGCTGAGCGTTACAATTGCGCTGTCTGCCCAACGATACGTAGAAATGCATCGCAAGGACTTGAGTGCCCAATTCGAAAGTATGTCATGATTGGACCTCTTTCGCATTCCGCGCCAGCCATTCATAGATTCGTCCTAATTCCTTTATCTTCATCATGTCTTCGCTGCTATCCCATGGTCGTAGTTTCCCCTGATCCTCGACATTCTCAAAGGCCGTGATGAAGCAACTCGGCTTCCGATTCGTTTGCGTTAGTGGTTTCGCAGTTCTAATGCCAATCGACATCACTCTGTATTTCGTCAAAGTTGAGTTCTGGCTGTCCGTCTGCGGGCAATACACGAAAGCTCGTCAGAAAATACATTCCCTGCTGTCTAAAGGCTCCTTCCCAGAAGTCTCCAAGGATCCTGGGGTCTTTGTCCGATATGATGCTTGTTTGCAGTACCCAATTGCGAAACAGAAGAGAAACAAACACTTCTCCCCATCGCTCCGCATTCCAGGTTTCGGCTCCTGGAATCAATGCGACTATTTTGGTAAACTTATCCGTCCCAGTAAGTAACGTGTCTTTGCCATATTGAGCTGGTAGTGCCGTCGCCAAATCCATTGTAATGGCATGAAAGGGAACGAGTGGTGTTGTCAATTGTACCATCTGTCCGTGTGGTTTATGTCTCAGTGTTTGCCGCTTTTCCCAAGTTGAATATGTCCTGATGTATATTCTCCGTTGTTTGGCGCAATTACGGATAAACAATGGTTCATTGATACGCTCGAAGGCACGGTGAAACCCGGCATGCGCAGCTGCGTCATGAACTTGATGAAAATTTTCTTTTGGTATTGACAATGGTATGCAGAGTCGTTTTCTGGTCTCCTGTTCCTGGTATATCAGACCACCATCTCGTATGAAGCCGGTTCTATCAGGATACCCCTGGCTGTCTTTGTCGACACTCGGTGCGATTCGTGCCCTTGCGGGTTCCTTTTGATATCCGTCCCAGCATCGACGATAAAAGTCATCAGTCATCTGTACCAGTGCGTCATGAGAATTCAGTACGGCATCTTCCGTCTCGGAAGGAGGCTCTTGATCGTTTGGCAGCCTGGGGAGCGCATGCGGTACCACGTGGGTTTTACCAAGTTTCCAATGGATTTCGAATTCCTCGCACATGAATTAAAGCAGATATTGAGAGGCCCAAATCAGTCGCGGATTCAACTTGTCCACGGATGAAGTCTTCAAGGATGATTGTATGGCAAGTTTCACATTAGCTGCGTGATACACCATGACTCCTCAGTGCGCTGCCCGAGTAGTTGCACCGAGAGGAATCCGATGAAGGCTTTTTTGGAGCCGGCCGAATCCCTTTCGGCCGGAACAGTTCGAACACATCACGCAAGTGTGCTTGATGTTCTTCAACTGTCTTCGAAAAGATGACAACATCATCTTTGTAGGCCTTTGTGTATTCCCAATGATCTCACAACAGATTGATACGTCTGTTGTTGGACGTATTGGACTGAGCTTTTGTACCCCATAACGGCTATGTTGAGATGATCTTGCCAGTGATGTGAGAAGACTATGAGTTTGCATCTGTCTGATCGCTTCACTCTCCATTGGTAGAAGAAGGAGGTTGCGTCCATGACGGTGATATATCTGCAGCCCCGAACAAGTGCAGCGATGTCCGATTGCAGGGGCAGTGGATAGGAATCCCTTTGACTGGGACAGGGAGCCATTCATCCTCAGGAATGTCAATCACCGCTTGGCTGGATTAAGTCTTGATACTCGTCCAAGACCAGACCGAATGCTGTGATCGCGGGAGAGAGTTCCAATCCCCAAAGAGTTACCTTTTTCGGGAGCACTGTTGTCCGCTCGCTCGGTTAAGCCATCGGCGCCTAGGCTAAATCGAGTTCTCGGCTCGTCTTTGATCGTTGACTTGGTTCTGATGTGTATGTATCAAGAGCATCGTCCTTGCGGGCTGCTACGCGAAAAGAATCTTCCGCATCGTAGCCTTAAACCGTTTTTAGACGTAACTTCAGGCTCGAACAAGTAGTCTCTGTCTGCCACAAAGGCTTGCTCTCCTCGTATGAGAAGGGGGATCCGCCTCCGAATGTGACATGTGGTTGACCTGGTTTATATATACAGTATTTGCAGACAAAGGATGTAGACAGACCTCAGGGGTTCGAGGCTGAGGGGAAGACCCAGCAGCCTTGGCTAACATCGCTTCGATAAACTTGAAGTTGAACGTGTTAATCACCTGTTGCAACAGGTGTTGTCCTTTTTTCAATCTCTGGGAACCATAGAAGAGTCGCAAGGTGATGTGGATGAGTAAAGATACGAGTAAAAGCGAGGCAAGGAGGAGCTACCAAAAATCCCTTGTACTGTTTCGTATTTACGCTAATATAAATAAGGAAATCTGGACTGCGCCAAGGGGCTTATCGTTAAGCAGCAACATTCAATAACTCAGCTAAACCTCTCAATGCATTTATGTTCAAAGTCCTCTCTAAACAATCATTGTGTGATCGAAGTTTTTGCCACTGGTCCCCCAGCCTGCGGCCTTCACTTTGCTGGAACTAACAGACGAGACGAAGCTGAATTTGTCCTCACTCGCTTCACCAACGAACCTAACAACGCACCTAGACGTCCCAAACTATCCATGACACCGGACATCGCAAACTTTGTGTATCTGGACGGCAGAATTGTGAAAGAAGAGGTTATTGGAGTGGGTGGTGCAGGAATTGTCGTTAATCGAGGAGGGTACGCTTTTAAAATTCCACGGATATCGAAGTTGGTCGAAATTGATGGAGTGCCTGTTCATGACAGAATATTGAACCATAATGAAGACAGCTACAACGAGCTCGCCGTTGCCGTCACGTCTTTCAGGCACGAGAAAGCCATCTACAAAAGGCTAGGCGACCGTCCTGGGATCATCCGCTGCTACAACGTCGATTCCGAAGAACCCTCGATCCAGATGCCGTTGATGAATGGCGACCTGCGGCAGTACTTGAGCGACTTCAGGCCAGAAAGAACTGTCCAGCTCTCCTGGTTCATTCAGTTAGCGCGTGCCATGGCCTTCGCACATACTAAAGGTGTCATTCTCTGTGACCTCCGGCTGGATAATATCGTGTATGATGATAAGCTCATTGACTTCTCTGAATCTTCTCTAATGCACCCCGAATGGGACCTCAAAGGCTGCTACAAATATGGGTTTTCTATTCTGACCGACATTGGACAATTTGGGGCAGTAATGTTTGAGATCACAACTGGTCAACGTTGTTCGTTTGACATCTATGAAGAATGGCAGGAAGTTGGTGATCGTCGGTCGTTTTTTCTGACGCTCAGAGGCCTTCTCCGCGGAGTACTTCGCCAACCTGTCTTTCCAAGCCCAGACTCAATGCTACTCTCAGTTGCTCTTTTTGTAGCCCAGTCTAGGCGCTCATTGTAAAAATACTTCTCAGACCTATTTTACGGGCGCTTGATTGAGGCATCTCACCACGCCTAGCATTCATCACCCCGAGGTCTCGTGCCGCGGCGAGAAATGCCTCATCTAGACTGAGGATTTACGCTCCTTTTTACGGACACCGTGTAAAAATAGGTAGAGAGCAGTCTCACAGACATCGAGGCCAGACTCGACGATACATCATATTGGACCCCTGACAATCATATTATCACGGAGGTTACGCTCCGTTTAACACTTTGTCTCGCAATGTGAGCCCACTCAGATATGCTCCTTCTCTTTCAAACTGTTCAGTTGAGTGCCACCTATTGTCCAGCAAGTAGCAAGATGTTTCTTTTCCGAGTCCGAAAGGCACGTATGAAGGGGCGCAGGCACTCTGCCAGCTGTGTAGGAATTTTGTAGCAAGGGTTCAAAGCCGAAATCGAGAAGGGTGTGATCTTGTTCGAAGAGGTGTTGCCAATCTGATTCTGACTGCGAAAGCACCGACTTACTTGTCCGGGGTTCTGGGGCTTTGGGTCGCCAACACGCAGGAAACGTTCCGCAAACGGCTGCGCGGTCTCCCCAGCGAAACCAGCTTCACTCGCGGCAATAGTCTCACAGACAAATCAAGAGAAGTGATGGCAACCAGGTGGGGTTCACCATTTGCTGGCCGAGAGCAATCAAAAGGAATCGGGTGTGTAACGTGGTGGAATGGCTATTTGTCTGAGAGGAGAGAACTAGGTAAAGTACGTACATAAAACCAAAGAAACCGTGGTCACATGATGCCAAGGCTTCACACGGGGACTAGCAGAGAATGGCGGGGAGGCCCTGGGCGCAGCTAACACTAGTGTTTATACTCCGTCCCTTGGGCTAAAATGGTAATGTGCGAGGGGGATTAGTGTTGTTGCTACTGTCATAGCCAACGAAGCTAGGCGAGTCACGGGACCAATAATCCCCCGCTGTTGATATTCAGAGTCACCGGCGCAGTTTCATTTGCGAATCGTTCGTTCCCAATCGACGGTGACGATCCGGTTTTGTAACACTGGCGACGCTTGCCACATTTCGTTCGCTCACGGTGCCTTGAAGCAGTAGCAAAATTGCTCACACCCGACATGCAAACGTCCTGTTGCAGACCCCTCCGTTCCTCGACGGCGCATCCGCGCCCGGAAAGCCCGAACGACCCTTATTATCGACAAGTCCCTCTCGAAGCAATTCGAAAACAGCAAGGCCCTTCGGCCCATCCTTTTTTGGAAAAGCCCTAAAATCTCGACAAATTGCACGAGCGGGATGGGGGCAGTCCCGGCCGTCGGGTGTTTGGACAAAAGTTCTGATGGTAAACCGGTTCAGCTGCGTTTGAGGCTCGACTTGATTCTTCTAGCCCTTTGAACCTCACGAGCTCGGTTCGTCGATGGATCTTACAGAGGTGCGCCGGGAATACGGTCAAAATGATTGAAGGCAAGGGTCAGGAGATATACTGGAAGGGATGCAACGTCACCGTCTACGAGATCGACGACGGCGGGCGACGACGGACAAAGCCGCCGAAATGGATGCCGAACGGGAAAGGAAAAAGGCATTTAGTGGCACCCAACCGTACGCTCACCAATGGAAAGTGGAAGGAAGGACAGAGAAGGTCGAGCAGAGTGGGTATGGATTGAACATTTACATGTACATCTTATTCTGTAGCTGAAGACTACGCTCAAGTCCCAGGGACAAATTGATGAAGGCGCCCCCTTTGGTGAATATCATCGAGACACATTCCGTGGCACGCTTCCCTTCGGCGATTTCTCTCACGTGGACGGGGCATTCCCTGATGGCGCCGTAGATTTCGGTCCCCAAAACCCGAGCGATTCTCTCGTCACCGATCCCTTTCAAGGTGGCTTCGGAGTTGGGTGTGATCAACGTCGTGCCTTGTTCGAGGACGACGTGCAGTACCTGTCCGACCCACTTCACCTTCGCCCCGAACAGTGCCATGGCGAGTCGTTCCACGTGCGGCTCGCAGATGTCCAGGCTCATGAGGCATTGGACCGGGCCGCCCCAGAGCGGGAAAGCCATGGTCACGGCGGCCCTCGAACCCTCCTCGACCCTCCTGACGGCGCCACACAGGTCGTCGCCGAAGACCTTGGCGACCCCGTGGATTTTGGCATTTTCGACCACCCGCTGTTGCGCCGCACTCGGAAGGTCGGGGTCGGTCGAGATGGAGCCGTGTGACTGTCCATCCGACGGCGAACGGACAGAAGAATCTTGGGCACCGAGTGAATGTCTCAGATCTGCTTCCGGTGGTGAATAAGGCAGTAAAAAAGTCGACGGGGAACTGGGGAAGAGCCATACCATCCACCGAGCGCGGTATGCCGCACCGGATCGCCAAATCGTTGATGCCGGAAGGAATCTCCCCGGCCCGAATGTGATTGCGGAGATCGTCTCGTTCACAATCTCTCAGTTCCGTCATGCGGATCTGACCGAACGCGGAGGCGCAAAGGAGAACCGCCCCGGGACCTGCGCGGGTGAGAACCCCGTGGAGGAATGATTTGTACCTCCGGCGCCTTTGAGTGCTTTGGGCGCTCTTCAATATGGCCGCCGCATCCGTGATGCGTCGAATCTGTACAGTTTCCAGTCTCTTACTCTGATCCATTTTTTTGGCGATATCAAGAAGTACCTCCCAGGCTTGAGCTGAATCGAAGTCTGTTGATGCCATTCTGCAAGCACGACGTCGGAATCCAGAGGGATGAGAGATGGAATGAGGAGATGTGATGAGGAGATGGAATGGGAAGATGGAATGGGAAGATGGGATGGGGAAAGACTTGGCCTTCTGTAGTCGACGCTCACAGTGAATGGAAGCCGAAAGTTTCCTCGTTGAAGGTTCACTCCATCATCGGACAGGCTATGTGAACAATTAGGCTTCACAGGTTCTGACCAACAATACCCAATGCTTTTTCTGGTGACGGGCGTAAAGTGTCGCTGGGACCATGTGACCTCACGTGACCCGGCCCCCCCGGACAGACAGTTTAGCTTCTACTGTATAGAGCCTAGCCAAGGGCCCCCTTTGGTCCCACCCAGGACTCTACTGTACACGGGCCACTATGTGTAAGCGTCCCCGCGGCCAGATATCCGATCCGCGATCGACGTACAAGTGTGATTTTAGTGTGAAGCAACCGGAGTATGAAGCTCGGAGATCGGAGGGAGATTCTCCCCGTGACCAGCAAACCTATAATTCCCTCCCACCAGCAGTAGAACGGATAGTGTCTCCCTGCCATCACCATCCGCCAAGTCACTGACTCGGCAATCTTGACATTTGATTGATCATACCATATCACTCATCCTAGTTATCTCGTGGCACGAGCAGGATGAGTGTGTGCTACTTCAGAGCCAGCGGTTGTCGGAGTCACGTGCCTTGTCTAATCACGGGATGGACGCTTGCGGTCCAAGTCCTTTGTTTGCTCCCTGGCCGCGTGCGGTTATGGCTGTGTGCGGTCTCCTTTCATTTTCTCTCCCTTCAAATATCCATTCCATTGACATACCAGCCCGATGGACTCATTCCGAGGCGACGAACGCGGCGACAATGGCGGCTTCTATACTCCAGCATCATCACGTGGCTCAAGCTTCGGCCCTCCACTCCATGGCCCTACAAATATATATAGCACCCTCTCCTCCACGTCTACCAAATCCTGTCTCTCTCGATCTCTGTCATCCCATCTTCCTATTTCCTCCAAGACTCTGCAGAAGAAGATCAAGCCCTTGCCAAAAGAAGCCACTTCGACAACCATGCCACCATTGCTAGCACCGCCCTCCTCGAACGCCATTGACCAAGTCAAGACCCTCATTCGAGATTTCAAGGCCAATAGGCGCAAACCTATTCTAGCCACCGATGAAGAAAGAGAATTCGAGATTCCCCTTGAAGATTGGTACAAGCTCCATGATGAATTCAATCTGAAAGAGGATAGGTACTTTTTTGAATGCTCATACGACACATCGAAGTCAATTCTTACCATCAAGGGGCCTCCATCCGACGTACATGAGGCTGTGGTCGAATTTCTCGCTCAAAATCTAAATCGAAGCATTTCTCTCACGGCTCCTGTTAGGGTCAGAACTACCGGTCTAGTCAGTTGCGATGAAGGACAATATATGGGATCGGAGAAGATACCTGATCTGGCAATCTTCGAAAAGGATTCGAGAAAAAATTGGAAGATCAAGTGGGCTCTCGATGTTGGCTTTTCTGAGAATTACGAGAAGTTGAAGAGTGATGTAGAATTGCTGTTGAAGGGGAAAGCTTCCGAGATGATTCAATGTGCTCTGGTGAAAATCGTCGAGACTCCAAAGTATCGATGCCCGATATCGAATGAGGAGGGAATCGACTTACAAGATTGGAAAGAACCTCGGATGTTCGAGGCAATGGAATGTCACGGTGAAGGATATGGCCCGATTTTCTATCAGGGTCGTCAGTGGGTTGGGGAAATCTCAAACATCTTTTGGGAGACGTGGCAACTTGACGTCGAAACGAATGAGGTGAAGCAGGTTGGGAAGCGACATGTTATATATCCGCCTTCGGCGACACCTGAGCCTTTCCCTCCTATCCGACTGGACCGTCTTCTCTCGAACTCTCCAACCACCCAACCACTACTACTTGATTGGACTCTCTTTCAACCGACGGCTTAATTCATCACAAGAGAAGAAGATAGATCGGAACTGATAGGCGACTCTTCGTGAGTTCATACAGAGCTTAGTATTAGATTTCAGTAATCTAAGAGAAATCTTACATTAATTTGATTAATGTTTCTATGTGTGTGTGTGTGTGTGTTTGTGTGTACACCTGCGGCCATTGCGAATTCCTCCGACGATGAGGTGGAAGGTCCTGTCGCTCAGTCCTCTTGGGCGCTGCCCATCCTGAAAAGTGGTTGATGTCTATTACAAGGGTGTCGTATCTTAAAGTACCTCTCGGCAGCTATAAGCTTTCCCTTATAACTGATAGCTTTGGTCGCATTTTCCTCGCCGCTCATTCGGACAAGCATTCTAACCTTTGTCTTGCCCTTACACCCTCTTGACATTGTGCGCTAGTGATACGCAGGCCGAAGCTGAACTTCTGCGCTTCTGCTTGTATTTCATCGGCTGTAGCTTTAACTACTCCCATGACCGGGACATCTCTAAGGAGAATCGGTATCGTTGTACCCTTAAGGACTATCAGTGGGACTTAGTGTTTGGTGCAGTTCAGGTTCGTCATGAGCATGGTTATTCTCGAGGCTGGGTAGACTGTTATGTCTTCTCCTTTCTATACTTTGATGGCCATGATTGCGTCCGCAATATGCTTTCCTACTTTTATCTCGATATCTTGAATGAGCTCCTATTCTCTCTTCTTCCTTATTGGTCTCCATTCGGACTCCCTTCCGATTCTGAACTTGATCCTTGGGGTTTCCCATTCGACCGGGGAGGTTCCTCGTTTCTGAGCCTTAGTCGGCCTTGAGGTCTTATCGCTCGTCTTCGCGAGGTTGTCATTTTCGGGGTTTCTCTTCTTGTGTGCCTTGCTCGTCACTGTTGCCTAGCTTTCCTTGCTTCTGTCTTCCTTGCTTTCGCTATTTTTAGGTATCGCTAGGGGTCAGGTGAGGGGTGTTGATGTTTTCTGGCAATGGTGCTGCCGTCAACGCCGATGGAGCGCTTTGTGTTGTCTGTTCAGTCGGTCTGGCTTCTAAGGCTGCGATGTTGCCGTGCGAAGCGATTTTCCCCGCAGGCGTCTTCGGTTTGGTTCCTTTTTCGGGGTCGGTTACTCTTCTCCTTTTCCCTTCCTCTTTTTCTTCTTCTTCTTTTTCTTGTCCTCTCTGTGGTCTTCCTCCCTTTCTTTCATTACCGTCGTGTCCAACTAACGCGCAAAAATCAATACGTCAGTCTCACGTTATCTACGTGTTTTCTCTCTCCTCTTTTCGCTATATATCTCTTCTAGTTGTCGCAATCGCCCCAGCGTCGCAAGCTTCGCTTCATCGTTCTTGCCGGTGCTGAGAACGTACGTCCCGAGCTGCCACGGTAGCTCCGCCATGTCAAACGCGACCACTGTTACCGAAACCTCGACTGCTGGCACCAGGCCCTGCACTGTGTGTTGGCTCGCGCGATCTATTGGTCTTGCTGTCGATCTGAGCACCGGCGACCAGCGGATACCTCAGCTGATTGTGATGGACAATCTCGCCGCAGCTGTGTGTCCCGCTTCCAAGTTCCTTTTGCTTAGATCTTGTCCAGGTTCAGAAAGAAAGCGATGACGGGATCGTTAGGGTCGGTAGCGCCCGATACCAGTTTTGGTGGCTCTCTTCGCTGGCCGTCTAGGCAGACTCGTGCCACTCGGTCAGGGGCAGTGCCTCTTGAAAAGGATCAGCAGAGACGGTTTTCGGATATATGAAGCGAGGCGGTCACCGTGGAGAGATGGTGCAGGCAACTGGATGGAGAGAATTCCTGCGGTGCAATGTGCGAACAACAATCTCCGATATCCGAACTCCATGCTTCACACTAAAATCGCATCGTCGATCGTGCACGGATCGGATAGTCGGGCCGCGGGCACGCTTGGACATGACTGCCCCGTATAGCGCCCGGCAGGGACCAAGGGGGCTCCTGGCTAGGCTTACGGTATGGAAAGCCAATTCTTGGGGCGAATCATTCGGACCAGGGGGATTATCGGCGCCAGGAGCAATGTCCTTAGTGGCGATGGGAACGGCAAAATGACATGAGAAAAATCGTGCGAGAGAATTCGCCTCAACCGGGAACCAAGAATGACATCGCCACCGACAACGAGCGTTGTTAGGCCTTGGATGATGGAAATCATGCCCAGCCAACTTTCCCACCAACCCTTGGACAGACATCTCATGAGAACCTCTTCATCCCTCCTTGACGACTCTCTGCTGAACTCCCTGCGCTTCGGCTTCGCATACAGTGCCGTCTCCGAACTCGCGTTTAGCTTGTTCTGTTACTGGTCGTTTCGACCCGGTACCGTGTCCTCCAGTCCCGACGCAGTTGTCAAACGCGAAATCATCGCCGAATAGCTTGACAAATTTCTTCGAGGGCTTAGCCCTTTGTCCATCTGCGCAAGATTCAGGCGTTGATAGGAACATGTCTGAAGGAGAGAAACGGTGTTGGAAGACCACTCGCGGATAAAACATGAAGAACGAACGCCACCGGCAGCATCGAAGACCACAAAGACAACATGATACTTCCACTTTGTCTACATTCCCGGACTCGGCCTTGATTCATCAACGATCAAAACCGAGACTTCCGGCCTCTGCAGATACAGTCCTGGTCCTGTAAGTCCAAACGTACTGTAAATGCTTCCGCTTGGGTCTACTCACCTCTCGATGCTGGTGAGAGGACCATAAGGGATCTCATGTTGTCGAATTTTTGCATTTAAGAACTGTCAGTGAGCATTCAGCCCTACCAGGCATCGGAATAATAGAAATGATGATGACAATACGTAGTGGCACTGTGTCATATCAAACCTGGTATGGTAGGTAATGAGTAAAGAGACCCAATCGAATGGTAAAATGCAGTCATGTGCTGGTAATTGCTGGCCTCGGGTACCGAGTTCTCCATATCCGACGTACTGTTGACTTCCTCGAAACGAAATTGTGAGTATTGTCCGCATCGAGGTCGCGTACGCCCTGATGTCGACTTCAGTAAGCTCCTTGCTCTAGAACGCATGGACCGCCATTCTCCTTCACTATCTTCTCCGGCTTGTTCAGCACGCCGCAAACGCGGGAACCACGTTGTTGTCGTACTCGTATTGGTTTTATGTGAACCCGGCCTTGTACACGCTCGTGTTCAGGTAGGTCTGCATCAATTCAATCTATTGGCGTCGTCAGTCGAGAGAGAGAGAGCGTCCGTGTGTACTTGGAGTCTTGCAAAGTGTGACAAAATCGAATTTTGGCGAAACGTTTCCTTTGTTGTGTTTGAGGGCAACGTCCCGCGGAAGTCATGACGCACAAGGCTGCGCGAGGCTGTGGACGTCACGGAGTGACCGAGCACGAGTCAGGGAACCTAGGTTATCAGCGACTCCATGGGTGCAATCTCCGTGGTGATTTTCCAACCTGATATCCAGTCAAACCTTTCCGACACTCCACCAGTTGCTATTACAAGACATGGCGGCGATGGTTTTATCGACAGCCCCCTCCCTCCCTTCTGCGATGCCCCGACGGGCTTCTAACTACCTAGCTTTCATTTCCACACCAACATCCCGAGAGGTATCACTAAACGGTCTTTACAAGTCGAGACCTAGTACTAGGCTCAAGCCGCTCCTTTTACAGCCCCGTCTAGACACTATTTCCAAAAATCTCCCCGGACCTACATCACAGGCGCTCGTTTGAGGCGACTCACGACGCCTAGCATTCGCCTCCCAAGGGCTGCATATCACGACGAGAGAAACCTCAACTTGAGGAAAAGTTTCACTCCTACTACGGAGTACTATATGATGTATAATGAACAGAAAATAGCCTCCCTAGTCATCGAGGCTAGACTCGACAGTACATCGTTTTGGACCTCTGACAATCAAATTTCCTAGAGATTGCATTCCGTTAACATGAAACTACTCAGGGTCACTCACTACTCAAGGTCGTTCAGCAAACCTCAGTGATTGCACAGCGACAGCCCAGGATGGCTTCGTCATAACTCTAGTCAAATGGCGAGATGCTCAGGTCTGGGAGCGGAAATGAACTTTGGAGAGGTCGAGATTCGCCGCACTGAGGATATTGGCACAGGTAAAGTGACCCGACCCATATCCGAGATCTGTATGATAAACTACCCTATGCTTCTTCCGAGGTGGTGCGACAGGAGGATTGTCAGTACTCATCGCTTCGAATGGACCCCTGGATTGGTTCGGCCTGTCTAGCACTATCGGTCTCCCATATCCAATGATGTCTTCGAGCTCTCGTTGGGTGTGATCTGGGAAAGCGTCCCCTGGATCGAACGATCAGCCTGGAAACCTGTGGCTGGGATCGGAATCGTTTGTGGTCCGTCTGCGTTTCACAGAGCGGTCGCTGAGTCTTCCTCCGGTGCTAGGCGGGGCATTCTCGGAAACACGCGGGCCTGAATGCGATGGTTGCGATGCGTGCCCCTCGTGACTCGCTGCTGTGCCATCAATCTCTTCCAAGGGCTCTTTGATGGTCGACGCCTCTTCTGCATCGATGTCATCAGGTACCTGGGCCGGTTCCCGTCGTGGCGTGAGGTTTCCTGTCCGCAGGGCAATCTCTTCGAACAGGCCGATTTCGTGCGCCGTGGTCAAACAATCTGCCGCTGACCGGCGGTCTGTAGGCTCCAGTTTGAGCATGTGGCTTTTCAGAAAGTCGATCATGGGATCCGACTCCCAGTCCTCGGCTGCCTCGATGATGCTGGAGCACCAGATAAAAAATTGCGGTTGGGTTTTGCGTCGCTCTTTCACGTCTTTTGGTGGGGGGTCGCCAGGGCCGTTGGGGAGCCCATAGAGGCCTTCCATGGCAATCACACCCAACTGCCATATATCGACTACACTCGTATAAGGCCGATTTAAATAAACTTCAGGGGGTGAGTATCGGTAATTCCCGCACCGTGTTCTCAAGTCGATATCTTCTTTGGCGAGACCAAAGTCGCCGACTCGAATCAAGAACGGTGTCCTGGATTTCACGAGGATGTTTTCGGGTTTCAAATCTCGATGCGTTACGTTGCGAGCGGGGAGATATACAAGAGCTTTCAAGCACTGGTGTAGAAGAGCCGCCCATTCTTCCACCGCAATCGGACTGATCGAGTTTTGCCGGCTTAGGTTTCCTAGCGGCAGGTATTCCATCACCATAAGTGGTTTTGGATGCAACTTGAAGTCGATAAACTCAACTATGTTGTCATCTTTCGAGAGAGTCAGTAAAAACAGTAATCGAGAAGGATCTTGTTCTCATACGTGTCGAAGCTTTTGCATGATTTCAATTTCACGCTCCCAGCCTTTGGAATGGAAAAACTCCTTTCCAGCGTATTCAAATCCGGTAGTAGCGTCTAGGACCTTTATGACGTGCCCGAAAGCGCCCCGTCCCAATTCTTCACATTTCAAGTAAACTGGTCGTTTGCTTGGGCTGAGCGATTCACTCAGCGCGAACGAGGTGCCCTGACTGCGGAGGCCTAGCTCTTTGAAAGCCACTTCATGTGGTGGAGCAGAACCGGCCATGAATCCTGTGACCTTTGTTTTAAATTCTTCCCGTTTTGTCTCATAGTGCTGGGGGAGATGAACGTCAAAGCCCAGTGCCCGCTTATTTCGGAGTGGTATCTTCACATGGATTGTGTGATACCCTCGAAAGAAGATCCATTTGAAGTGATTGCGAAGGTCATCTTCCGCTTCACCGTCATAGTGACACGACCTTTCACTTTGGTCTCCTGGTCAAATCTCAGTTAGATGCAGTGGAAACAATCCAGTTCGTTCGCTGGAGCTTCTTCTTCGCCGCATTCGCCGGGCGTAGTCCCACGACTAATAGGGCAAGGCCCCACATATCGGTCTGCGTTATGTGGTAAACGGAACGAATCGATCGTCAATCCCCATTGGTCAAAGGGAGTTAGGGTCAAGAATATATTTGAATCATCCATTCTGTCTCATCATCTTCCGTAGAGGACGAAGAGAAACGGCACCTAGAGCCGACATTGCTTCTTACGCTTATATAGTCTGGCTGCCTCGGTGGAGGATGCCTAACGGCCCCAGATCGACGATCCCGTCGGTTAGCGCCGGCCCTAAATTTAGTGCCCGATTTTCAAAATACATAAGAGCCTATCACTTCCACGCTCACCACACACTTTTGAAACTGCGACACCTCCAAACTTCGACACCTTGCAACTGCGGTCAGCTGCACCTACATCAATCTACAACCCCCGACTTGATGATTTGCCCTTAATGTTGAACCACCCTATCGACCTTAGTCCTTCGTCATCATGACAATCACAGTATATGCGGATGAACTCCTACGCCTAACCGTCGATGATATTGGAGATGAGCAGTTCTTCGAGATCAAAGACCGAGAGAACGAGACTGAGGAACACATAGCACATTTACGGTGAGGATACCTCTGCTCGATGCTCCCGTGTTGGATTCCAGTATTAACAACGAATCGTTCGTTCTAGAAAACTCGCTCATGAACGCGATGAGAGGGATCGGTCGCGGGCGGTGGACGCAGGTGAACTTAGCAGACGACTAGGGTACAAGCGATTCACCCAGAAGGATAACGCTGACCGCAAATATAGATGTCTTCCCACCACAGATTCACCCATCCTTTCCTCCAACCGTCACCGCTCGCCGTCTAGTTCGTCTCTCGACAGCGAAAGAGATAAAGCGGGGGCTTGGAAAGAGCAGCTGGAATCCAATCATGAATTACTGGCCGACAGAGGTCGACCGTCTTATCCTATAGATCTCAGGTGAGACGTGGTAGAAAACTCTAACAATTATGAACAGTATAAGGACATTATTTGGTTTTGGCAGACAGTAGAGGGCTTCTACACATTATTTTTTACTCAACTCATGGAGTGGAGGCGATTCCGGGACAGGCAAGACGAGTTGAGAAATTACTACGTCCCACGAAACAGGTTTCAAGAGTACTAAGACATCGTCGGTAAGAGCTAAGCAGATGCGGGATGGAAGTATGACCTTCGAGTCCTCGAGGACCGACACCAACAGAACCAACTAGAAGACTGGAGTGAGTTTCGGGCACTTTACTATCGGAAGCTCAAAAAATCCGAAAAAAGAGTTGCGCCGGCACATGCGAATTAACTTGTTAGGGAGAAGGAATTCGAAGATGCCAAAGCACGACTGGGCGATATGATTATAGACACTGAGGTTCTATATAGCCGAATCAGTGATATCTAGGCTTCATGCCAGGAAGTAACGGAGGCAAAATCTAGATTGGAGTCAGCTGAGGAGGCGTTACAAGCAGCAAAACAAAACAGGTCCAAGAGAAAGGCAGCATTACTGAGGATGGCGCACCAGGAAGTCACTTCTGCCCGGGACAATCTAAAGCGGGCATCTGGTACTGAGGAAATGAGAAGGCTCCGAGATGGTTACGACTTGCACATAGCTGAGGAGGTTATGGAGATAGCACAGGGTAAGTTGAGAGGAGCGGAGTACCATGTGAAGAGATGGAAAATATTCCTGAGGTGGATTGACGACCAGCATCCAGCCATCGCGGCCGAATGCGGGTTGTCACCTAATAACACCCTGGACGTCGCTCTCCATGCCATCGGAGGAAAAGAAGATCCGTTTAGGCAGGAAGAGCAGCCTCAGCTCCTGGAAAGAGAACGTCAACAAGGACCGTCTGTCCTCAGTCCAGACGCTTCATCAAAGGTCTCAAAATCATTGAAAGCTAGAGCGCGCTCTTCCAGAGTACGTGTAACGATCGCAACACGACTTGACGAATCTCACGCTCCGGTCGTCGCTTCAGCTCAGCAAGGGGATAGTGACGACGACAGAAGGTCGCAGGTACGCCCATGTCCAAGTACGTCAACACTCGAACCCCGTCGCAGCGCTCGAATCGCCGAAAGAATGAAAGGCCTACAAGAGTCCAAAGCGCCATCTAGACCGTCAAGATTGATGGGTAGAGAGGCGCACGAACTGTCAAGAGTGAAGCGACAAAAGGAACAGGAAACGAAGGGAGCAAAGACAAGGAGTAGCGAGCGCGTCAAAGCGAGATATACATCAAGACCGCAAGGCGTTGCAAAGCGAAGGTGTCTGTCACGTTGAAAGCTGCATTCTAGATGGAGGCATCGTTGTTCATTCTTCATTGGTGCTCAAGTTTGCAAATGGGAAACATGTTCTTGATCATATGGCTGTCGCGGAATCTCACTTGGCCACCCTGGTAAACAGGCTTCCCTTCAAGGTCCCTCTTTTCAGAGTCGTTCCAAATATAAACCTGGGTCAAGTGACACATTGATTGCAGACACAGTCAACCACTGTGGTCGCGACACCCCTGTTACCCATACAGCACCCGCAAGTCAACAAGACGTAACGTTTATTGAAGTGTGTGAATTGCTGCAGGTGTGTGTGGTCGCAGCACAGGCAACCAATTGTAACCCAGTCTCCCTCCCAACCCGTGAGGCATTTCTAAGTCGATGGCGGTGCTACGGTGTACACCAGCCAATGACTTTCTTTTTGACAGCTCCTACCTCTGCTCTCTCGATGTTGCTTCCCTGCGAAGTGGTCGGCTCTCAGCGATTCGGTGACAATCCGCGACCCTCCAAGTTTCAGACACGATCATCGGCTATTTTTCTCATGAGTCGTGGTGGCGCACACACACGCGCACACCACACACACACATAAACAGAAAAATACTTTTCATAAGCTATTGATGATGATGATGATGATAATTGTAGACCTAAAGGCGGTAGAAATGGTAGAAAGTGTACTTGAGCACAGAGAGTTGTTAGGTGCCTGAGATGGCAAGGGGATTGATACTACTACCTGCTGGTGGTGGTGGTGGTGGGTACTATCTCGGCGAAGTCCTCGATCCTATCTTAGGGGCCTATCTAATCAATCCCCCACCGTTATTTGACGATGTAGACCTTACTAGTTCCGATCTCCTAAACGTATCGAGTCCTGATAGGAGACGGGTTATGTGTATGACAGGACTGTGGCCGGGCTGCGAACTCATTTTCGAGGCCTCTAGGCGGGTGACTTGGGACATCATATGATGGTCCGGCCACGAGACATACTGGGGGAAACGAACGATGATTAAACATGCAAACCACTTTCCTTCCAGCCAGTCCCGGGTAAGGGGCCTGTCTCATGGTGGCCTGGAACCCCGTAGGCTCGGGCCTGACTGACACCCTCTGCTGATCACGTAATCCCAATACCCCTTTCACGCGATGGAATTTTGCAGGAATGCCGCATGCGGACTTCTGGAAACAGTGAGGTAGGGTTGACAAAGGGCATCATGAGATGGCATATACTCAAGAAGAAGCATCTCCCCCCCAGTAGGTAGGAGGCTCTTCGTCCGTTCTCAACATGTCGAAGTTACTCCTACTGATAGTGTCACGACTACGCGCTTGAAATGATAGAATTCAGTACGGAGGAGGGCCAAACTAGGTGTTGTTGAGGCCGCATCGCAATGTTACATGTGCGATCAGCCCAAGGCAGTGCCCGCGTAGGACTAGTGCAACAACCAGGCAGCACTGTTCACATGAAATGGATCCTGACAAGATATATTCAAGTGTCGACATCCTCTATCACTAACTGCTTCTACCTTGGCGAGTTTCATCCTGACGGCGGTTAAAGCAGGTTATTGTCTCCCCCGCAGCAGCCACAGGCATCCTTGGGCGATGTTACTGTAACAGTACTTACTGAGTGCAACCGCATTTCCCCTTAAGGGCCTTTTCCTTTACGACCTTTGTTTCCTTGCACACAGCACTCCAGGATAGGCTTTCTCATCTGCTTCCATACCCTCCATTTTGGTCTGCGTTATCCATTCGTTGGACGGGAATAGCATTTGAGTCTACACAGAGGGTGTGAATATCTTGTCCATTGGTCACCATGAACTCCGAAGAAGGGTTTTCGGGCGAAGAAGACCACCTCGAACCCTTGCGTTCTCAGATCTTAGGTTGTCTTGATGGAATTCATATTGTAGGGTCATTTGTAACCAGCGCCCAGGACGTCGAGCACGTTCACCCTGGACTGGTGGTCAGTGGTATCGGTCCTATCCGACTTCCCTTGTGCCAGGATGATGCCAACGCTCTCATTGGTGTGAGCCGTCGCGCTCCATTCGGCAAGGGAAGCAAAACGTTGGATGATGAGACTGTGAGGAAGACTTGGGAGATCGACGGAAAAGAGTTGTCATTCAAACATGAAGCCTGGTATAATTGGCTGGACGGTGTTGTCGAAAATGTCTCCAAGGGCCTGGGCGTTCATGGCGGTCCTGGCAAAGTACGAATTGAGCTCTACAAGTTACTGGTGTATGAAGAAGGTGCCTTTTTCAAGCCTCACGAAGAGTATGACCGAACGACAGCTCTATGTCTTGCACGGTACTGACTCATCACAGCACGGAGAAGACGAAAGATATGTTTGGAACTCTGGCCATTTGCTTACCCTCCGAGCACGTTGGCGGCGGGGTCCGCCTCATTCATGGTCTGGAAGAAAGAGTTGTCGAGACGGACAAGTGCTCCTCTTACGGAATCTCTTATCTGGCTTGGTAAGCTGGCACCTCGCTCAATGTATTTTAACGCTAACACGCCGTGAAGGTATAGTGATGTGTCCCATGAGGTAGGTGAGCTATATCAGTCAGATACAATATCGCGACTCACAAGAACAGATGTTGCCAGTTCAATCCGGGTACCGATTCGTTTTGACATACAACCTCATCAACGCTACTTCTGACAGTAATCCCTCGGCCGCGGCACTGGACGTTAAACAGTCCAAAATCGAGGCAACGCTCGCCGGGTGGTGTTCTATGCCAGAAAAACCACGGTTCATGTGCTACGTTCTCCAGCACAAATACACCAGTGCAAAAGTCCGACTCAGTGGTCTGAAAGGTGATGACTATTATCGCTGTTATCACCTCGACAAAGCTTGCCAGTCAAACGGTCGCTTCTGCCTTGTCTTGGCTCAGCTGGAGCTAACAGTCACTCAAATCAACGACGAAGAATACCTGGACGACGAGGAATACCTGGATCAGGGCGGGGAAGAGCTCTGTTTGAACGATATTGTCACGCTACAGGGGTTGCAGCTTCAGGACTCCTTAACCATAAGGAAGGATAATCTCATACAAAGAAGATTATATGAGGCTCGCGAACACGATTACCAATGGGGAGGGGAGCACTTGGGCAATCAGCACGATGACATCCAACAAGTTTACCTTGATACTGTACGCGTGGTGCCTAGTTCAAGTCCAAATCCGTGCTTACAATCTACTAGGTCGCTGTCATTGTTTCTCGGGACGAGATGACGGAATTTCTCCTTGGGAGTGGCCATACCTTTGCCCATTACGCCGAGTTTCTCCAACGGCTTCTCGCTGAGCTGAAGCGCCAGAACGGCGATGAACGTCATCTCCTCCGCGAAATGATCGTCCAGACATGCCAAAAGCACATCGAAAGACGGTACCATAACAGTGGCGACAAAGATCGTTTCATGGGCGCAACAGCAATAGCATCACTACAAATCGAGAATCCTGAGGCAGCCCGAGCGGCCCTTTACGCCGTGGAGGACAGCTTCGACGCATCTACCTTCCGCAACCTCGGTAGACTGGAGTTTGAGAGAACGAGAGAATTGTAAGCATGGATACGAATTGTACCTCGGCCTCTGCTAAACTGCTCTTTTAGTTGTACAGAAGCCTTTTCCCGCATTTCGAAACTGCACCTCGTTGCTCGTGGTCTCCGAGCATTTCGCTCTGGTGTACCAAGTGCTGTTCAATTGGATGCCAGTGAAGCATCAGAACGTGCCGTCTACCAATGGGCCGTAGGTGTCCTCTTCAAAGCTTTGAGTTCGATCGTACAAGTCTTGCCCACCGATGCAGGAGCCATAGTCCAGATCATCGACGCTTATGAAGACGAAAGACTTCTAGAAAGGTAAGTTCTCTTCACCACCATCTAAACACATCTTTTTCATTCTTCTCCTTACGAGAATGGTGGCTCATATTCTGCTCATATAGCATGAACGCTTTCGTAGGCCGCTTTTCCGATGACTCGACCTTCATAAACGCCCTCTTCATGGAAATCCTCTGCTACTCGGAAATAGTTGGGGAACCAAAATTGCTTGCGGAAGGTCTTATTCCACCAATTTTCGACAAGGCAATCTCTTCCTTCCGGCTGCAGGAATTTACGTCTCTGTCTCCTTCTAAACGAAAGTCACCCTGGGAAGACTATCCATTTTCATCGTGGCTCGATGGCAGTTCACACAACGAGAAGCGCCGAAAGGATGTCTCTGTTATTGCGTCACTGTATCATCGACTTGTGAGAGATGATTTGGACAAGGTAGGTCAACTCCTTGAGAACATCGCGAATGACACTGCAAGTATCTCCCGACACGAGCTCGACCGCTTTGTCATCCCACTCCTGCGCGAAATGCTCGATATCCCCGAGCATCAACCATCCGAGGCCTCACGATTCTATTCCAAAGTCATCTCCACTTATATTGAGACGGTGGTCAACAAGGAGCCTCCCAAGCCGCAGGACTGGTCCCTACCGGACGATGCCCTACATTGCTATGGGGTAGAGTGTCCTTACTGCCCTCTTGTGCGTGAGTTTCTGGAGGATCCAAGCCGAGAGGACTGGGACTTCACCATCCCTGAGGATCGGTACTACGACTTCAACCGCCATCTGCCGCTTCATTACACGATGAAGAGGAAGAGAAAAGGAGAAAGTTACGACATCAAGGTCACCAAGTCACTCAAGACGTGGGAACAAGAACACGAGGCATGGCAAGGCAGATTTGAACGTGCTCAATCAGCTCTTCGGCGGCTGCCCGAGTCATCCCTGCGCCGATGCCTTGGAGATGGCGAGTATCAGGACTTGATGGGACTACAGATCGTCAAACTGCCGACGGCGGATGTGGCCACAGATCCTCCAAAATCTACCAAGGCAGAAGCGGCCGGGAAGAGGAAGAGGAAGAGAAGGAGCCTTTGATCCCGAGCAACTAAAGAACTTTTGGAGTCAGAGACTATTAACAGTCCAAGATCGAGCTGGGACCACGGGAGCTTAGGTTTCGGTGAAATCCAGTTGTATTCCCAGAGAACTGCGGGACGAAGGCTTCCTTGGAAATGAAGCCAATGCACCTTGCCTTCGTGGTCCATCTTGACGTCTGAAATCCTGTCTCGGATTTCTCAAGGTTGATATCTGTGACCTTTCATCAAGGTGACGAGTGCGGGAGCATCCATCGTCGGGACCAAAATGTTTCTTTTGTTGAACCCTCTTGTACTATTAGACGGAGTGCAACCTCTAGGTGATCTGATTTCTATAGGGGGAGTCCAATATGCTGTATCGTCGAGTCCGACCTCGATGACTTTCTCTAGACTATTTCCTATCTATTTTTACATGGTACACGTAGAAAGAAGTAAGAATCCTTCCCCTAGTTGAGACATTCCTCGCCGCGGCATGCAACCTCGGGGAGGCGAATGCTAAGGGCCAACCATGTTGGTCATTCAGTCATTGCCTTTTATTGTCGCGCGACACACCCAAAAGACCTTTAAAAAGGACTTGCGATTATTATTTGCGCCAACATCCAAAATATCTCAGAGTTGTACCAATAACTCCCAAAATATCTTTCGGAATGAGTTACAGAATCATTATGATCGTTCAGAGGGATACATTACAAAGTAAACACGGTTCAGGAATCTCGAGTTAGTAGGAATTATTTGTCTCATACGAGCAGTTTCCTACACGCTTGAAAGACCTATGACCAACCAAAGAGGATATCCATGACCACCCTTGTCGATGATGAAGGGAAATCCTCGTCTCGTCTTGAATATACCTTGCCTCCCCTTGAATATAACAGACAACATCACACCGGTTCATTTTCACTCCAAAACCTACAAGCATGAACTTATTGTCTCTTCCGGCCGTTTGAGCCTTTGCGGCCTCACGGAGCAGAAGTAGTTGTCACTGCCGAATCAGCCTTTGCCACTGGCCACCAATTCGAAACAGAAGATGCGATCACCTGCAAAGAACATGTACTTCTCGAAAATGTTCTTGCCCTCGATAGTCTGAATGCCGTGGAAGTACTGCTCGAGAGGGCGACCCATGATGGCTCTACAGAGATACGCAGAGAATGCACCAGGTAAGATACTCACGTAGCCGAACGGTCCACTTTCCAATGGTCTATTCCCAACGTTGCTGATCTTGTACTCCAAGCTTTGAGCCGCGATCAGAGGATTCGACCTTTCTTTCTGATCATCCAGGACGATTACACTCCTCATCCTTGGACCTTTTCACCCTTGACATCAACAAAAACAAACCACGATTGTCGTTGGCAAAGAACTGCAGCCCCGAAAACTGCGGACACTGCGCCACCCCGGGGTCACAACAGTCATGGATGTGGTCGACAATGAGACGAACATCTACATAATCACAGAAAAAGGTCACACCGCTGAAGCTGGCACATGAAGCGCAAGAGTCTGAGATAGGAGACCATAAACCTTACCGTGCCTGCACAAACATACTGCTCGCCTTCGACGTTGTAGTTCACAATCTTGAGGAGTGCCAGACTCTCGCTAGGAACGAGACCAACAACAACATCGAGCTTCTTTTCATTGAAGTGGCCTTGGTCGAGAAACCCCAGATGGCAACGAGATGTTCTCGAACATGGAGCCTTTCCTTCCGTCACTGCAACATTGACATTGGTCTGCGAAACCTTTTTCTAAGCCCTTTTCCTTCTTCTGGGCCATCAAGTTCTGATAACGAGTTTATGAAGGTCTGGACGACGTTGTCAGCATTCGTCGAAAATTGCCCCTAAAAACAGCCGAAGCAGCTGCTCAGTTTGGCGGAACCAGAAACAGTATGCCAGTTTTTCGCTCCATAACAAGACGACTACCCAGAACAGTACCAGAGCAGTCGGAAGACTCGGGAGGCGATGTTTTATCCTGGGAGACGTGCTGGAATTGATGCCAGGGTTGGGGATTGATTTCTCTTCAGCATTTCACAGCTTTCAATATCAATCCCATCATGCGTGGAAGACTGACTCCAGACAGTTCCGGACCTTTTGTGTGGATTTTTGACCCTCATGGGCACTGGGCTTATTAACAAGATCCCATGCTTGTGACACTCAAAAATATCGGCCTGTCAGAAGATGTTGGCATTTCTTCGATTGCAAGCTCGGAACCATTCCTTCTCTTCACGGAAGAAGCCATAAATATCCATGAGAGGCGAGATATTCCAGCAAGAAGTCTGAGTGTTTGAGCACTGCGGCCGAGCTGGCATGGCCTGTCATCGGGCTTACCAGCCTGATGCTCCTAGGTTGGGAACTCTTTGGAGTGTTAGATGCCTGTGAAGCGATGAGTGAGGGCGATGTTGGCGAACTTGATTAGAACAACGAAAAGCCAGTGGATGCAGGATGATGATGCGGACTGCAATTCTCTGTCTCGCCAATCATTCCATTCTCCGGCAAGACGGTACTCGAAAGGGTGACAACGGCAAGGAAGATTTGTGAATCACAAGTCTTCGACCTGTTCTGCTACTTTTTCATGCATGAGCGACATTTCATTTTCGTCAACATGATGGTTTTCGAGTCCTCGGAGGTGCACCACCACTCCACCGAGCCAAGGTACGCCATGTGCAATCTATCGGGAACCAAAACAACATGCTGAGGCCACGTCGCCCCAGTACTTCCAGATTTCATCACCTCCCCCATCCCTGGATCAGCCACCATACCATCTTCCTCGGTCAATCCATATTCTCGCTTAAGTTGGTGGCATCATTGGGGGATTTGGGTGACGATGATGAACCGTTCCCAACCACGAACCACCTCTGTATGGTCTGAAGTCCGTTCGTTCTTATCAGATGCCACAACCTGGAGGCATATTGATATAATGGGAAGCATGATCTCGATCACTCCGCTGCTCTGGGTTGTTAGCGCCAAGTTTCGACACCTCCAGCATCGTGGGCAATACACTCGAACGATTCGAACGCCGCCATCATTTCTGTGGTTACCAAACACTTTTCTCGTGAACGTCGGTCCATACGACAGGGGAAATCGATTACCGACGTTGCCGATGGCTTCCCCTCCAGTAGAAGGAGAGAAGTTCGCGTTACTGCACGAGCCTGGCGTCTGCCTTGCATTGGCGAAGGGTTTAATCCCTGAGAATGTTTCTAAGCATCCATTATTCGCTCAACTTGGACCAAAACATGTCCTAGTGCTGTCCCTCGTCGGATGTATCCAGCACGAACCACTTCGAGGCACCCAGTCTGTGGACGACCGATTGTCTGTGTCCTGGGTCTCTCACGCTCGGCATATCGAGATGTTGGCCTCGCCATCGGGTACGCAAGGGAGGATCGTGAAGAGCTTCCATCCAGAACTTCTCCACAAATGCGTGCAAGTCAACCAACGAACCTTGCGCGAGTCGCTCTGGGAGTTGACCTTTGCAATAGCGACGAATCTCGTCCTGAAGAGCAAATTTCAAGGATCTGATATCTCGAAACTCCGTTCTGCGGTCTTGAGAGCTATGGCGGTTTGCGGAAAGTCGTTAGGAGGGTCGAAATCCCCAAAGTACGTCCAAAGCTTGGGACTCTGGCGCAAACCTTTGGCAAAAGCGACCTTTTTCAATCGAGATATACACACAATCACATTGGTCTTTAACGAATTAATATTGACATGTATTGAAATCATTTCGGCATACCTTGGTTTCTGAGACCGAACTGACCAGTGCACAGGCTATGTCGTTGTAACTACGTGCTGAAAGCGTCAACTATCGGGTTGATACTCAAAGGCAAACACGGGCACTTGCGCAGTATGTCGAGACACATAGCTCACATGAATCAAAGGAGGAGGACAAGGGAGAAGAGTTAAGCCTATAAAGGTGGTCGTCGACACGAAATTGAACGCAACACCTCTAGAGCTTGCCGCAAAGAATTCATTCGCAAATCATGGTCAAGAAGCCGACTTCTCTCAATGTCGAGACTTTCCACAGCCTCGACGAAGATGAATGTCAGGCGTATCTAGCTGTTGTGGATCAGGTTCGAGAGCTAGACATTAGAGAAGATCTGACGCTTCCTCAGATATATCGCCCTTCCCCGTAAACGACATCTTTGATGGTATGTAATGCGAATTCAAGCTAACGGTTTCTTTGAGCGCATAGAATCTCAATTGCCAAAAAAAGGGGATCAATTGGCTAGCTACGTCCACTTTGGACTAGACAAACTTTCGGCTTTCAGCACATGGCGAACCCAAGAACAAGTACAAACAAGTCTTTACCAGCGGGCTTCTCTCACTCTCTGTGTGAAGTCTTCGTTCACCATTTCTGTTCACGACCTCACCATCCCACCTAGCTCTTCACTACAAAGAGACTCCATCAAACTTCCTATGAAGACGACTCCTTTGAGTTTCCCGGAGACATGGGCGTCCCCACGCCTGCGGAGCAGCGGAGCAACACAGTGTGTCTCATTTGCGTCAAGCGGGGCCAAGTGAGACGGCGCAAAGAGAACAACGGAGACGATGCAAAGAGAACAATGGAGACAGCACAAGTATGGTCAGCCTTACAGCGGACACGCGCATCATCCCGAGAACAGACAATTACAGCACATTGATGGACAAAGGCGGTACAACTCCACCGGGGTTGCACCTCGAAAATGGTTTGCAGAATTTGTCCGGTATTTCTCAAAAATTACCATGCTCTGTGGAACTCGCAGCGGGAAAGAAAGCACCGTCAAGCCTGCCGGTACCGCTGGTGAGGGGATTACAGAGGACTCCATGAGAGGGAGTGAAGATCCTTCCTCCCGTTGAGGTTCCTCTCGCCGCGGCGTGCGACCTCGGATCTCGAGAAATGACTCAATGACTCTCGAACGAGGACAAACGCTCGGAACTGTGATTCGACGACAAGGACTATCCATTTCACCACGTCAGCATCTTCGATGGATAAAAGATCCGGCAACGGGGTTACACCATTTCCACGAGGTGGGGGATCATTCGAGCAGACGTGGGACGTAACAACATGATTGATCATGTTGAAACGAAACGCAATCGCGTCAAGGTCTTCGATTTTGAAGGCTGCAGTATGTGACGGCAAACAGGCCGCTCCTCGTCACCCGAGGTGGACAAGCAGACTGACGTTTTCGCTTTTGATGTCGTGATGTACGAGGTCGTCGCGGGCGGTCCTCCACATCACGAACCCGCGGCGTGTGAAGGGCGGTCGAGGCTCGTCGAGCGACGATACACGGAGGATACAAACATGCCAACGTCGATGGCCTTCCACCGCGAGAGAGTCGATGAGAGGCTGCTGGAGTGCAGGGCCGTCAAGGCGACGAGTGAGGTTGTTCAATCATGTGAGACGAGGTGCGACCTCTAGGTAATTTAAATGCCAGGGGTCTAATATGATGTATTGTCGAGTCTGACCTCGATGTCTATGAGGCTGTTTGCTATCCATTATATAGTAAAAAGGAGCGTAAAGTTCTCCGTCTGGTTGAGGCATTTCTCGCCGCGGCATGAGACCTCGGGGAGTGGAATGCTAGGCGTCGTGAGACGCCTCACATAACCGCCTCACAAAACCGCCTGTAAAATAGGCCTAGAGAGTAGAAATAAGTGCCTAAAGAGGGCTGCAAAATGAGCGGTGTGAGCCTAGTACTAGGCCTCCGGTTGGTAAAGACAGGATGGCGGAGGACTCCGCGGAGGAGGCCCCTGGGCCGTCTAACAGGTCATAACTGTTATTACTTAATTAGCGTTATCGCGTGAAAACGAAGAAGTCATCACGCACAGAAGAGGGTATAATAGTCATTGACTTGGGGACGAGATGTACAGGCTCAGAATGAAGTGAAAGGGCCGTCAAAGCAGGAAACGCAGCGAAGTAGTGGTCGAAAATCGACGATGGAAACATGGTCATAACTCCAGAACTTGTCTAGTAATACTTGGTTCATCTGAAGAGGAATCTGAGTAGTTACAATCAACTCAACGCGTGGTGGATTGATCTCGAATCTTGGTCAAAATATTCATCGTCAACGTCGTTATGGGCATTCCTAAGGCTGAGATTCATAACTCCGCTGAAGCGTCGGATCTCAACATTTCTTGCTCGAATGTATGAGACCAATTCTCATTCCAGTAAGTTAACAAACTGAAATTCCGTCCAACCAGCCATCGATCTTTAGGCGGATATAGTGGCCAAGTGAGGTAGATCCGTTTTCCTTTATGGTCATCTCTTCCATGTCTCGGATGATGTGATCAATATAGTCCCCGGCGCCACTAAGATGGAGAATACGCGCGATAGCATGATGAATGGCCAGAAGTCGAGGAGAGGGTGGATCGATAGTCTTGGTTGGTGTGATATAGAGTTGACGATTGATAGGAAGTAAAGGATCGCGGAAAGGTTCACTGGTGTTAATGTAGTCGATCACATAGGAGTGTGGAGATTGATCAATCGTCGGTTGAAATGATACCTTAAAAGCACCCATGTCATAATGCCACTTATGTGTCAGTGTGATTGCATTGGTCGGTCTATCGATATCAGGTCCCTCAATGAGATTAGGAGCATCAGGATCGAACATTCTCAATATCTGAAGAGCAATCTTCTTTGATTCACTCTAATCATATCGTCAACGAAACTCATCCAATAACAGAGCGAGGCACATACTAATTGTTGATTTCCTCGGTCGCTCGAGGCTGATGTGAGAGAGTGAGGAAGTATGTGTGCGACTTCGAGGTATTCGGGCATTTGCCCTTTAAGCAGAGCCCCGTCATCATCTTTGGCATCGTCACGGTCTCTGTTCCAGCGTGCTCTTGCTTCGATGGTATCGAACTTGCGAGAGATGACACATCGATAGCGGTCGCGAGTAAGGCATTTCTGTCGTAGACGTGCAACTCGGTTTCTGGTGCCAACGACATTGTCAGAGGTTTGCGGTAGACTGAGAGTAGGGGTAGGTTGAGGGGTCTTGTGGCCAGATGTTTTGACTGTAGCAATGTTAGCGTTTCCAGACCACACACACACGCAACAATTTTGTCTTCAATACGTGGCAGAAAGAAGTTGTTCACAAGGTAGTCTGAAAAGTTGACCAGGGTTCCTTGGAACTCATTCAATTGTTCAAGACTCCAAGAGTGCAGATTGTCGAACCGAGTCAAGATGTCGGAAAAGGTTGGAGTAGAAGCATCGGGATCACGTTGAAGATCTGCATCAACAAACAAAAAGAAATGATTGAGGAAAATATCTTTAGAGATAACTGATTCATGGACTGTTCGGAGCAGAGTAATATGTTTGTACGTCGGACTCGGACGTTCAGCCTGGGAAGGTTCATACCGAGAGACGATCTGGTCGAAAATCGCGGTGGCTTGATTGAATTGATCAGGCGTTAGAACAGAGGTCGACGAGAAGTCTAGAAAGCCCTGCAAGGATGATTGGTGTCTAAGAAGGGGCGGCGCCATTGTCGTTTCAAGAGACCGGAGGGCCGTAAGATAGGTGAAAGAAAGACACTAGCAGCAGCGCAATTAAAATTCTGGTTACCTATCGAGTCACGTGAAATATCACGTGAAATAAAGACGTCATCCGCGGTCAATGACGGAATGCCAGGCTGAACAGGATAGCCTTATCACGTGTATCCGCCATAAACCACACAATGATCTGGACAGGTGTGCTTCTCTCAACATATAAGTGCTGCGCCCGCAAATCAGTCGCTACCTTTTCGTGGACTCAGAAGGGTGTAGCGACTAGACCATATGAATCCATGGCACCGAATATTGCGCCCTCACAACACGCTCTCAGCGAGGAAATGACTGCAGTTGGCCACTTAACACCAGGCAGCACTAATCATATGATTAGGGTCCTGACAGCGTGGAAGCTAGATCCATTAACACCCGATGCGAAATCATTTCCTGTCTCCTTGAAGCCACCGCAACAATATCCGTCAAGGGCCTCAAGCTGCCCGACCTGCAAAACTCTCTCGCGTTGGCCTGCTGGAACATTTTCCAGGTGTGTCTTCACTAAGGCAGACGACCCTGCTCGACCAGAATCAACGTCGACATCAACTTCCCAGCAAGACCCAGGATCCTCAAAACGACACATCCTCCAAAGGAAGAGGACAAAATGGACGTGTCTACGCTCGATGCTGCAACTGCGACGAGAACGGACGCGTTATGACATGGTCTCAATGCAAATATTGCTCTCACAGTTATTGCGACGTTTTGCGTTTGGTCAGAGGATGAAGAATGCTGGAGAGGGCATGAGCCCCTGATTCCGCCATTGACTGTGGATACATGTTGCACGTCTAGATTGTTTGGACCTAATATAAGCATTGACATCTAGCAGGTGAACGAGCGATGAGAGAGGTCAGGAGTTTCAGTTTCCGCAACAACCTATTCTGTGCTATCTGCACCGTTGTGGTGTCAGGATACAATCGGCCCATGTAAGAACCAACCCCTCAGTTCTTGATTCCCAAGCGCCATCAACATTGTACGTCGACGCTGTCAAGAATTTCGTCCGACTCGGAAACACTGAAACCAACCTCCACGTGGGAAGCCCCCTGATTTCGGAAAAGATCCTGTACTTGTTTGTCAAACTCAGCACCTAACGACAATGCCTGTGCGGTCTGACCGTCTTCTGTCAAGGCATCCCAGGTTAAGGCATCACCCGCAAATCGCACGAGCTCTTTGATGACCGCGGCGTTGTTCCAGGATGCGGCGACATGTAATGCCGTCCAACCTTCGTGGTCCACACTGTTTGGCTTCGCCCCTACCTCAAGGAGCAACTTAACGACATCTACCAAGTCCCTGTCTGAGCCGTTTAGAACAGGACAGACGATGGCTAGATTCAACAGAGGCATCTCCCCCCGAAGGGACTGCCCTGGTCGACAGGCGCTTGCCCCGTAATTTAGGAGTACCTCGGTGGCTTCGGGCCATCCGTATTCCACAGCCCACGCAAGTGCCGTCTGTCCGCACGCGTCTTGGGCGTTGATGATCTCCGGCGACAGCGGAGCTTGCCCAAAACCGGCCAAATAGTCTTCTAGTGAACCCATGTTGCGTTCGATACCAAGCAACACTTGGTGGACAACAGGAAGTTCCCGATCTTCCACAAAGTTATCGGCGAGACGGGCTAGAGACCGACTGAACGACTGGGCAATGCGCACGAATTCCGAATCTTTAAGCTCACGAGGGCCATCGTGTCCCCGGGGCCAAGGTCACTAGGGTACCGGCGATCATATTTTCCTTTGGCGTGCTAACACCATACGAGTCAGTAGCAACAAGGCGGATTGTGATTTTGAGAAGATTAGTACCTGCCAATATCATCCACCCAATCTTGATTCACACCGCTCTGAACGAGGAAACGGCACATGTTCAGAGCTGCCTCGCGTCCAGCACCCCTCCAGCACCAGATTGAAGCGTACTAAGATAAAAAGGTTAAATACGATAAACTGTTGTATCGCAGGTAGATTAGGTAAAGAGGTAGTGAGGGGACGACGTACGTAAAGAAGACCGAGGCCATAGGGGTCGACATCATTGATCGACGCCTCTCCGGATTGAAGAGGATTTCTGACAACCTGCACGTCTCCCTCCTGGACGCGGACAAGATTCGGAGAGTCGTACGGTACGACGTGACGGGTCTGCAGGGAAATTGTAAGTGAGCACGGGCGCAGAATGAAAGTGAAGTCGAGATTTCCGATGATTGAGCTGATCCAAAGGGGTGCGAGGTATCGAAGATCAGCCTTTGCCTGGCGATAGCTGCGTCGTCAAGTCTGCTCGCTGCACGAGACGATGCTGGAGAGATACCAAGGTAAACAACAGACACCCAGAAAGAGGTACCCTAAGCGGTCAGAAATGGCTGACGGGGAGCGCAAAGCTACACGGTAGTGACACCGGCACTGGCAATCATGCAAACACCTCAGCGGAACTCGGGCAGATCGCTTCGGTGGAAGGCGAGAGAGATGACCATCTCGAACATGCAGCGACCGATTCATCGTCTCGTCGTCGACGAAGGTCTTTTTGTACCTCATTCATTGCTGTTTGGGGGCTTTGATGCGACTCTTGGGTGAGTTTGTCGACCATTTGACGGGTATCCTTCCGTTCAAGGAGTAGTTCAGTCACAAAGATGTTCTCAGTAGAACCTTGCGGTGTAGGTCCCTATACTCTGTAGATGCTTGCGTTGCACTTGCCTTGGATTATACTTGGATTTGATCGAAGTATTCGAGATGTTGTACTCTGGACCTTGGCATGAATCGTTGCTGCCTGAATCTGAGATTCCAGGGCTCAACAGCTTCCGAGTAGGCAGGTACGAAGAGCATCAATGAAGGAACAACTTCTTCAAAAATAAACTGAAGAAGGTGCAACCATCAGTTTGCAAAAACTACAAATTCTCTCGCAGTTCGTAAATCGATTGCTTCATTATGACCGTGGCTGTGACACACGTACACAAACGCGTACGTTTCCAAGACTCGTTGCGTAACGATTCAGGCGCCAGGCTGCGCACCTCGGTAGGCCAGCGCGCCCGCTGATAGGATGCCGGCGCCTCCGGTCATTAGCCCGGCTGCGGCGTCAGCCTCAACAATTGCTGACCCTGACCACACGACTCTTCTTACCGCGTCTGCCTACAGCATTGAAGGGCACACACCCGTCATCAAACCTAAGCCATCCGTGCTGCGAAAGAAGATCCACAGTACCTACCGCCGCCTATCAATCATCAAACATTCTGCACCACGCAATCTGGCTTTCTTCGCATCCCAAGCTTCCACTGCTGTCCAAGGACGCAAGTCCAACAAGGCCTCAGCACTCTATGACGGTTTCGCACAGACTGAAGCTGTCCACGACCCCAACATGTCTTATCCTTCTGTTACCGGCGGCGGTGCTGGTCGCAACATCGACATGAGTAGAACTGAGTCCGATCTCGCGGTCAACATCCGAAAAGCCACCAGCATCGAGGAAACTGCGCCCAAGCGAAAACATGTCCGAAGCTGTATCGTCTACACTTGGGATCACAAGTCTTCCATTTCTTTCTGGGCCGGAATGAAAGGTGAGTCTCACTGTCACCTGAGTGATCCCTCGCGTGTCGCTCCAGCGCAGAACTAACACTCTTGCAGTTCAACCCATCCTCGCCGACGAAGTCCAGACCTTCAAAGCCCTCATCACCGTCCACAAAGTCCTACAAGAAGGTCACCCCATCACCGTCAGAGAGGCCCAACAAAATGTCAATTGGATAGAATCTTTGGCAAGAGGTGTCACCGGCGAAGGTCTACGAGGATACGGACCGCTCATCAGAGAATACGTCTTTTTCCTCCTGGCCAAGCTGGGCTTTCACCGACAACATCCAGAGTTCAATGGTCTCTTCGAATACGAAGAGTACATCAGTCTGAAATCAATCAATGACCCTAATGAGGGATATGAGACCATTTCCGACTTGATGACACTTCAAGATCAGATTGACACATTTCAAAAGTTGATATTTTCTCACTTCCGCGGTGGCGCCAACAATGAGTGCAGAATTGCAGCCTTGGTGCCCTTGGTGCAAGAAAGCTATGGCATCTACAAGTTCATCACGAGCATGTTGCGCGCCATGCATACCACCACCGGTGACGATGAAGCTTTGGAACCTCTGCGCACCCGCTACAATGGTCAACATCATCGTCTGATCAAGTTCTATTACGAATGCTCGAACCTCCGCTACCTCACCTCCCTCATTACCGTCCCGAAACTCCCCCAAGATCCTCCGAATCTCATCGGCGAAGACGAAGAGAAACCTGCCTTGCCGAGGCGACCACAAAAGGAAATTGAACGAGCCCCATCTCCAGTCACAAAGAATGGCACACCAGATCCAAAAGACATGGATGATTTCTGGTCAAGAGAGGCCCAAAGACAACAGGAGGAATACGAGGCCGAACAGCGGCGTCTGCAGCAACAATGGGAGGATCAACAACGTCAACAGATGATGGCTCAACAAGAAGCGCAGCGTGCCTTCGAGAAACAGCAGAGAATGCAGGCCGAGCAGCAGCGATTGGCACAAGAACAGCTGATGCGCGATCAATATGCCGCACAAACTCAAGGTCGCATGGCCGAGCTGGAACGAGAGAACCTCAATGCTCGCGCGCAATACGAACGGGACCAGTTGATGCTGCAGCAATATGACCAGCGAATGAAGGCGCTCGAAGAACAGCTTCAACAACTCAACAGCAACTTCCAGATGCAGTCCTCGTCCAAGGACGATCAGATCGCATCTCTGCAGGAACAGGTCAACACATGGCGATCCAAGTACGAGGCCCTGGCGAAGCTGTACTCTCAGCTGCGACAGGAGCATCTCGATCTCTTGCAGACCACCAAATCACTCAAATTGAAGGCAGCGTCAGCGCAGGAAGCCATTGATCGCCGAGAACGACTGGAACGGGAGATGAAGACTAAGAATCTGGAGCTCGCCGACATGATCCGAGAACGCGATCGGGCTCTCCACGAAAAGGATCGCTCTCAAGGCGGCCACCGCGAGGAACTCGAGAAACTCAAACGAGAATTGCGCCTGGCCATTGAACGAGCCGAAACCGCAGAGAGATCCAAGGGCTCTGAACTGTCGTCCATGCTAGCCAAGTACAATCGCGAGATGGCCGATCTGGAGGAAGCCGTCCGGACCAAGACCAGACAGCTGGAAGACATCCGATCCAAGCACGGTGAGCGCAATGAGGATCACGAGGCTGTTCTACGTGAAAAGGACGACGAGATTGAAATCTACAAGTCGGGCATGGAGCAAGCGTTGGAGGAACTGGAGGAGCTCAAGATGGGTGGTGGCGAGGCTGATGGTGCTCTGGACGGTGCTATTGACGAGGTCATCAAGAGCAACATAAACAAGATCAACGACATTATCGATTCCGTTCTCCAAAGCGGTGTCCAGCGAGTGGATGATGCCATCTACGAACTCGATTCTCCCATGCAAGCCGGTAATCAGAACGCGACGGCTCCGTATGTTTTGTCACAGATCGAAAAGGCATCTGCCAGTGCGACCGAGTTCTCCACGGCGTTCAATAACTTTGTCGCCGATGGACCCAACAGCGACCATTCGGACATCATCAAGACTGTATCCGTGTTTGCAGCCTCCATCGCCGACGTTCTTTCCAACTCCAAGGGTCTCACGCGGTTTGCGACCGAGGAGAAAAAGGGGGATGAATTGACCAATTCAGCTCGACAGGCTGCATTGGCGACCATCAACTTTTTCCGCTCTCTGCAGTCCTTCCGCCTTGAAGGGCTCGAACCGATGCAAAAGTCTGACGTGGTGGTCAATAGCAACCACGATGTCTTGATGAAGTTGCAAAAACTATCGAAACTTGCAGATGCGTTGGCACCCAAGGGCAGCAAGCTCAGCACGACCGGCGACCTGGGCGACCTGGTTGATTCGGAACTCACCAAGGCCGCCAATGCCATCGAGGCCGCCGCACAACGTTTGGCAAGGCTCAAGAACAAACCCAGGGACGGATACAGCACATACGAACTCAAGGTCAATGACTCGATCCTGGATGCCGCCATTGCGGTTACGAATGCGATTGCACAGCTTATCAAGGCAGCCACAGAGTCACAGAACGAGATTGTCCGCGAAGGATGCGGCAGTTCCTCACGTACGGCATTCTACAAGAAGAACAATAGATGGACCGAAGGTCTGATTTCGGCAGCGAAGGCGGTGGCTACTTCGACCAACACGCTGATAGAGACGGCGGACGGAGTCATCAGCGGACGAAACTCGCCTGAACAATTGATCGTTGCGTCGAACGACGTCGCCGCCAGTACGGCACAGTTGGTTGCGGCGAGTCGGGTCAAGGCAAGCTTCATGAGTAAGCATCAGGACCGGCTCGAACAAGCTTCGCGATCGGTGGGTGCTGCGTGCAGGAGCCTCGTCAGGCAGGTGCAGGATATTATTAAGCAACGCCAGAAAGATGATGGCGAGGCAGTTGATTATGGTAGCCTTAGTGCTCATGAGTTCAAGGTTAGGGAAATGGAGCAGCAGGTGTGTATCCTTGTTTTCCCTTTTTTCTTTTCCCTTTTCTCCTTACTCTCTTCCTCCTTTCGTGTCATCTCCACAAAGCGAGTGGCTGGCTGACCCTTTTGGTGTGTACAGGTCGAAATCCTGCAGCTCAGAAACGCCCTCGACGCGGCACAAGCCAGGCTTGGTGAGATGAGGAAGATTTCGTATAGGGAGGACTAATTGCCGGAGCGGAACCGCCACTGCGGCTCGGCGAGATGAGGGCGAGATGCAGATGCAGGTGCATCACCAAGACCACCCTGCCTTGCCTCTGGACCGGGGTCTGGCTGTTTCGGCTCGTTGCCAAAGCTGTCAAAAGGACCGAATGATTCCAAACGGGGCTGGCTATTGATCGAGAGTGTGGTGGGAAAATGAAACTTTTGTCAAGAGGTGTTTTTAACCGTCAGAACAGTGCATGTACGGGTTTAGAGTCACATATGTTATGGTGTGCCTGGTTGAGTCAAAGCAAGCGAGGGAAGCGAACCTCATGCAGGGTTTCTTACTGGAGTACCATCCGTTGAAGTGTCGATAAGGAACTACTTTTGAGAATACTTGATAGCGAACTCATTCATAAGTGTGTTACTATCGTATTGCACAAATGATTGTGACCCGAGATTTGTTGAATGTGTTTACTTTGCAATGTAAGTTCTCATTATTTTGGATGTTGTGGTGGTAACTCCAGTGTATTTTCCAGTCACGCCAGGTCTTCTGTCACGACGATGCGTTTGGATTCCTAGATTTCAGTACGAAGAACTAAACTAGGTGTTGAGTGTGACGACTACGTGTTTGAAATGATAGAATTCAGTGCGAAGGAGGGCTAAAGTCGGTGTTGAGACCGCGGCGCAGTGTTGGCACTGGTCACATGATATCAGGATCCTGACGATTTTTCCGAACAATAACACCAGTTTATTACTCTTGTCACTTCCAACGACGCCCCGGTCATACTAGCAACCTTGGGGTAGGTCGGACACGTGGGAGACACGGCTCTGGGCGGTCCACACGGTGCCTCGCCCGATCTGATCTGTCCATCACCGAGAGCAATCATGCACTGTACGGTGTATGTGGCGCCGCCTCGTTGTTGGCCATCTGACCCGAAGGCTGCAGACCCCATCTGTATCTACCCTATTACCGTCTCTGAGAGGCAAGCAGCCTTCACTTCCGCAGCTTCCTACAAGCCGTCTAGTCATCCGACCACTTACCAAGCGTTGAATCTCCGAGTCCCCCCGTGGATTCAAAATTAAAGCCATGTGGGCGCTTCTCATGGACCAAATTTCCTGATACAATTGGGCGTCTCCAACTCGCCCTTGTCCGTTTTCTCGGCCTCGTGCTACAGGCAGGGTCAATTGGATATCTTAACCCTATCTGGACACAGACTCACGCTTCGCCCCACTTCATGGCCAGCTTTTCCGATGATGCATGGCAAGGAGATGTTTGTAACCGCATGGACCGTCGTTTCGTCGAAGATGTTCGGCTCCCGCACGCAAGGAGTATTTGCATGTACGTAGTACAGACATGCAAATGATCGGGGACTTCCGCACACCACTCACGAGTCACGATATCTGGAGCGCTTTGGATGATGCGATGAACTACCGAACTGCCATCATCGGCAACTGGTTGAGATCATCTATCTGACCGAGGAAGGGCCCGTGACTCGCCTTGCTGCCGTTGTCCACTTGCTTGAGGCCGGCACGTCGGCGAAATCCGCCGGCACACAAGCCACCCATCCAAACTCATGGTCCGCTGTTGCAGATTCCCGCATATTGATCATCTCCAGAGTGACGAGGTGGCTGTCCAGACCGAAATGACAAGCATCGTCTGGTGAAACCTCACGCAAAAGCTTTCCCTCAGATTATGGAAACTCTTCTTCGGTCTTCACGGAAGACCGGGCAACTGAAGTGTTCAAGGCTTCGCCTTTTCGAACAGCCTGGTTGAACGGTCGAGTGGTCGTTCTACCGTTTTGCTGGGGCCGGATGGCCCACAATGCGTGTGAGCACTTCAGCAGTTGAGACCGATATTGGGGGTCCGGGCCACATGCAACATAAACTAACGAACCGCTCTGTCGGAATCTTATATCCCTTTCATCGACCGCTCGGGGGCATACGTGGTTTACGACAAGAGTGTGCATGGCCTTCCAACTCGAGCGATCGCCTCAGGTTTTTGAACGTTGAAAACCACCGGCCGATCATGTCACCAAAAACAACCCATTCATGAGCCAAGGGACTGAGCAGAAGGAGTTATATATGACCTAGGTCGGGGGAGGGTTTTCAAAGCAAATTAACCACTCTCGTACTGAGAGCTGGTCCTTTTTCCATGGATCTTTTGGTAAACTAGCCTAAAGTGTAGGTGTGTAGGCGCCTATAGGTCGACCCGCGAGAGTCAGGATGTATGACAATCTCAGTCATCTCTTCCACGCCAATCTATCAAGCCGATTATTCGACTTCGGAAGTGGTCACTCTGTGTAGCGTCAGATCGACTCGCCCTCGGCCATGCTGTAGAACGGATTGGCGGGGTCGTAGGGCCACTTGGTCACGACTATATCACCACCGACATAGCTGGTCAGGTTTGCCTCCGTCAAGGACTTAATCACGAGTATGTCAGTCATCATTCTTGGCAGGAGGAGGGTGGGGAGTTACGCCCGTGCTGGGGAGAGTTTCCGAACAGGTGCAGGAACTTACCATGTCGTAGGAGCAGATGGCATTTCCACTGCCAAACTTCTTGATGTTGATCACGGTGTCGTTCTTGTCATAGTCGATCTCGACCTCTTGAATGGTGGACTTGACCGGATTTTCCAAGAAATAGTTCATAGGAGAGATCACAACGCTCGATTGAGCCGTCTGTTTGTTTCCGTTGTCAGTTCCGAGTCCCGTCTGGTGCCGACAGAGGCAAACGAATATACGAGGGATCATACCGTAAAGACAGTGTTGGGGAGATCCTGAGTGTCGGGAACGTGATGCATACCGAGGTTGAAGTAGCTACACAGAGACGAGGAAATTCGAGTCAGCAGTGCTCATGTTCCCTGACTGCAAGGGGGGAAGAAAAGAGGACTCACAGCACGAGATCTTCCTGATCAAGCGACTCGCCGTCAAAGAACTTGCCAAAGTCGACGACGGGGCGGAACGTGTCGAGCGAGTTGAAGGCGTAGACGCTGCGCGGCTCCGTGTCCTTTTGCCTGACGGCGTACAACTGGTGAGTGGCCCAGTGGTCGCTGTTTTTGAGGTCGGACGAGTCGATCACGGTCAGGTGAGCGGTATTGGCGGTGGCCGGCGAGATCTTGAATCCCGGGTATTCTCCGTACTTGTTGGGCGTGTCGCGGTTGACGACGGCGTAGAAGCTCGACAGATTGGGGGACCAATTGATCTTGGAGTCGTCCTCGCTTTCGATAAAGGATCTGTTCAACTTCATGGTGTTTCGAGCTTGACCGTTGGACCAGGGATAGCTAGGAACACAAAGTCAGTCCCACCACTTAGAATGATCTTTTGAGAGGTCACAGGGGAAACCGGGGGAAGGAACCTACATTTCCGTCGTGGGAACAACATCGACCTTCATCAGACTGTTGTTGGTGCCATGGACGTCGAGATCAAGCTTGTAGTTAAGCACATGGTCATGCATGGAGCCCGAGACGGCGTCATGGATATGAAAGCCATAGTCCGAGTTCTTGGCCCAGAAGGCGGCGGCGATGTAACCCGAGGCTCGCACAGTGACGTGAATAGATCCGTCGTGGTAGAAGGCGTACTCGAACATGTAGTCATAGTTGCCGAGGGTGCTGACGCTACGCAGGATCAAATGAATATTCTTGGTGGCGTAGACATAGTTGACGGCCGTGTGACGTGCCACAGGGTAGCCGGCGTCATGCTCAAAGATACAGATGCTCTTGTGATGCGTGCGGCGAGTCTCACGCCAGTAGAACGAGGTGTCGAGGTACGTGGCATAGGCCGGGCAGTCGTAGCCGCCGATGAGCTCAAAAGCGTTGGGGCCGAAACCATAGTACGAGTCGAGAAACGCCTGCGACGACTGACCGGGGCCCGTACCGGCGTAGTGAGCGAGAGCCTCTTGCAGGCCCAGCTCGTAAATGATACGCTCACCCTTGAACTTGATGTCGTACAGTCGCATTCCCGTGTCGCGCGAGAAAGCCATGTAGAAAGTGTAGCCCACTAGAGAGGAGTCACGGTCAGTGGGAAAAATGCCACAGTCTTTTCGTGCCGGGGGAATACATACTCCATTCGATATAGGTCTCTTCCTCGTCGACAGCGAAGCGTTGGCCCGACGGTTGAACCTCGGTCGGTGGCGGCGTCTGGTCGTGCTCATACACAGGCCCCGTGGGTGACGTGGCATCCCAATCGCCGTCTTGATCGACCTTTAGGATCTCGAACGTGCCGTTCTCAAAGGCGGTCCGGAAGGACTCGGTGGTGTCCCAAAATTCGCCGTTGTAGTACCAGCCCAACACCGACCACTTGGACGGATCGCGGCCCGTCAGGTCTGTGCGGACGGCCAGGCCACTGTAGATGAGAGAGCCCGTGCTATACATGGTGGTTGGCATCAGGGTGTACTCGTTCCACGTCGTCACCGCACCAGTCACGTCGTCGATCCAGAGCGGGTCGCTAGGACCGATGGCGAGTGGATCAGTGGGAGAGTTGGTGAAGGTCTAGGTCAAGGGAGTCAGTATCGAAAATGTTCTTTCCAAGGGGTTATGATTTCATGTACTAACCCCGTTGAACATTTTCATCAGAATATCCTCAACCGACGCTGAAATGTTGACGAGGAACTGGGTGTAAGCATCGTTATCGGCGTTATAGATACGCTGGTAGCCTGCTCCCTTGTTATAGGGATAGTCTAGCGTCTGGATGGTCGTCTCGTTAGAGACGGGCAGCGGGCCTACCATGTACTCCCTGATGTACGGCTCCATTGTGGCCTGGAACTGGAGCGTCGCTCTGGCATACCGCGCCGGCTTGGGCCCTTCGCCGTTGAGGTACGGCAGGGCGTCGGACTTGTTGGGCTGCAAAGTCTCGACCTGGACGATGACATTGTCCCAGCTAACAAGAACAACAACGACAAAAGATCAGTACACGGGGGAAACCCCGAAGAAAAGGAAAAGACAGAAGAAGTCGCACGAACCTGGTCGCGTTGGCGTTGGCTGTGAGGTTGAGTTCGCTCTGTTCGTGAAGAAACTTGGTCACGGCGGCCGAGTCGTCTGCGCTCAGGGGGGCAAAGATGTTTGGCAGCGGTGCCTTGGTCGATGGAGTGTTTGTCGTGTCGCACGACTGGCTAGTCACCGCGTGGCTGGTCAAGTCCATGGGCCTGCCACTCTTGATGGCCATCGGCACCCTTCCCGGGGGGAAGCCCTTCATGCCAGATGGCGATGCCGAGGCCATGGAGGCCAGGCCACCAACAGCCAGCAAGGCTGATGAGAAACCCCTCATCTTTTCGTTTTGTTTTATATTTTCGTTGTCCTTTTTCCTCGGCCTTTTCTGAAACAGAGACTTGAGAGGTTGTTCACAAGGGCTGTGAGATAATAAAAATACTCTTCCATGGTATGGTCCAGCACGGATGTGCCCTTCTTATAGGCGTCGAGCATCTATGCCCGAGCCATGATGACGAGCGAGCGGAGCCACCCTACCGACATGAAGGTTGAGGCCGCTTTCGAACCGGCATGTTCTTATCGCAAACAAGTAAAACTGTTCATCCAGGATCGTCCGAAAATTTTTCACCGCTAGGTCTTTACTACCTGAGCATAGCGAGCGCTCAGCTGAGTATGTTGGCGTCATTGACGCCTTTGCACGAGTAGTGCCAGTGTTCTAGTGCTGTGTGGGAGTTGTAAAGGCTCGGGTGTCAGTGGGTGCAATATTCCTATATGCCACTAATTAGTTCCCGTATTTAGGCGTTGAAATAAAATTAACAAGCTTCTGATCATGATAAGCGCGCTCCTGGGCAATCCTAGCTCGGCAGAAGCCAAGAAAGATAAGTCAATGCCCGTTGATTGGACATGAGGATATCGGAGAAGCCAGTCCCGACTCACACTCAGACAGACATACTCCTAGTACGCCCGTGGGCAATGAGGAGCGTAAGACACTTGGTGACGGAGCTGGTGTATAGGGATCCGGCAACGCTATCCCGACGGTTGCTTGATAGGGCACAATTCAAGGTGCTGTCCAAACCCCAAGCCCAATCTTCGATGGAAGGCTTATCAGTGGGGGAATTGTTTTCATCTCTGATACCGACTCAAGAACTTCCCAAATAGGCTATGATTGGAGACAGGCGCGGCGTGCTTCAACTTCTGATTGTTCAGTCATGTTACTCATCCTAATTATTCAATCGAGTCCAAAATACCTTTGGGGAGGGATTACTTCGTTGGATATCCAAAATACCTTTCGGAAGGACTTGAAGTTATTGTCTTTGTGTCACGACTATGCGTTTGAAACACGGTTAAAGAATTCAGTACGAAGGAGGGCGTTCTAAGCCCTTGTATGGCGTTTTGAGGCCGTAGCGCAGTTGTTGTGTATCGAGCAGGGCGAGGTAGTTTCCCGAATAGCACTAGGCACATGATTAGGATCCTAACATTCTTGTACCAACAGCCACCAAGTCACCGCTCACCATTGACCAGCCAGAGCAGCAACCAGCTGTACTGCTGTACTGTGTAGTCCTCTGGCGGCCACCAGATCTAGCTGTACTCTGTTACAGCCAAAGTAATTCTTGACAATGAATGACTAACCTCTTACTCTTCGCATCTGATTGGTTAATCATGTGGTTGATCCTCCCTCATGGAAATGGATCGTACTCTCCGATCCCCAGACAGACTCCATCGACCTCGTCACCATCGATGTGCTGTGCCACTATACCTCCGGCGCCGATACGGAGGAGGTCACCTCCCCGCGGCGAGCTGCCGTTCATGGGCATCCATTCCATTTTCTGCGGACCGTGCCAGGGATCCTCGGCGAAGGCGAGGATGTGGTCCTGTAAGACCTTGCTGACTGCGGCTTCGAGGTCCGTGGAGGGGGCCACGCCGTCGAGGCAGTGGTACGTGCCGAAGGCGATGGGGATGTCGCTAGCATGGTACGCGCCGAGCCATTTGTAGCGGTTCAGGTTGGGGAATGTGCCGGCGTATTGGATGCGGTAGGTTGGTAGGCCGGCGTCGCTGCGGTAGGTGGTCATGTTCAAGCTCGGGCAGACCAAACCCTCGACGGTGCCTTTGGTGACGGCCGGCTGCCAGGGCCCTTCGGTCAGATTGGCCGCCGGCCAGGGGACGAGGGAGGACATCTCGTTCGCCGTCATGGAGAGAATCGCCGGCCGCCGCGCGAACTTGCCTGCCGCCGCGCGAGCCTCGTAGTCGGCGAATATGACCTTTTCGTCAATGACCATGTTGAACCTCATCGGCGGGGACGTGCCCGCGTCCGCGTACTGGCCGACGAAGTTGATGATCTGCGCGAACGGCACTTGACGCATGCAGTCGAGCTCGGCCGCACCGCCGTCGTCCAGGCCCGGGAAGTCGCATCCGAATCGGCTGGCCACGAAGGTGAAGTTGGAATGCGTCGGGTCTTGGCGATCTACACCATTGAAGATCAATCCGGACTGGAACCAGAAGCCTTGCACGATCGGGTCGTCGGGCCAAGCGTAGGAATGGATGTCAGCGGCGATGGATCCCGCCGACTGGCCCCAAAGTGTGATCCGGTCCGGGTCACCGCCAAAGGCTGCGATGTGATCACGAACCCACTCTAGAGCAGCACGCTGATCCAGCATGGCCAGATTCTGCTCGCTGTCTGCGAGGCCGCGCGCCCGTGGGAAGCCGAGGATGTCCATGCGGTGGTTGATGGTGACAACGATATGCGACTGCGTCCGCTCAACCCACGAGTCCGGGATCTGCCAGGGAATATCGACGCCACCGAGAATGAAGCCACCTCCAGTAATGAAGAAGAGCACCGGCAATCCCTTGCTAGGAGGTGTCGGCAATCTCGTCGGCGTCCAGATTGCCAGGTACAGGCAGTCTTCTGAGGTGGCCTCCCCCACCAGACCTGATGAATCGTTCTGGTTGCCGTTGTAGATCAGATTGCCTTTGGATAGAGGTAGGTCAAAGAGCGAAATGACCGAAGTCACGAAATGCCCGCACGAGGGTGGGTACCGCGTGGCGTAATGATGTTTCTCCGGAGACGGCGAGAGCCTCTTCGGTGGCATCCAGCGACGCCCCAGCACTGGCGGTTCCGCAAACGGGACGGCGCGGTACTGGCGTGTATTGGGATACTTGGGGTCGATGAGGCCCGTGTAGGAACCCTGAGGAAGCTGTACCGTGAGATTGGCAGGTCGTCCGGTCACCGCGGCGGCGCTTGTCAGCGCCAATAGCGATAGCAGGGCGAGTTTCATAGTCAAATGCCGGTTACTTGCTAAGGTGAAAGCCGTAGCCATAACCCCTCAACCTGTAACGAAAAGTTGTAGCGTTTGATCGATGGCATCAGAAGGATCTTCTTCTTTTTATCTCCTCCGACCGCGCCGCTCTTATCGCCTTATCCGGTGGACATTGAATCGGATGATTCTTGACTTGACATCTTGTTGGCTATCAAAGCTCCTCCAGATGTAAATCCGCAGGCGAGAGTCGGTTCCCGAGGCAATCGGTTCCAGAGATGTCACCATCGGCATAGCGCTGAGCGAGTGTCATGATGCGAGATGAAGCCTTTTTGGTGTCACTGGCAAATATGAACATAGAGTTAGTCGAATCCCTTTTCCGCGGGCATTCCAGGTATCTGGATCACTTTGGGATATTGCTTACCGGCAAATGCCTTGATTTGATTTATTGGATGACCTCCTGCACTCCAGCACAAGCTAGAGTAAGGTCCATCTTCAATTAGGTCAGGTATACAATATTGTCGAGGCAATATTGTTCCCTAGATTCTTTGATACCTAGGCAAGAAGGGGGGATAGATCGTCGATACAATCGAAAAGGCACAATCTCAACCAAATCAGCCCACAGGGATTAGTTGACCTTTGGCAAACCGGAGAACTTATCGGGGACAGATGTACCTGTTCAGATAGGACAGCTTACAATCACTTCTTGCATGGTTTATCTGGAAGAATTTCCCGCGGACAACTTTTTGGCTTATCGATTGTCGAGATGTCGCGTCCTACCCATTGCACGTTCCGTAGAGCGGGGGCTTGAGACTGGCAGTGGAGTAGGGCCATCAATACCACTTAAACGTTTACAGGGCCATTTTCAATTTGAAACGTGGATCACCAGACTCGTAATCGGCACGTTGTTCATTCTTCAGCCGGAGCCAGAACGAGCAGACTGAAGCCCGAATCGCGCGCTACCGGTCGAATAAAAGTCCGCACCCCGACAGGGCAGTCGCGGAGAGGACGTCATCCCCCTGGCCCAGGAGGCCCCAGTCCACAGGCCCTTTTCTGTCGCCATCTAGCTCGTAGAGGTGATGGTTTTGTTAGATTTGACGAAGCAGACGTAATGGAAATCGATCTCGTCTTCGGGATTGGCTGGTACCTCCGAGTTTCCTTGCAGAGCGACGGCCTCGTACGCCACATTCAGCTGCTCGACTTCTGTTGATCGAACGGCGACACACTACAAGGGTTGCAATGACGCGCAGGTCGCAAGTAGGCCGGCCAGGTGAGAGTTGGGAACTATACCAGAGACACCACGTTAGAACACTCCATGGGGGGCTCGTGGCGTTTTTGGGGGAAATCGTTCTTACCGACGAAATCCCTCGAATCTCCGTTACTGATGGCATGTAGAATACCATAGAGGCCGCAGGCATTGTTGATGGTCTGCTTGTACCACATGACATCCTCTTGATCGCCGCACTTTGTATGTCTAACGGCTCCTCGGTCCTCCTCGGTCCCCCTCGGCGATGAGGGCCTCGTAGGTCGGGGAAGTAGGGAAGACGAGGATGAGGGCCAGGGCCGGTCGTGGTACGAGCGCGAGAAGCTCGGGGTCCTTAATCGACAATACGTCGTGGAACGCTAAGGCGTTTGACAGCCCGAGCTCGCGAGCCAGCTGGGTGAAGAGCTGCGGGTTTGAATCGAGGGGGATGTAATGCTTGCGGTACTGCATCTTTCGTTCCTGCCGATCTGTCAGCAGTAAGCCTATGACCCGCGAAACGGAGAGGCAGCAATACCATGCACTCTGGTCGGTCCACTCGATCGTTGGACCCCAGTGGAAGTGGTGTCGTTTAGCTTTTGGCTAGAACGCAAAGATCGACGTGGATGCTCGGGTGTTTATTGCGGAGAGTGTGTGTGGCTAGCGTAGAATGTCTGCACGAGTCGTAAATCGACCATGAACGTGGACTGAGTTGCAAGTTGAGGAAAAATGAGAGTCGAATGAAAGGAAAGTCAAGTGTCGAGGAATCACATGCTGAGAGTATTATGCAGCCATGAATCTCAACCTCAATTCACTGTTCTCTCAGAAGGCCGGCAAGAGACCGCAGAAGGCGGAAGGAGAAGCACAGAGGGTAAACTGCCGGGACTGTTGGCACCGTTGGCGTAAATACTGATCACAGGGGAGTTGCCACCAGGCAGCTCTCGTACTCGTATCGGTATGAGAATAATTGCGCAACGAGTGACAACCTAACTGCGGTAGAAGTACGGAGTAGGTGATTGCTTGTAGAATACGACCCCCTGGCGAATCAATGCTATCTCCGGATTATCGAAGGTGAATCCGTGTGATGGGCACTTCTGGCGTTTTGTTTTGGGTTCGCCAAAACCAGACTTGCGGATTCCTGGGGACATGGTCAAAATTGAATCAGCTCTCCGTGCCGTACAGCCAAGGGCTAGGATTCTGCATCTTGACCTGGGGCACAACAGCTCTTTCGGTGGGGACCGTCATCAAAGGTTCAAAATTCGTTATAAGGAGCGTGATGCTCTCGAGCGGATGTTGAGAGCACGAAAAGTATTATAAAGCGCCGATGGTCGCAGTATATTCATCCATAAGGTACTTTTCGTACTCATAAGACTCGATCATCCTCGGGATCCAACTTTTCTGCCACTCATCTTCCCAGTGTGTGGTGTAACACATCTTGAAGAATTCCCAGTGGTCTGGATACCACCCAGATTGACCCCAGTCGACTAGCGCAAGTACTCGCGGTGGACCGAAGGCCGATGTAGAGACAACTATGTTGGAAGGATGTACATCAGCATGTGTGAATTTAATAGTTGTATCTTTCGGCATCAGATTGAGATACGGATCTTGATATCTCTGGGAAACTGATAAGAATCGTTGGGGAAGCCATTCGAGCCAGCGGTAAAACTCGTGAATTGTATCAAATGGTCCGGCCTTTGGGCGATCATAAAAGACTCTGTCGATTAATGGGCCTCGAGTGACAGATCCTACGAGGTAATGATTAGTATAGAAGCCTTGATAAATCGTGAATTTCTAACTCACCAATAAATATATTCTCTGGTTCGAGTTGTCGTAGGGAGGAAAGCATATCACGAAGCTGACCACAGATAGCGTCCTTGTCTGAGAAGTTCATGTCGCTCCAACATTCTTGCAGAGTCACTCCAGATATAAGTTCCATGTAGATAAAAACAGTGTCCTGATAGACACGCCATCCAAAAAGCTCTGGAACCGGAACTTGAGGACCAAGACACTTTCTAACTATCCACATTGTCACCGCTTCGTCAATTGTCACACGTGGTCCAAATTTGATAACAAGCTGCATTTCCGAGATAATGATAATGCCTTCTCGCGAGGCGCCAAGTTGTTCGGGAAGTGGTAGCTTCCGACCAAGTGTCTTGAAAAATGAGGAGTCAACAAAATCCATTTCACCTTTGAGATGATTGGGAAGCGAGCTTTGGCTTATCCTCTTCGACCCAGAGGGGCTTGTCGAGTTCATTGTCGTGGGTAGAGTCGTCAAGAAACCACGGCAAATGTTGTTTTTAATGGTCAAGATCAATTATCTGCCTCCGTCGATGGCGTCTGAATTCAAATTTGAGGCATAAGCTGCGTTGCCTGTGCAGTCACCGATGCAGGCAGAGTCGATGCGAAGCCTCAACAGTTTAATCGATGAAATAACAGTACGGAGAGAGTAAGGACAAGAGGCAAGAATCGTCGTGCTAGCAACTTTGCAAGAAAGGCCTAGGCAATCCAGACGATCACGTGACAGATAAACTCTCGGCACCGTGACTTCCCCGGTGGGCTATTCATTGTACATAAAGCATGGTGTTTCGGAGACTAAATCTACTTGCACGACAACGGCCAAGACATTGCTTAAGCGGGTTCTTCATCTCGCCCGAGCAAGTTTTGGGTTCCTCCACCATTGCCCTGTCGATCATTCAAGAGGTGATCAAGGCTGGCAGGTTCTGGGGATGATGGCCGGCGATTGGAAACTTTGCAGAGGATCAAACATTCTGAGCTAGGGATTCTGGAGGTTGGGGATAGTTCGGTCAATGGTTATTAACATCTCCATGTATGTATGAGCCGAGGAACGGGCAAGCAAGGCCACAAGAGTTCCAAAGGAACAGAAGATAGACGGGCCATGACTGGAATAGAACTAATATCACAATAGATTGTTTTGATTGGCAGTGGGAACGCTTACAACCTGTGAGTCGTCAGAATGAGTCGTGCTTAGCTCGTCTTTTCGATGTCAAGACAGCCTAGTGTCTCACGCCTCAACCGGCTGGTCTCGAGATTCTCTGTCTGGACCCTGTGGATTTGGAAGGGAAGTTGCTGGAAGAGAGGCAGACAATGCTCAGGGCTTGCCTTCTCTTCTCCCATCAGATGGCCAAGCTTCCAACGAGTCATGTGAAGCTTCGACTTTCGACGCATAGGCGTGAGAGCCGGTTCGTATGGTACAGAACGTCCTGCAGATCCGATATGGTACGATCAACCATCGTCTCGTACACTCCTTGAGTAATGTGGCTGTCACGTTGATATGGCGACTATAAAGCCTCCGTGTCTCTTAATACTTCTTACCACGGAGCCGACGATTCCAGGGTACAATGCAGGAATGTCGGCGGATCGCTGTTGCAATGTCTGGTCCTTATTCCACTCTTCTACAGAGAAGCCTTGGTCTGCTCTGGGGAGTTCGTTGCCGTCCACACGGTCTCGGGCGATCAGGAGTCACTGCAGGAGACTCCGAACGGGATTGATCATTGAGAAATGACAAGGATCCGGACAGGTGGCAAAGTTTTGGATGGCAGAAGTGCTGCAATAACTCTGCGATCCGATAGATGAATGGCTGCGCTACGACTGAATCCATCATCTGATAGAAGTGATTTGTAAAACGGTTGTGGCGTCTTGTTCAACCATTCACTCTCCTTCATCGTGGTCATCAAATGGCCAATGACTTTCAAGCATCTGTCTCTCCAGCTCTGACTCTGCAAATCCAAGTGCCTGCTCTTTGATCTTCGCCTCGAGTGCTTTGCTTGCTCGATACTGCTGGTTTGGAACCCATCCCTCGGAGCCCACCCCTAGACTTTCCATGGTTGTGTCCAGTTGCTCATCCATCTCCTTCATCTCACGGTAGAGGTTGAAGCACGTCTCAATCTCTGCCTTCGAGTAAGATATAGGACAGGGTGGAGGTTCGTTTCCGGTTGGTGTGACAATCTTTGACCAGTTTTGTTCCGCTTCTATCAGGTCTACCTTCAAGGTCACATTGTCACCCTCCCAAGGATTGCTCGCATGGGTATAAAGCCTTTGCTTGAGCATTGTGAAATCGTCCCACAGCGCATCGAAGTGGACGGGGTTACGTTTGACCGTGGCAGCCAAGTAGTAGTAGTGCAACTGGCGCTTCTGAAAGGTTTCCAATGCCTCACCTTGTTGCTGCTCATTTAGGGCATCGAAATTCCCCGGTAGCTCCGGCTTAACAACACCCTCTGACACCTCGTCTCCGTAGTTCTGCAGATATGTGGGAATTCCGCATTGCAGAAAGAGTGGCAAAACAGAACAATGTTGCCAATCAATCAAGCCCGTGATTTCGAATGAGTCGGAGACAGATATATTATTGGGGTTGAGATCAGGGTGGCGGATCGTGGGATGACTGAGAAAGCTATCCTTCCCTGGACATATATGACCAGCTACCAGCAAGAAATCCTCCAGGGTTTGAAGATAGGGACCTGGGGACTGTTTTTCGTACTTGAAGACCTCTCTGGCTAGCCGGTTGTGCAGGTGTCGATCACGTCCGTATTTTGACAGGTATGCCTTCTCTTTTACCGCGCCAGCTTTGAAAGCATTCTCTGAATTCGTGACTGTCGAGAATCAGATTCATCTATCCCGGCATAGAATTTCGGCACTTACATGGACCTCGGTCGATGTCGAGAAGTGACCGTTCTTGATACCACAGGTTCAGGCTTGTCGAAGGACCTATGCAATAACGGCGCTTTCCATCAGGACCCGGAAAATCCACTCTCGGAATGTCAGGGTCTAAATCCTCCACGTAAAAAATACTGCCACTTGCAGGCAGCTGTATTGAAAAGAGTTTCCCTTCGATCTCCGCGATCTGGAACACTATTTTTATTCTTTCTTCCTCCGTCATCGAATGCCAATGATCCCCAATGCACTTGCCCTCGAGCATTTCCATGATTATGTATTCTACTCCGGCACTATTGTCAGGTGTGGCCGAGTACCCGTAGACTGTTGGAAGAGGTATGCCTTGAGATCGGAGAAAGTCCATCGTGGCAACCTCACTTGCGATCGTAAAGTACTTCGGAATCGTCGTAGAGTAAGGAACGCGAGCGATAAGGTGGGTTCCGTCGGACATGCACGCCTGAAACACTCTGTTAAAGCCACCTTCAGCGAGTTTCTCGAACTGCACCACGTCGTTCTCGTTCTTGTTGACACATTGTGCTATCAGGCGTTTGAGCTCCTGCACGTTAAAGCGCAGATGGCGTTCAGATTGCCGTAGACCTTCGTTATAACTGCAGAGACATTAGCTATGCACGGTTTCTTTGAAGGACAAAGGAAACAACGCGCATCCATCTCCCGGAAGTGTAACGGAACAAATCTTCAGATTGCATCTGCGCACATGACGAGAATTGATGAAATTTTATAGCTGCCCTAGGAAGCGATGTCTTGCATAATGGCTGGTTGCGAATACGTAGATGCCGAAATCTGCGAATCATCAGGAAGAGTTTCGCAGGGCGAAAGCATGAAACTTGGAGGTTGCAAAAAGTTCGAACGCGTTCTGGGAGTTGCGAGCAATGACGTGTCAAAAGTCCGGATTTCTTGGCTCCATTTCTCCGAAGCGCCGCAGTTGATCAACCTTGGCGGACCCCTAAGCTCGGCTGCAGCCGTCCCCGCCTGTGAAATGCTTCAAAGATTTGCCTACGGAGTATTCCAAGGAACAAAACAGTGACAATTTGTTCCACTATGCGCGCGCTTCGCCATCCAATCCTTTCTGTTGGGATTGTGAGCAGTGCATGAAACTGGCACACGCCAGCTAGAAGCGCCCGTTTTTTCTCAAAAGTAAAAGAGATGCTACAAAAACGAAGCGCTTGCAGCCGTTCCTTTCTTATCACAATCCCTTCTCACAAAGTACATATATACCTCTATATTACGAGCTCTTTAGCCATGTCACTCCCAACTCTATGCTCTCTCAAAGGCTGATCAGTCACTTATCACATTTCCCACCAGCCCAGCGTTTAACCATCCTTATAAGTACTCCCTGCCAATCCCTCAGCTGGAACCGCGGTCGACATGTCCAAAGCAGTAAAAAGAGCGACTCAAGCAGCATTTGAGGGAAACACATGGAAGAAGTTCACTGATCCATCAGTTGGTCGTGGAAAGACCGTGTTCCCTAAAAACGAGGCTGATAAAGAACGACTTGGAATTCGATGGGACTACGATGGGGAAGTCACAAAGGCTGACGGTACATACCACAAATTTCAAATGCAGCCAAATGCAGGAAAAGTCCCGGCTTCGATAGAGGATTGGAAAAAGAAGCATGGGGGCACACATGCTGTCATGGCAACTGCATTTGTTAAAAAGGGCGGGAGCAAAAACGACGTGAAGGAAGGACTTGAAAAGGCTGCGGACGATGTGGAGTGATGAGTCTGGAGATGTCAACAGACTATCGCAAAGGATGGAAACGGTGTACTAGGTATCTTCGCGATATGAAGTAGTAGTAATCTGCGATGGAGAAGAAATACTCACTTAAGAATGGGATTGGATCGGCTATTTCAAGCCAACTATCCGTATGTAAATGGAGTAGATTGTCGAAACTATGAAACAAATGCCAGCATCATGGCGCACCGAAAGTAATGGAGCCGGGGTTAATGGAGACTAGAGAAGACTTGGTGGGTTAGAAAGCGAGATGCCCTACGTCTACTCAAGTGCCAGAGACGATACTCCGTATTGCAGAACGAGAAAAGTCGGATGTAGGTTGGTTTTTGTGGGGTTGAGCAGCCAGAGATCTATACAAGGTCAGTCGAGCCATTCTCAAAATGCCGGTCCATGGGTTCTGCGACAGTCTGATCTGATTCGATTCATCTTTTGAGAAATGAAGTGCTCGCTAAGAGGCTCTTAGAATGTACGAGTCGGCTCATACTTTGTCGTACTCGGTCTTTTTGACCCTGTTCGCACCATCGAGCCAGGGCTTCCCGGCACGTAGCAACCATCTTCGCAAGCATTCAGGATCACGCGGATTCGAGTCACCCATTTCTGTAGACGACGTCCCCGTGCATCAGGTTGAAGCCTCGGGTTAAACTCACTCTTTCCAGCGTGAGATCGAGTGATAGAGTGTTTTGATCATGAGAAGCTGTTGTTTCTTACAGGCTTGGATACCCTTCATAGCTCAAGTTGGTGAACGTGCACCCATTGCCGTCCTTGTAAGCGACGGTACAGTACACCTTTCTGCTCGCTCAGCTAGGTAATCTCGCGCGATAAACTCTGCTGACCTGACTGGCATGGGCTCCGGATCCGTCACACACACCAGACTGCATCCTGAGTTTCGACGCCGGGATGGATGGCGAGTGCTTCTCGAAGAGTTTAGAAACTGAGGCAGCAGAATTCGAATTTCAGTTTGTTGACTTACTGGAATGAGAACTGGTCTCATACATGTTGAGATCCGACGCTTCAGCGGAGTTATCAATCTCAGCCTTAAGAATGCCCATAACGACGTTGACGATGAATGTTTTGAGCCAGATTCGAAATGAATCTAGCCCAGTCCTCGACGATGCAGGCTGTGTGTCAGGATCCTGATCATATGACTAGTGCTGCCTGACTGTTGCATACATTCCACTAATCAGTTTATTTGCCTTTTGGTGCGTTGCGAGACGGGAATTCGATACAAGTGCTGTCTTCATGCACGTGGACTGAGGTCACACGGGTGCCCTTGGCTGTGTGGTAGCTGATGGTAATGAGAGGGCTTCTGGTCGTTCGGGTCCTTCAACGACTGTTGAGGTTGGGGACCCCTAACCGGTTAGAGTCTCGTGGTTAGCTGTGGTATCTTATATCAATTGTCTTCAGAGCAATCGAAACAATTGGGAATTCTACTGAATTTTGGGATCGTGGACTGTCGGATACTAGCCCCTAAAGCTAGCACAAGCTGGCTCGAGAGCTTGGAGCTGTGTAAGGAATGTTCTACTCTACATTTTTCTCCATTGCATCGCTTGCTAGCGTATGATGATACCAGAGGAGAGTGAGCACTGTTCACTCTTCCAGACCTCCAGCATAGCATTGCGACCCCTCCATGGCGGGGCCACTTGCCGTCCGTTATGATCTACTGGCTTTTCGAGGCGGCAAAACCGCCAGACACCTGGTTAAGAGTCTTCATAGCCGCCCTCGGCAATTCACGGAGTCGAGAGAACATGGGTGCCAAAACAGCTGTACTACAGCATTCGAATGTCAGCCGCGGCTGTTGCCTACAGCTCATCGCTGCATTAGAGCTGTCGCGCAGCAAGAAAGGGGCTCGGAGGGTAGGTGATTGGTCCCACAAAGCCGGTGCCGTTCAATTGCTCGCGCCGCAACAGCTCCGGATTTATTTGCATCCGCAAGAGGAGCAACAAGTTGATATGACGCGATCATCCAGGCGAGTGCTGTTCAGCCATTTGCAAAGTAAAAATTCGCGCCTTTGAGCTTTCGGAGCTACCTGTTCGGCAAGTGGCAGCGCGGGCTTCGTACTCGAAGGGGCTGGTGTTTCAGCGGAAAGGCCCGCGCCCTGGCTCTTAAATCTCCATACAGGAGTTGAATTCAAAACGGTATGCCTCAGAAGAAGACGTTGAAGGAATCGGGAACGGGATATTAGCGGAACAGGGCAGAAAGGGTAACGGTCCCTGCATACGGCCAAAAATGGCTAGCCTTGTCTTGGGAGGATTCGTAGTCGTCTGCCTCTCCACCTACTTGGCCCGGGTAGATATATAAGCCAGTTGAGAGAGCGCACAGTTTTCCTCCACCTTGCTAGTTAGACCCTTCTACCCGTCTGTCCCCGCCAGAGTTGTGCGATTTTCCTTGTTGATGTCAAGCTCCACTCCCGCTAGCAGAAGGCTTAGGCGGCCATTTTAACGTCGAGTCGAGGTTAAGGCGGAACAAGCTTGGGCCTCGAGTTCACCGATTGGTTGGGCATCAACTTACAGCGAACGCTGCTTTGTCGCCTGCGGCAGAATATACGTTGCCGTGTTGAGAATCCATGATAGCCTAAGTGAGGGAGGACAGTACCTCCTGGGCGCCAGTTCGAACCTCTTGGCCGGCGTGGACGTGGATTTGAATTTGACAGGAAGCAGCCTGGTGCAGAAACCCTGTGGGTGTTCCTTCTTGTTCTTTTCGCCTTTATCTCCGTGGTTTCAGTCCTTGATCGTATGTTCAGTTGTACCCTTGTGATCTAGGTTCGGTTGTCTCTTTGACTCGGCTGTTCAGCAGCCTGCACGTGTTTGTGATGGGATCAGACAAGCTTCAATTCCATCCCCAGTGCGAGCCATTTGACCACTAAACCGTCAGCCAGATACGTACTCTGAGAGAGACTTTCACCTGCCAATGAGTTACCCGTGTGATGATGGTTTTGCCCGTCACGGCCTTTGAAACGAGGGGATGGACTGCTGCCGTAAAGGAGCGTGCGCAGAGGGAATCTCGCACACGGCCACGACTATGCGCTTTGAAATGATAGAATTCAGGACGAAGGAGGGCTAAAGTAGGCGTTGTTGAGGTCGCAGCGCATGCAGAGACTACTAGTATGTTGACCGACTTTTGTCGAGCCATGACGCCAGCAAGGAAACCGGCTGAATCCCGGCGTCCGGCTGCTGGCATTTTGTCAACTTCTCGTCACGACATGACGGCTTTGCTTTGATAAAGATATTCTTTGGTCTCAACGAGTGTATCCTTGTTGCCACGTCGTCGTCATGTGCGGGAAGTGTGAAACAATGTCGACAGGCGAAATACCGTCTACAGGTGCCGCTGGTCAGCCTACGCTTCACCCTAACCCTCACGACACTGTCACGACATCATCATCCACACCTCATCTCAGCGACGAAACAGAAAGAGTGCGCACCTTTCTCAGAGATTTGACAACACCCGAGTTCAACTGGCGTTTCTCTGCAGATGAGACATCACGCGAATTCCCACTGTCTAGAGCGTCCTGGTGCGAATTGAAGATCGAACCTTTTGTCGAATCTCTGAGAAATCGGTATGTTGTTTTGTACGTGAAATTCTCACCTCACTCATACCCTAATGTCAATATTCTTAGATCCAACGTCAAAATCGCGTACGACGCCTTCAGATCCGTCCTCACCGTCTTCCCAATGCCTAGTCGAATCCACAGTGTTCTTCAACGGTGGGTCTATGATGTCGCGACACGTCGTTGAGCCACCTTCTCAGACGCAGTACGCTCTCAATGCCTTGTGGAATTTGATGGCGAACATGATGACTTCATTGGCCAATACGCTACTTCTCGGAGGGAGCCAGACCTTTCTATCGGGTGGTTAGGTGATGATCAAGATGACGTGTCTTTCAAGACGCAAACCGTCGTCGAAATTGGCGTTTCCCAGACCGACGAAAGCCTCCGCGAAGCCCGAGATCTGTACCTGTGGGGAACACAGAATATCCAAAGAGTCATCCTAGTTCGAGTCAAGGAAACTCCAAAATACAGTAGTGCTACACTGAGGGATATCGATCTCGACCGATGGGAAGAGGGTGCATTCGCTTACACCACGATATCACACGCCGGACCAGTTAACTGTCAGAATAATCAGTACGTCAGAGCCCTCAAGGTTGTCTGGGAGGGTTGGGAACGAGGTCCAACCACCGGACAGGCGGTCAAGGTCAGGCCTCCTGACGACGCACGCATTGTTGTTGAGGAGCCTTTCGGGCCAATCGTCCCCCTTCTGACATGGAAGAGCGAGGACGATGTGGTCCGGCGTGCCAACAATACCAAAATGGGTTTGGGAGCCTCTGTTTGGTCCAAGGATCTCGACCAAGCCAGTCGGATAGCGCGACAGCTCGAAGCTGGGAGTGTTTGGGTGAATGCCCACCAGGAAGGGGATCCCAATCGCGGATCAATAGACACGAGAACGAATCTTTCAAGTTATTTTGCACTACTTATATAAACTCGTTTATCGTAACAGAAGTTTTTGTACATAGATAACATAAATGCAGAAGGTTCTCGTGTAAGGAACCCTTAAGCTTTCTCTTCTTTGGCATTACTCTGAAGATCACTTGACTTGTGGATGGTCTTGTTGACAAATCCTGTCAGAAGCTCTCCAACATCTCTGACGAAGAAGGACGCGATCATTCCCACGGCGAAGAAGCCTAGCGTTGATAGGTACACGACTCGGAAAGCATGACCTTGCGCAACCTTTCCGGCAGTAACATAGGCTCTGAGAATATTCTCGTTCATGCCCGGCACCGAGTCCAAGGCTGCGATGGTGCCATTGGCTATTGCCTGGAATAAAGCTGGAATACTGCTTGCCGGAAGTCCTGCCTCTTCTACTGCAGAAGTGATCTCAATCGGAAGATATGTTCTTATTCTGTCGTTGTAGATGGCGAGATAGATGCTGACTGCAAGTTTATGAGTTAGCAAAGAGTCTTGGGTTTTACTGATCGTGAGAGAAGCAACTAGGATCACACTTACTCGCTATAGTGCCAAACAGCTGACGAGTCGATGAGAAGAAGCT